AGATAACCAAATTATTATAATTAGTGATTTTGATATTCATCAAAATCACAACTTTATATACTTTTGTTCCTTTATTTAATAAATTAATTTCTATTATGAATAATTAAGTAAATAACCCTAGAAACAATTTTTTTTTGTTAAACAAATATGCTTTACTTTTTTTTGACTGTTGTCGGTTAAATAGGAGATCAACTTAGTATTTTGTAAGTCAAACCTCCAGTCTTCGATTAAACATGACCGTACTCCATTGCATTTGATGGTTTTCAACCATGAAATATTGCAAAATAGCAGTATTTTTAAATGCAAAATTTTAAGTATAGTTTCCACAGTATACCATAGGAGATCGTGATAATTAATTGGCTCCATTGCATATCATGGTTAAATGTCTAGACCATGATATCACTGCATTTGATGGTATTTTACCATGAAATACTGTGAAACGGTGGTATTTTTTAGATACAAAATTACATGTTAATTGACCATGGTATACCATGGTATATCATGATCGTTAAATGGCACCATTGCATTTCATGGCAGGAGCGTTTTTTTAACATGGAGTTTCCCATTGAAAAAATACTGCCGTTTCACAGTATTTCATGGTCAGAAACCATCAAATGCAACGATATCATGGTCAAGAAACCATCAAATGCAATGATATCATGGCCGAGAACTTGACCATGATATCATTGCATTTGATGGTTTCTGACCATGAAATACTGCGAAACGGCAGTATTTTTTCAATGGAAAACTCCATGTTAAAAACGCACTGTTAACAATGAAATGCAATGGTGCCATTTAACGTTCATGATCGGCCATGGTATTACCATGGTATTTCATTGCATTTCATGGCCATATACCATGGTATATCATGGTCATACCATGGTATACCATGGTATGGCCATGGTCCATTTCAACATGGTTGCTGAAGATGTCTGCACCACACCCTAAATATTTCCTGGTGAGAGCCCTGACTGCTAAAAGTGTTACTGTTATACTTCAGGAAGTGTTCTACTTTCAAAGGTTGATTGGTAACAGGACATTCAAAGTGTTCAACTATGGAGGTGTCACTTAAGCTCTTTTAGCCATATTGTATATGGGGTAATAAGGATAATAAAGGTAATAAGGGTAATAGGAGTAATATGGTCCTTTTGGGCTGTTCAAATACAACATTTGTACCAGCCAAACAGCATGGTGCAAAGATACACAAAATTAAAATAACTCAAGTTTATACTGTTCTCTTACATTCAAAGTACAAGTGAATCTCTCATACAAATGTCAAAGAAAGAAACTGACATTTCTATGGTTCAAGTAATCAAATCAATCATAAAATAGAATCTGAGTAATAATGCTGTTATTGTTCTTAGTCAAGTGAAAACTCTTTCATGAGAAGATGTAGTAAACAAGACATTAACATGCAAAATGTCACCACCTGCCATTTGTTACTAATGCTGAACGCTGAACTCTGAATGCCAACCATCAAACATTGTCAACAAAAAAGTTGTGGTAGCATAATAAAGGAATTATAAAAGTGTTATTTTCTCGTTAGTTGAAAATCAATAAATCTGTAAACAATTTTGTGAGAAATATGGATCTTTCAAATATGAAATTAATTTCTTTTTCTAGATCCTTAGCCAGGTATAATTTTCTAGATAGTATGGACTATGTCTAGTCAGGTCCAAAAACATTATTTACATATTATGTGCCATTTTGACTTTTCAAGCAGTAATCTGAAACTTCGGAAGCTTTGTTCATATTTTCTGAAGTGTTAAACGGCTTAAGATCAATCTACCTGAGAATATAAAGTACATTACCCTTTACAAAAAAATGATTTCAATTGTACTCTTTCAATGAGAGATTAAATTAGGAAGTGTTCAGATATACAGATTTCACCTACATTTAGTCTACATATGAAATCAGCATACCGTATTCTCTGTAATTACCGCCCACTCTCTAATAAACGCCCACCCCGCTTCACAAAGTTCAAGAAACATCGAGGAATCAACAAGAATTGAAGAATATATCAGGAAAAAAATATTTCTCAAAATCCAGGAGCGGGCGATAATAGAGTACTTACCCTAAAACTGCTGTAAACACGACGCGTTTTGTAATTCTATGCATCCTCTCGATACATATCTATCGATGGGTGCTTCCCACACCATACCATGCTAATATTGTCTCCAAATAGTCCATAATGAATGAAGGAATTGCTCTTTATCGGCATTCAGAAATTTCAAAAGCTACTGCGCAGATGTTCTGCGCATGTCAAGGTCATGAACTTTCTGGTTTCTTTTTAATGTTTCTCGACTTTTACACGACTTTTGCACGAATAATGATGATCTCTCATCAAATTAGAAATAATGTATAACTTTAGATCGATATCCAGCAGTCTCTAGTGGAAATATTGAAGGTAATCGGCGATAATGACAAAGTGGGCGTGCCGGAAATAAATTAGACATAGACGGGTCTTCAACCACTGTCAATATTGTCTAAGCGATCTTTACCGTATTCTCTCCAATAACAGCACTTGTCATATTATTATAAAAATATGTTGAAGAAAATGCATTCTTGTCAAGAAAAATTGCCATACATGAAATTCCTCGGGATTTCTGATTTCTTTCATACATGGGCGCTTATTAGAATGGTCTAAATAATGTATTTTCAATTTTCTAAACGCCCTGGGCGCTAATTACAGAGAATACGGTATACTAAATCAGGAAAACACGACAAGTTAAAGTATATTTTCTGTAGTAGCTGATGTTAATTTCTAATTCAAACCTCCATGAAAGCCCATCAAAGTTACTATTGAGATTGTTAAGATCAGCTATAGTCAGATATGTATGTAGATAAATAGCAGATATCCATTGGAAATTATACAAATCCCCAGAATAGTCAGAGGGAGGTATAGCTAATTTAAGATAATTAAGGGTAAAATACAAGAATCTGCCTGGGGTGTGCACAAACAACACTTCACTTTGTATATTCTTATATATATATATCTTTTATTGACTCTTTAGATGTCATATCAATGACATATTAGTCACTAAGGTAGAGCAGTTCTTCCCATTGTCGAGTTGAAGAACTGGTATCTTTATCCTGGCTAGAACCATAGACAATTCTAGCCAGCGCCAGCCTTTTATCGAGTTAGCAGCACTCTAGTAATCGCCGGTACAGGTCAGCAGTCATAGGTCAAAGACAAATCACAAGAAGTGCTGTGACCTGGGTTTGAACCCAAGACCTCTACTTTTTCAGCCTGAAGCCAGACTTCCTGCTTTTCAGACCAATGCCTTAACCACTAGGCCAACCCGGCGACCCGCCTGTCTGGCTCTTGTCTACTTTGTGAATTTGTTTTGTGTTAGCGAAGAAGATGGGGGAGGGGGGGGGGGGTGCACAGCAGTGTAGGTCCTAAGGGCTGGTCCGCTGGTCAATATTAGGTTACTTTTGAAATGGACCAGTCTTACAAGTGTGACTAACTTCCTTTCAAAATAACATGCTTCAGGGGTATGGTGTACAGTAAAGGCATTAAGGAAGGCAGATTAGAAATAATGAACAGTGATCTCAAAGTATTTTAGTATTGGTTCAAGACTTTGTGCATCAGTGTATGTCACAGGATTTGAAACCTGCTGGTCAAAATGGCAATCAGACCAGTTGCAATCTAGTGAAAAAATCAACTGGTCCATTTCAAAAGTAACCTAATATTGACCAGCGGACCAGCCCTTAGGACCTACACTGCTGTGCACCCCCCCCCCTCCCCCATCTTCTTCGCTAACACAAAACAAATTCACAAAGTAGACAAGAGCCAGACAGGCTATTGAAGCAAGACTAAGTTTTTTCTCCCCAAGCAGGATAAGCAATCTTGATTTTACTGACTATCTCAATATCTTATATTTTAGTGGTGTGCAATGTTTTTTCAACAGGGTGATATGTGAATTTCAAGTTTCAAGAGGGTACAACACTCAGGCACTGGCGGATCTGGGGGGGGGGCAGAATTAAGGCTTTATTTTTTTCATTTCAGGCCAAATTTTGAAGAAAATGGGCCTCAAAATTTCAAAAATTTTTTCTCTGACCTGAAATTTGCCCCCCCCCCCCCCCTTGTTGGTTCCCAGATCCGCCCCTGCTCAGGTACTCGAATACTGGAGAGTTCAATCAGATCCTTGGTTCTCACACAGGATTCCCACAAATCCATCTGCCTCCCATATTTCTTCATCACCAAGACAACTTTGGATTGTTTCACCTTATCACCAAGACAACTTTGGATTGTTTCACCTTATCACCAAGACAACTTTGGATTGTTTCACCTTAACTTTCACAAGTGAAGTGGATGTTTCAGTCAAGCTCAAGACTTTAGATAACAGAAAATCTCAAAAACAACTTCATTGAGGCTCTGTAAATCTTTAAGATTTGTGTTCCACGATATACAATTAAGATCTTCTGAATATAGATATCTTACTTTAATGTTATCTCTCTAATTAATGAGGCTGTGATAACCCCAGCTTAGCTCTAGTCTAGTTTATTTGAACCTTATTTCTAACTTGATATTATCTGCAAATTATCAAATTCTCAATTATTCATTGACTTATGACTTTGAAACTAAACACTTTCTGGATTACTTCTTAGAACATCTGGCCAATTAAAGCTACCCCCCCCCCCTCTACAGGAGCATATCCTGGAGAGGGTCACAGAACAGTAGTTTTCCTGCTTCCTGATTTCTAAAGGGATAATGAGATATCTAGATACTCTTTACTAAGAACATATGCTAGTGCAATTTGAGAGATTAGGTGGAAAATTATGATTCTCAGAAGAATGGTTACTTAGTTCAGATTCACTTCTAAAATCTTCATAACTTCATTCCTGCAACTATGTAGTTTATACTGAATTTTATACAAATATATGGCTTATATTGTAGTTTGGTCAGTACCCAATTGTAAGGAATGGGATAAACCAAAACAAAAATTTTCTATTAACTATTGTTACTGAGACATCATCCCTATAAAAATGCTTACCTGCAAAAAACTGAAAGACTCCCAAAACACGAGTTGTAGTTCTACTTATAAACTCTCGACAACAGCATCCTAGCATAGAAGCAAATGATATAAGAATGGTTAATCCAGCACCAGTCCCGACAACCACAGTTACAATCTTCCAATATAGGCCTGGGATATCCCAGAATGTTGTATAGCGTCCACATTCTTTTACGACGGAAAGTTCATCATTGTTGGAATATGATAGGTAGTTGCAGCGCCTGAATGTCCCGAGGTAGACTGGAGTATTGTTGTGCATGTGTCCTTCTAACCAATATGGCATGAAATATCCCACGCATGACGCTAGCATACTCATGAATGATAATATGCTCCATAGTACACCGATACAGCTTAAACCAGCGTATGTTTTCTTTTGGGGCATGTCATAGTCTTTATTAGCAACATGGGGTTGTTCATGGTCAAGCAACGAGCTATCCATCTTTTACGGTTTTCAAAATGGATAATTTTAAGTTTATATTGAATCAGCGGCACATCATGAGTATGAGCTTAACATGTAGATATGGTCTTTGTGATTTATCCATTCATTCCTAGGAGTTGGTAGTAAGTTTGTCAACCTGCTAAGATCTGAAAAATGTTACAAATGAACTGAATTTTCATTCATCATCTTAAGTCCATGCAATTTTTCCACTTACAGATTGAGGAGCATTGTCATGAGAATTGGGATAACTTCAAGGCTTGTTAAAAGAATGGATTCACGAGAGGACATAGGGGTAATCTTGGACACAGGGCATTGTCGGACGATCTTCAACTTTGTATTAGATACATCATATTATCGATGTGGTTCTATATATTGTAAAAAGTCTAACAATGCCCCAGATTTTCACCTGATACCAAGGGTAAATTGTCTGGGAATAACCCGTGGCCGAGAATGCCTCTATCTCCTCTAATGGACTGCAACCGAGAATGTTTATATCATGGAGTCTCTCACTCCGAGGCGACGATGAGTAGAAAACCTGTACAAACTCAAGAATTTCACATTGTTTTGATACAAAGACTGTAAAAATTAAAATCAAATTAGAATGATGAGAAAAAACAAAAATCCAAGTGGATTGACTTGAAGTGACTTTAGTCTACTGTGTGTCCATCAATAATTTTGCAATTTTGCCGTGAACACTGAAATTCTAAATTCTTCAAATCACCTGAAGTCAATCATTGACTCAATGACGTTCCTGACTTACCATATTAATTAGCTTTCCATTTGCCTTGATAGAACTAAGAGATTGTACCAATTTATCCCATAATACGATGAAGATCAAACTTTTTGTGGGACCAAAAACTTTTGCAAACTTCACAACAATGGAGGTCAGGTCGAAGGTAAACAAATCAGCCAATCAGATTTCGTCATTAGAAACACACAGCAGGTGCGACATCTTTAAATCAAATGAAAAATATTTGCTAACATCTACCTACCTCACTGTCAAGACTGAATTTTGCTCAAGTAATAGTTGGACAAATTGCAGAAGTTATATAAATGATAAAAAGTGCTCATAAATCTTCATAACATTACCCTTTTCTAAGATAAACATGCATGAGATCTATATGTAGGCTATAAAAAGGCTCAATGTCACCAATCGAAACACCATGCCATAAATCGAAAAAACAGCGGAGGTCTGCACAAACTGAACTGATATATGAATTCTAAATAGTGTAAGATGGGATTATCACCCCAAAATGGTATGTTGTTCTTGTTTTTTCAAGAGTTACAAATCGTTATACTGTCAAGTAGAAATAATCAAAATAAAAGTGACTTGAGGAGTTTGTTTAGACAGCTCCATCCCCCACATCACTGTTTATTTTAGTTACAATTAAAAGAAATAACGTTTTCTGTAGTCTTATAAATTCCTTTGGGACTTGACCATTATGTATAAATGCATGTATCCACAAAAAAATTCTCATCATGCAAATCTACATGTACAGTTGGGGACAAAAATAAATGACAGGTCGTTTTTCGATCACCATTTCCTAATTATGGTGGTCTGAAAGCCCATAATTTCCAATATTGTCTAGATACATATCCCTTAAAATTTGTATATTTTACATTTTGTATAATTTCATCCACTGATTTATGGCCTCTTGTAAATTCTCTTATTTTTAACATGGGAAATCCTCACTTCAGCAAATCCACTTGTCATTTATTTATGTCCCCAACTGTACAATACTACTACATCTACATTGTACAGGTGCATGAAAAACAAAAAATAAACAACAAATACATGTGTAAGTATTGGTATCACTTTATTTGAATAGTAACTGTTTTTGTTTCACATTAAACAGGAACATGAAACCAAATATCATATACATGATATACAGGTTGAGCCAAAGAAACATCCATATTATTCAGTGTATTCATTTGGCCATACATATGTTACATTTTTAATAATGCATATACTGTACTTAGAAATATTTTTCATATCTAGAAATGCACGAATCGCTACCCAAGATTCACTTTTGCTAATATTCACAAGACGGGATAAAAAAAACTCAATTTTTTCAACGAGAAAGACACTTTAAGTCTAAATGAAAAAATACAGTTCTAAAGATAATATTCCATGAACACAGGCTGGTATCGAAAGATTTGTCCGCTGTGACGGAGCATGCTATTTTTCATAAAAAACACTAAGAATGCTTCACGATTTATTTTTTAACTCATATGTTTCGTTATATCAAAGATAATTACTTACTCCATGCAATGGATATATCATTTGCTTGTAACCTTCACTTCTGTTTGAAGTCCAATAACGCTAGGAGCAAAATCTATTGAAAACGGCGCTAGAGTATCAAACTCTAAAATGTACCATTTCTTTTTTAACTTTTTAATGGCATGATATAGTGACACGATAATATTAACATATGTTTTAAGTATAACTCTGACTGTATTAATGAGATATTAATGCATTGGGTCTTTTTAATTTTTTTAATAAAAAATAATATTAATATTTTTTGTCCGCTGTGAGGGAGCATTTTCACAGTTCACATTTGCAACTGCTCCGTCACAGCGGACAAAAAAATTAAACATTATTTTTTATAAAAGAATTAAAAAGACCAAATACATCAACATCTCATTTATACCTTCATAGTTATGCTGAAACCATGTGTAAATATTATCGTGTCACTATATCGTGCCATTAGAAAGTTAAACAAGAAATGGTACATTTTGAAGTATGATACTCCGGCGCCATTTTCAATAGCTTTTCTTCCCAGCGTAATTGGACTTCAAACAAAAGTGAAAGTTACCCGCAAATGGTATATCCATTGCATGGAGTAAGTAATTTTGTATGGTATAACGAAACATATGAGTTAAAAAATAAATCGTGAAGTATTCTTTGTGTTTTTATGAAAAATAGCATGCTCCGTCACAGCGGACAAATATTTCAATACCAGCCTGTGATGAAGCAACAATTTTACACTGATATTTTGCAGAACCTGATTGACAAAAAGATGGCAACTCCGCGGATTATCAAATCCCAATGAACAAAATATCAATTACCAAATTCCAATCAATTATACTCATTACTTTGATTAAAATTGAAAAAATTAGATTTTAGAATTGTGAATTCCTGCAAAGCAGCCATTTTGAATTTTCTGAGATACAAATCTGAAAAATAATACCATAATTGTGATCTACTCCAAAATTCCTCCAATTTGAGTATAATACAGCCATACTTTGAAGGGATCGAAAAATTATTGCGAAATCGTACATTAGACGGCCATTTTGAATTTTACGAGGCTCGAATCAGAAAAAAGATACAATATCTGCAATCTACTCCTAATTGCCTTTCATTTGAGTATAATAAAGCTATACTTCAGAAAGATCTAAAAATTAGCGAAAATTTCTGTTTTCCTGTCCCCCCATACATGGCCCCTGGGGGTCAGGATGAAAAACACGGAATATATGTGAAATAGATAAATGTTGTGAATATACTACCAAAATTTCAAACAATAATATAAATTACTTTGGTATAGAATGAAAAATTTATGAATTTTGCGAAAAAGTCCCGTCATTTTTAAAGCGGCGGCCATCTTGAAATATTTTTTTTTGCGTAAAACTATTCACCAAGTTACATCTTTCCGCTAAATATGAAAAAAATCTGTCAACTAGTATTTGAGTTATCTTCCAGACAGACGGATTGACTGACTGACTGACTGACTGACTGACTGACGGACTGACGGACAGACGGACGGACGGAGGGCTTCACTATATCCCTACCGAACTTCGTTCGTTGGGATAAATATCAGCATACGATGAAGAAATCTATTTCCATATCGAGATAAATTGGGAGACAGGAATTTGTATGCATACCCATCTTAACTGTTAGTGTTACTGCTATAGAAACAATTATGCGATTGATTATGGAACTGATTGCTTCATCCCCTGTGAAAAATTATTGAAATTCATGCATTTTAAAAAAGTTGTACCGAAATAAAAAATATGGAGATATTTTGGCCCACCATGTTCTACATTATACATTCATTAAGGTAGGTTGAGTAGAATGACTAGTTTGGTTAACCTGAAATACATTCTGACCAGCTTGATTATAATGCTTTTGTGGCATAATAATAGGCTATTTCATTGGTGTTTTTTATCCATACACATAAGATCCATAACATAACCACCATACAGGGTGACAATACACTTTTGACAACGTAACATTTTGTAACGACAGGAAAATTTCCCAATTTTTTATAGACCTGTCCTATAGACATGTAAGTTTTGTGTGGTGAACGTTTTATTTTGATATACCACCATAATGAGAGCATTGGCCAATAGTTGGTGATGTGCTCAAACTATTGATCTGTGCTGACATTATGGAGGTATATGATTATAAAACTTATGCAACACAAAACTTACATGTCTGAAGGACAGGTCTATGAAAAAAATGGGAAATTTTCCTATGTTAGAAAATGCTAAGCTATCAAAAGTGTAAATGCTTTTCTGGACCACCCTGTAATAATCAATGGTGTTCCTAGCAGTTTCCTAGCTCTGCCTCCACTTCAATAATAAATTTGAACATCTAAAAAATATAACATCAAGTGTACATGTTTTTGATCCATATTACAACACATATTTTGTTGTTGATCTGGTTGGCACATCTCAGAATACATCATTACTGAACAACCTTTTTTAACAAACAATCTTTTCAAATGAACAACCTTCAAAATGCCACTGACTGACAAATAAGTCTCCAATAAACAGAAGGATTGGCTTTAATTTGAATTGGAATGACACCCTGGGAGTCAATCCTCCTTTCAACAATCTCTAACAAACAACTCTCTAATGTTCAACCTTCTTTAATGAATAATAAAGCCTTCATCATATCTAAAACTTCTTTCACGGATATCTCTGAAGAACAGTCAATTCCTATGAACATGTCTCTCTTAAAAACACACTAGAAGAACTACAAGAATCCAAATATAGAGGATTTACAGTGAGGGTCACATTAAACTAAATATATAAACTAAGTATATGAATATGTATACCCCTCTATACATTGTAACTGCAAATGCCTTGAAAAAATGATTGAAACTAAAAGTATTGTATGGCCCCAGTATCGAATGACTTAGTGCACCAATAACTGGTATTGCATTGCTGATGTAGCCCTACATACATTAGGCTCATTATAAATGCTCTGATCTCCCTTGCATTGCTGTACCAACTTGAGAATTCAATAATAGGCTTGTTGCCTTGTAACTACCTGAAAATCCATTTGCACCCACTTAAAAATGAAAAAAACATGAAAAATAGGCATATTTTGACTAAATTGTGAAAATCAGAATTTTGCACAAACTGAGGAGAACACTAAAATTGTGGTTGGAGTTTCAAAAAACTCTATACTATACTGTTCTTTTAAAAATGCTAAATGCAAACTGATTCTCAAAAATTGCAAATAATTACTAAATTTTCAGTGAAAATACATGTAACTCACTTGAAAAATGATTTTTGATACAGTTCTACATGTATGTAGCAGGACTAAAGAATCCTTCATTACATGCTTATCTCTTATTTTGCATGTATAAGTACTGTATAACTTTCTTGTCTCTATCAGACATGTCAGAAGACTAATGACCTGGTATTGGTATGACATCAATATACAAGTTTAAATTTATGACACCAATATACAATCACAGGGCAACAATTTGCCAAATTATGACATCCATTTCAACAATAAATCTCATCTCAATACACCACCCTGCTCTTCCCAAGGTATCCCATAATGCACTTCATGCGGTAATGCCCAACGACGTGGGTAGAATGTATGTTGATCAGAATAGTTAGATAGGTTCACTATTGATGACATATAGAGGTCTGCTAGTCTATGTAAGCGACGGAAGAAGTATGTTGGGTTGTGGTATGTTCTGAATACACTGCCAAATTGTGGGTTGAATACTTCCTTCGAGAAATTCCTGGAAGAACACATACATGTATATTGTCTATGTGCTAATGGCATAAATAATGGAGAAGAGTCGAGAGGAGGGGAAATAACAAGAAACAAAGCATTCGCATGCAAAATTTCACCACCTGCCATTTGTTACAGACAACGAACACAAAAAGTTCTGAATACTGCTGCCAAATTGTGGGTTGAATACTTCCTTGGAGAAATTCCTGAAAGAAAAAAGATGTCATGGTGGTTATATGTTCAAATCGAGGAAAGAGTGAAAGGGGAGAGCCAACATAACTCCTAAAATCCCCCTATCTAGGCACCTACTCCCCCACCCCAGAGACTTACTGCCTCACCCCTAGGGAACTACCTTAAAACATCCCTCTCTAAGAAACTTATCAATATAACCAATAGGAACCTCCTACCTCCCCCCCCGGAGATATACTCCCCTAACCCCAGAGAATTACTCCCCCACCCCAAGGGACTCACCTTAAATCATCCCTCTCTTTCATCCAGACATGTAGCACCTCTTGAGATTCTGAGTCATCGTAGATCTACAATGATAGATCATCATGTTTTCAACATTTATATGGTTTATAGGGTCTGAAGTGATTTGTATTAACCTTGCATTGATATTGATGAATAATTTCAGATTTGTGTATACTTTTATCATGTTAACAATGAGAGGTGTTTTATTATCTTTAATATAATAGCAAAGATGTTCTCGTTTGCATGATTAAATACATGTAGAGTTTATGTCTGTAGATCTTTGTGTGTGTGGGAATATATAAGCGCAAATGCCAAAAGGATAGAAATGTCAGTTGTGCTTCCTCTGGTGAGTTCGCGCATTAACATCAGCTGCCTCTAGTCAGATCGACTGACAAAACAACCTTTTTAGGGGTTGTCGAGTTGGCCGAGAGGGCTTGAGCGCCGGCACGTTCGAGCTAGGCCATTGGGCGCCGTAACCACGGGGTTGCGAATTCGAGACGCGTGTGCTCCTTGTGTTTATTCATTTGAAATTTTATTAAAAATTGATATCACAATTCGTACCTGAAGCCTCTCTATTAAGTTCTGTAGTGTGATCATCCATGCCATTGAAGTCTTGAATGATATGGAGTTTTGGATTGAAATCTCATTCTCTAGTTCAGGAATGATAGCACCTGTTCGCCAGCCATGTCTTAGCCCTGGATCCTGCAGTGGAAATATGTTGTACAGGGTGTTCCAAAAAACAAAAGGAATCCATTATAAATTATGATGAAATTATTATAGATATAGAAGGCTCCACTTCTTGGGAAAACAACATATCAGTGTCAATATAAACATCAGAACTGTTTTTGATGTTTTTTTTAAAAATCATGAATTCTTAGAAATTTAAAATAAATTCATTTAGTCTAATTGAAATGACTAATTAAAGTTCATGTTAACAAAAGAAGTTAATTTATTAACTTACAGCTAAGTCACTGTATACATGGTCCCCACAGTATAACACCTGAGATCCAATCCAACCTGTCATTCCACTGAATAGAGACACATTACCCTGTAATAACATAAAATAACATTAAGTTCAAGTTCAAGCTGTCACCGGGGATTTTTGCTTGAAGAGGGTACAAAATTCGGAATTTTAACAATACTGACAAAATACCAATTTTTAAAAATTTTCTATTATTCAAGCAGTTGGAAATCATGGATTATCACAAAGCATACTTTTTAAAAATTTTCTATTATTCAAGCAGGTGGAAATCATGGATTTTCACAAAGCATACTTTCAAAATTTTAAATTAAATTGATACATTATTTGCTCAAGGATGATGACTCAGATTTACTAGAATTTCACACGTAGCTTGGCAAGGTGTGTCCGATTCCAGCCAATCCAAACAGAGTATTCAAATGATGAACAGTGTGTGAAATATCAATAACACATGCATGGTCACTAGTTAAACAGTTGTCATGGTGATGAATGGATTTTTCACATTGGATTTGATGACTTGCCAACTTGACTCTTGAAAAAAGTTTCATTGAAAATGTGTTCTTTCAGTGATTTTGTTCCTTTTAGATGATTTTATCGAAAAAGCATTGCAATGTGTGAGAAGAATTAAAGCCCAAGACTCAATGCATTGTAGCTGCTTCATTCCACTCAGGCGTTGTTTCCTAAACTTTGCATTCCCGCTGCGAAGTCATGCAAAGGTTTGGAAACAACACCTCATGGTATGATTCAGCAAACAATGCATTGAGTCTTGGGCTTAAATCCTTTAATAATTGCTTTAAAAACATGTGTAAATCAATAAGTTAAATCAAAGAAGTAATGAATTATGAGATACATAATCAGAAAGGAAATGAACTTTCGTGTAACTGTGTTAGAAAAATTTTCAAAACCACAAGAATAAAATACATATTAATCAGTAGCATGTATCCAACATACCTCTTGGTATATTTTTCCTTTTTGTAATGATGACACTCTGTCCCACGTCCGCATACCTGTCTCCTTCTCATATATTCTAAATGGCCGAGACTTCTGATGAAAGAACTTAGGTTTTCTAGCGTTGACTATACACACATCAAACAAATCCATCCAATCAGGGCCAATCATATATGTCATTCCCTTGTCCCTGAAATACAAAGTGTAAGCCCCATATATAATAGCTAATCATATATGTCATTCCCTTGTCCCTGAAATACAAAGAATAAGCCCCATATATAATAGCTAATAATATATGTCATTCTCGTGTCCCTGAAATACAAAGTGTAAGCCCCATAGATAATAGCTAATCATATACATGTACTGTATGTCTTTGCCTTGTCTCTGAAATGCAAAGTGTAAACCCCATAGATAAAACAGCTTATCACATTTGTCTCTGAAACTTGTTAGAATATGTAGAAATTCATGTAATTTTGAGAGATATTAGATACAGTGTATTCACTTCACAGAATGAAGGTTAAGCATCTTTCCATAGGATAGCAGACAACTATCTACATATACAGAGGGTACCAAACTAGCACTCAAAAATAAGTAAGAAATTGCCTTGCATGCATGCTGTGAAAAATCGGATATTTTCAAGACACACAGTCATAAATATCGCACTTTTATTTACCCAGAATGCACATTCTAATCAGATGTTGGCACTGAGTTTGCTCTTGCTTCTGTAAAAATATCAAGTTGAACGGATAACCAGGATGGATAATTAGCAGGAGTTTGTCATGGGAGCAAAAAATGAGTTCACAAGTAGTACTAATATCCCAGGAGTAATAATCTACTACATCATAGCACCCTCACTTACACAAATGGGAATCCACTGTTACTAAGCAAGAAAAGTTTTTTCCCTGCAGCTGCCAAATTCTGTAAGAGTTCCGCAACCTCTGGGCCTTTCTCAATATACACATCTGAAAAACATTTTGAAGCATTTTCTGCATTTCAACATGATAATATACCAGTGATTTCCCCAACAAAGTAAGTGGGTGCAGCACCCAACTGTTCACCCACTTTCACCCACCTGAAAACTCATTTCCACCCACTTGAAAATGAGAAAAATCATGAAAATGAGCATATTTTGACGATTACTCATATACTGTAAAAACACAGTGGAAACAACCCCCCCCAGAACAACCCTATACATGTATCAATATTAAATGTTCTATCATCTATTAAAAAGAAAACAGGCCTAAGTGAATTACATACAGTATCAATATTAGGTAATTTAGTCTATCATGTGTTAACTCACCTAAGTTTTCCATTATTTTCTGATGCAGAAGTCCAGAGGTGTGAATACCTTGAACTGCATTCTGAAATATAATGTATATGTAATGTATCTAATGTATATGCAATGTATCTAATGTATATGTAATGTATGTAGTATATGTAATGTATCTAATGTATATGTAATGTATGTAGTATATGTAATGTATCTAATGTATATGTAAATGAATATGCTCAGTTAGAGGCTCCACCAAACTGTTACTCTGATTTTTTCAAATTTAAATTGCACTACACTTTTCAACATTCAGTAAAAAGTGCAATACATGTTATTTTATGAATATTGAAATTTTCAAATTCAAACTTACAGAAACGTTTTACACTTCATATGAAACGATAGTAAACACAAGTTATTCAGAGTTGATATGCCAAACTGATGAGTTAATATGTTAAATAGATGAGGAATCTTAAAAAGGCATCAGTTTATTAAAATAAAAATGTCATATCAGATTTGTCAATACCTTCAATCCTCACACACAAAAAGTGACATATGATACTCTACCCGATCGCCTATTCATTTTCTACTTACTCTGACATCATAGAAGACGTACTCTGGGTCATAAGCAATGTTCTTCTCATTGAAGTACTGTAAAGAAAGAATAATGAGAAATGAGTCCAGTCAAGAGCCCCTCACTAAAACAATCCACAGTCCCTCCCCAAAACAATCCAAGGTCCCTCCCCAAAACAATCCAAGGTCCCTCCCCAAAACAATCCAAGGTCCCTCCCCAAAACAATCCACTGTCCTCCCCAAAACAGTCTACAGTCCTTCCCCAATACAATCCACAGTCCTCCCCAACATAATCCAAAATCCCTCCCCGAAACAATCCACAGTCCCTCTCCAAATATTTTACAGTCACTGAAATGTTAATTGAACCTCTATAAGTAAAACTACCAAATTTAAACTTCCATGGAACTAAGAGTGTTAATCACAAACACAGGTATACTGTACTAGCATGAACTTATTGTTATTTATTCGCCATTCGAAGTTTACATGAGACCCCCTCACCCGAGAAAGGGGTGGAAATTTTGGCAAAATGAATTGAACTGTCAATTTACCCAGCCTGAGAGCAAAAATAGCTAGTCAAAATCCTTTGAATGGTGCATTAGTGTAAATATAGTTTTACCTGTGTTATATTAGATAGAAGGGTCACCTCAGGCAAGGCAAATAGATCCATAAGCTGGTGCATTGCATTCTGAAATACAAATATACAATATAGAGTCATGTATTGCATTCTGAAATACAAATATGCAATATAGAGTCATGTATTGCATTCTGAAATACAAATATGCAATATAGAGTAATGTATTGCATTCTGAAATACAAATATGCAATATAGAGTCATGTATTGCATTCTGAAATACAAATATGCAATACAAGTATAGAGTCACGCATTGAGAAAAATTAGCAAGTTAATAAAGTAAAAGTATGAGAGGACCGTTTTATTGTATCAATGGTTCAATACATATCAAGGATAGACCTACCTTGCCGAAGAAGGGACTGACATACTCAACAGACACATGTGTCCCTCCATATAGTTCTATCACTTCAGAATATTCCACTGGTTCTAGACCTCTACAATACAAGGGTACACATTTCTAATAAATATATCATATACTATTGTATTGTCTCTTTATGTTTTACACAACACTATTAACCTCTTGACTAGAGATTTCTTGTCACCTCAGAAATGAGCTTGAAACCCAGAGGGACGAGAAAATCTGTCACAACATTTTCACAAAAATTGCTCTTATTTGAACAATTGTCATCAAAGGACGATTCTCGGTTTGGAGAACAATCTCCTGGGCTAATAATTTTTTTCATGAAAAATATAGAAATATTACCCAAATTAAACTTTGAATATTCAAAAGAGAACATTTAAATCCACAAAATGTAAAAATAACAAATTGGTCTGAAGCAGGGATAATGCTCAATTAGATCGATTCAATAAAATACAAGTCTCGATTTGGGGAAAGAAGTTCAATAGTGTACTGCACTAATGTTTTTTTTGCGAAAAATCTAGAAATATTACCCAAACTAAATTATGACTATTCAAAAGAAGACATTCAAATCTATATTATGTGAAAAAAATCAAATTTGTCCGAAGCAGGGATAATGCTCATTTAGATTGATGAACTTCGTTCTCCAAACCGAGAATCGTCCTTTACACCAAAATTTTTTAAAACATGTAGAAATGATCTCTGCCATCTAATTTTACTAAGTTGAGCATTTTAACTTGTATAGGTATGTAGTAAAATGTCAAAAGGTGGCAAATATGAAACATTCTCTGGTTTCAACCAATTTTAGAGCCTGGGATTCAAGAGGTTAAGACAAACATTTTAGCATATAAGTGAATGTAAATATATTATTCAATGCAGGATGAAGATTCAAGGTAGCCTTAAACAATATATAACCTGAGGAAAAATATAACATTTATCTGAATGGAAAATAAAATTAATATGATATCCGAGGGAAAAATATGATATCTGAGAGGGGAATATGATATCTGAAGGAGGAATATGATATCTGAGGGGAATAAGGTATCTGAAGGGGAAATTTCATATATGGGGGAGCGAAATGATATCTAAGGGAAAGATATGATATCCTACCTGTATACTGTCCCTGGTTGTATGTTGTGGAAAGCATCAATTTTCATTAGCAATCCCTGAAAGAAAGATAGTGATCATCATGTCTACATAAATGTGATATATACTCTCATGAATACCTAGCCTTAATATAAACTCATGAGATATCTGAAGATGAGGACGAGGACAATTCAGACTTTGTGTGCAAAACCTTTCAGAATTCAAACTGACTCTTTTATGTCATAATGGTCTTTCTGATGTCTTACTGATTCTTTTTGTGTCATACTGATAGTTCTAATATCATACTGACCTTTCTGATGTCATAATGGATCCCCCTGACAGCAAATCCAGGGTTGTACTCCAGACCAAGTATTGCTTTAGGGTACTGAAAGTACAAGTTTACAACAGATATAGACCAGTGTTTTTGGGTGATAATTAACATGGGGTATTGTTCAATTTATATCAACATTAGAATGTAAAATCAAACTTCCATTGCAGTTAGGCAGGCACACAAATAAAAAGAAAAAGGCAAAAAGGACTGTTAAAACTTTTTTTAACATTTTAATTTACTATAACTTGCAAAACTCTTCAAGACTATTGAATTTTTACTGTTTCACTATTTGTATTTTCATTTTTCAAATATTTATGTGTAAATAAACAAATATATTCAAATAAATATACAAATACAGTCTATCTAACATTTTATTTGTTGTTGCCATATCTATGTTTGTGAATTATGTTTTTATACTCATTGCTTGTATATTTTGTAGCTCATTAATTCAAATGATTTTGTTACCACATATTTCTTGAATTTATCTGTTTGCACACTGATGTGCATCTCAAAGTCATCAAAAGTATTTGATTGGGATATACAATTTTAGTATTTAAACAATCAATTTAAAGGGTTGCAGTTTATTTGCTTATTTTGATATTCACTATATTCAATGACTCATCTTATTGAATATTACTTATGAATATTGTAGCAGGTCTGACGCTATACAAAACAACAGGCAAAACAAATTGCTTGTAATGTTTGTTACTTATGTAACCTCTGTACAGCGTACAAGGTTCAGTAACCTACAGAAAGTAAATAAGGCATTGCTTGCTAAAAAAAGACCATATCAATGAACTAAGCAGTGAATTGATGGATTCTCTACCTAAACTTAACAACAGTTATGAGCTCATAGGCCAATTTATTCAGCAATTCGACAAGAAGGTTAAGATGTGAAATATCTTAGGTAAATGAAACATACCACAATAGACAATATTACAATATTAACTGATGAAACCATGTACCAAGAATTATATCAGTATTGTTGTTAAAATCAATTTAAATCAGATCTTCGCAATAGTCTGCTTTTGTGTAAATCTGTGTTTAGCTTTAAGTTACAAACAATGATTTTCTTGCTACCTCAGTGAGAGGATTTCTTGTGCTTCCAATTCACATGGCCATCAGCACAAGTGCAAGAAAAATAGAACATCATGTTAAACTTTTCTATTACATCCTAGACTCAATGATGTGTGACTATGAGTGACAGGTCTGACCCCCCCCCCACCCCCCGGGCAAAAATTCTTTCAAAATCATGCAGTTTTTCACCATTCTGAGCACTTTTTAAGTGTATTTGGTCATTTTTGGACCAAAATTGTCAGAAGTGAACCCCCCCTGGAATTTTTCAAATCCTGGCAAATCCTGGCTATGGACCCGAGTGACCAGATATAAGAGTAGACTGTTACTCCACATGTGCCCTCCCCCAAACTCTGCATTATACACTTACTGCTTACGTTTCATACCTCTCTACCTAAATTCAGCCTATATTTTAGAGTATCTCTTGGTTTATATATTGGATATTGATAAAAGGAAGCTTTTTAAATAAACAATAGACTAGATGCGAGTAGAAATAATCTTGATTTACATCATTTCATATTCAAAATTTAGTCAAAGTGATATCATATTTTCTTGTGTTGGACAGATAATGTTATCTTTTAGCCTACCTGACATATTTTAAATTGTATAATTATATCAGACACAGAAGGGTAATATAAAAATTGGTCCACTTTAACTGATCAATATTCAAGTTTAATGGAACTATCTTATATACCATCATATTAATAAACCTGAATGAGCCACCTGGTGGTGAAAATGGTAACTAAATACTCGCATCTGAGTTATTTTGAAAATATAGTTTGTCAACATTTGGATGGGCAGAGGAAATAATCCAGAATTCAAATTCCTATTTTTATGTAAAAAAATTAACCTAGAGGTTCATTTTCACATGAAGATAGATTCAACTTTGAATTCTGGGATATTCCCCACCTCCTGTTTCAGGGCTGACTTTTTCAGACACTTACTTTTAGCTGGTTCACTAGGGCCTCCCTGCCAAGCTGGTAAATGAGGAAATGAAGCTCATCCCTGTATGACGCCAACGTGTAGTCATAATCAAAGCCATAGACGTTGATGTCACCGAGACTGAGCTCATTGTTAGAGAAAATAGAAAGTGGGTCAACGTTGGGGGCAGCGGGACGTGCTGGAAAATAAAGCATGAGTGATTAAGTAATATTATAGAGAATATAAACTGAGTGCTGGTTAATATTAAGGGGGGGGGCTGATTAGTCCATTTTTAAATAAAACTGAGCAAAACACAAAATAAAAAGTGGGTCACATTGGGGGGAAAGATGTGCTGGAAAATAAAGCAATATGCAATAATGTAAGTGAAACATTATTTGAGAATTGAGAAGATAACAGTCGGGTCACATTAAGTATGGTGGGGCATGGATTATAGCTGACAATTGTTAAGTCTAGAAATATACTAGGTCAACAATAAGGGCGTTGGGGCATGTTGGAAAATAAAGCAATAGAGGAAGGTTAATTAGGTGATAAAAGCTAGATTAACAAGATTACATTTTAATAATTCATGGAAAAGAAATTATTTACCACTATACAATTCCATAAAATCAATTCCACATAAGCTTAGAACATGCGAATTATTAGGCAACCAATCCATCACCTCATCCTTTTTAATTGTATCCCTAAATACCTTAGGCCCTGATTCTTCAAGAAGTATGATGAAACATGTTCAATTCACAAATATTCACCAAAGATTCAAGATTCTGACATTTCACGAATCAATTCCCTCGATCAGGGGGGGGGGGAATTAGGAAACAAGGAAACTAATAAAATCTCAATTAATAATCTAAGTAAATAAAGCACCTTTTATGAAAAAATGAAAGATTTAGGCCATGTTTGGAATGAGTTATGTTCATCCGACATGGTAATCAAAATGGTGAGCAACAAAACTGTATATAATATTTGTCCTTTTCAGAAGCTAGCAATTTCTACTGCCTTTGGGCCTCTCAAGGTATGAAGAAACTTACAGTAAATAGATTTTCTCATCAATCAGTTATATCTGTATTAGTGTACACTCTTAAAATAGCTGCATGATAATTTATGTTATTTTTGCGTTTGTTTAAAATACCTGACTTGCATTCAAGTTCAAGCAACTGCATATAATTAATATGTAGTTTTCAAACTTTTGTGAATGGATGTTGAATGGATTTTTTCTTCAACATGTATTGTAATGACTTCAGTATGAATGAAATGTCCCTTGGTCTTCTGGTCTTGGATTGTGATATTGGTTCTTGAATGGTGGGGGAAAGGGGGTATTAGACATAGTTTCTTTTCACGTAAGATCATTGTTTTGGGCTATATGGGGTTTGTTTTTCTTGACTGGTATGCACTTAGAAATTGCTTTTTCTTGCCAAGTTCCATTACAACTTTTGGTCCTTTCCCTTTGGCACTAGTGCTTATATATTTCAAACAAACTTTAAAAGTATTTTTTAATTTACACATGAGATACAGCTGATGAGATATAGAGGATACATGAAGAGGGAGGGGGAGGAGTCATGCAAGACTATATGGATTTTGGAACTAATCACTGAAAGATGAAGTGGATGGATTATTTAGATTCAAGATATGTAATTAAAAATGTGATTAAATTGTTGTATAACTGAGAATATATCAATTTTCTACTTCAAAATACAAGATGTAAACAACATAAATAAAAATCCAAAGTTCAAAGAACATACTACAGTTCATTACCATTAAGTATGAAGAGTCTCTAGAGATCATGTGACAAAATCAAATTAATAGTGAGATCTTGAAAATGTTTTGGTGAGAGGATCATTAGGATGAGATTAAAAAAATTACAATTATTTACACATTCTACATACTGCTATCGTTTTTCACAACTCAATAAATGATCATTTGTAGCTATTTATATCTTAGATTTAAGAATTGTTATTCATTTTAACTTAACATAAAAGTTGTGGAAACCTGTCCAACTAAATAAATTGACATTGATAATGATACAATGATAATTGGTAATGAAAACAATGATAATTGACTGGACTTGTCCAAAGAAACAAAAAACAATGAAAACAACAAGAAATACATGAGGGTTTTGTTATGGAAGATTTTGGAGGGTATATCCTGAGGGCAAAATAGATGTCTTCCTAGGGTCCGGAGGATCCGAGGTAAGATATCATATTTCAAAACCAAGCATCACATAACTAATTTATCCTAAAACATGTGGGGTCTTCAGACATGCATATCCAGCTTTGTTTTCTTTTAAGTGTTTTCATTATAATTATTTTCGAGAAGTCTATCAACATATTTTGACCAATTTTAGTCTGAATTGTGAAACTGAGAATTTTGCACCCACTTAAGAGAAAATCCTGTGGAGAACACTGTGATAGTTAGCAGAACTTGTAAATGTTGGACAATATTCTTAAGTCAATAGCATTAACAAAGGTGAGAAATGTCAAAAGAATCTGATGAAAATCAATATCACCCACTTACAGTGAACTGTTTCTTACAGATAAGTAAATACATTTAAGTCAACAAAGCTGAAATACATGTATCTAGAGCAGTAGGCTTAAAACAAGACTGTTGAATACAGTAAATGCACAATCAATTTTGTCCCATCCTCTGACTGTCCGCCTATAAAAATAAATGATCGATTTTCTGTAGAGGGTCTGAGAATAGCCTAGGGTGGGACAAATTCTGGTTGTTCGATATTGACCAGCAAAGATAGTAGGACTGAAAATTGTTTGCAATGACTTTAGATAATAGATCTAAGGCAATCATTTTGTTAAAGTGTTTATACACAGTAACACTCTATGCTTCTACAAATGGCACAAGAGGAGGGAAAGCCCCAGAGATTTAGAGATAACAGACATACATGTAATTACGTCTCGTGCTAATACCACGTTCGTTTGTTCAGATTTTCGACTAGTTTCAAAAACCTACGTTTCCATGTGATATTTTAACCGATGTAGGCATATTCTGCAAATCTTATCTTGATGTGAAATAAGCTACATGTATCATATCAGTTATAATGCCAGAAATAACATAATATTATTTGAAGCGTATTTAGAAAATTTTGAGGCTGACATTTTGTTTGCCAATTTTGATCAGAGACGTATGTCATCTCAATACAGCTTTACATTATAAGCATGTAATCTTTGAACTCTGGAGTACACATACAGTGCAGTACACTGTAAACTGTAGGTCAAAACTCAACTGACCTTACTCACGTCGAGAGCTACTATGTTAGATTTTGAAAGTATAGCTCTCCATCGTGAGGATCTCCCAGCTGAAGAATTGTGACATCTAAATTTGATCGGCGCCAGTCAGCGGCTTGCTGTTTGTCTCAAACTGTAGCCTACATATGGGCTCATATGTGTCTACTTTCCCCGTGCATGTAGGATCGCGGATGTGCTTCTATGGCGATCAGGAGTTCTAATCGTTTTTTGTTCGATACCCATTTCCAATATGGCGGTTAAACGGAAATGCTATCGACGCATGCGCAACTTGGGAAACGTCAAGCCGCCATATTGAATATACCTGGCCAAAACTTTTGACACGACCAATAAAATGAAGTCCTGATCGATACATAGGGCAGTGAGACGTTCTATAGTTGAGCTGAATGAAAGATGGCGATGTAGGATACATTTTCAGGTATATAATGTGCAACATGAGTCAGCTGAATTCCCTGAAATTTTCTTTGAAGTCAGGATTCTTAAGCTGTTGATTCTAGCGATAGAGAGCTATACTTTCAAAATCTAAGAAGCTCTCGACGGGAGTAAAACTGACCTTCTTCTAAGGCTAGAGACTCGAGTAAAACTGACCTTTCACTGCAGCCTTTGCTCTGTTATATTCATTCCATAGCATCTGTTTGGATTCTCCAAGTGACGAGCCCAGTGATCCTACATATCTGTAGTTGTGTGTTATCCTACTAATATTGTGAAATTGGCTTAAATACAGACATCGTCTGCATATTCTTGAAAGTGTGGCCATCTCACATTTTTGGATTTTTAATTCTGTTATCTTATGTGTCAGCAAATGCGAGTTGAAAATAAACACGGATATTATATAATCATGATATTTATTAACTGTTTTGCTTTTTATTAGCTTTCTTTTAACGTTTCAATGATAATCTATGTAATGATAATTATCATTAAGAGTTATTTATATATGATATAATATATTTTTCAATTTGAGTTTGCTTACAATTCTATTTTACGACAACTATCTCAAGTCAGACGTTTGCAAATCAGAAATGTCTTCTTCAATTCACAAGTTTTTCGTGATTTCTGGCCTGTTAGCACTACTGCACGCCGCTTATTCCGCTGCTCAACGTAAGTCTACCACTTGATTTATGATATAATTGTCAAATTTGAGTTCTAACTATGATACTTACTACGAAATATAAGTCTAAACTAAAATTCTCATTTTTCGATTTTTTCCATTGATTGATTTTCATTCACAGTTCTTTGGTCACATTAGTGCCTTACGGTAATGCCGGGTTGTCGGCAGCGGCAGTAGATACTCTCAATTGCCGGTAATAAAATCCATTGCCGATAATCACCATGCTGCTGCAACATGATGATTGGCATTGCGATCCATTGTCAAATTTACGAAACAATGTTCGTTTAAGAATATTTTATCAATCATGTATATTTCAATCTCCACATTAGAAGAGCTAATCTGTCAATCAACTGCAAAGGATTCGTAAAAGGCGGGAGGATAAGCAAAACCCCACCCACTTCTGTCAATCATCTCCCATGCCGCGAGATTAACAAATCACGTGACGTGATATTTCGGTGAAGTAAAAACAAAAACAAATAGTTTGATCAATTTTGATCGAATTCACTCTATATTATCATTCAAAGACTTCCTAACAATACACAATCACACACGAGATACACGATGATACAATATATCCACTGTAGTTGATGTGAGCGGGAAATCAAGCTGAGAAATCGGCTTCGTTAAGGATTTTTCGAAATATTTTAGTTTCACATTCAGGTTTTTCCCTGGGATTTTAGGAACATTATCAGTATCAACGATTATCGGTAACGGTAAGGTAATGGAGGTGAAATTTACCAGCAGTGAGATCCATTACCGTTGCAAGCACTAGGTCACATGTTTGGTTGTTGTTATTCACCTTTTTAATTGGTTTACTAAATTTACAATAATTGGTCTGTCTATTTCATCATCCAATAATGGTGAGCCTATGAAGTCGCCCCACTCTTGCCTTTGCCTTGAAAGTTTCAACAATTTTTGATCGAATGAAACTGCGTTTTGTTTGAAATAATCATTGAAAGCCCGTAAACTAATGTAGCCCTTAGGACGTTGAGTTGGTCAAAGTTTGGCCAAAGTGGTCGAGCATCAGTTGTGTGAGCGGAGGGTCCTGGATTTGATTCCTGCATGGATGAGCGTGCCCAGGGTAGTTACATTAATGTCAGAAGTGGAATTGCCCTTGCGAATCAGTTACTAGGTGTCAATGGTGTGACGACTCTCGATAGCAAGTGGCTTCTACAGTCTTGGCTGTAGTGGCTAACCCTGCACTCATAAGCGTCAGAGAGTGTCTGAAAGGGTTCTGAGGTCGATTCCCGCATGGGGCATCGGATTTTGCACACTCCCTTTCTGGTCTAGTATCTGACTCGTAACACGTAACAGTTCCCAGGATAAGCGTGTCCAGGGTCGTTACACTAGATTTGAATTTTCTAAGTGCGTTATATGACTTCCTTGTGCTCACAATAACTCTGTCACTACTTGTATTGTTTTGATACACAACCGCGTCATTGGTTGACTCATTAACTGAGTAACAAATTATCCTATATATGAGGTGCAGAATATTGGGATTATCCCAATATCCTACATATATATTTTTGAATCTACCTGAGGGATGGAAGGTAGATCTCTAGAGGGATAAACCCCATTTTCAAACCAACTATATATATTCCTATTTATGCATGTATTTTTTCAACATTTTTTTCAAAATATTTTTGTCTTAATAAAGATGCATTATGCCATAGGTTTCTCCCCCAGACAATCAATGATGTCCTATTGTTATTGCTCATATGATATCTCACATACCATGGATATATCTTGAGAATAACTTTTGGGTATATTATTGCCGAAATATTGGAAATAATCAACAGAACAACCAAACTCCAGAATTAAACACAATCGATTCCTCGGCTAGTGAGGGGAATCCCCATTGAGTCACACAAGCACCCACAAGCGCACCAGGCAGCCAATCAGGTTTATGATAAACAAATTCAACAACCAATCAGATAACAGGAGGACTTTCCTGGTATATTCAAACTTCACATTGAATTAATTTCTTCGAAAATAATTAGCACTATCGCAAAATTAATACTGAAAGAGGGGGATTTGGGACTTCTTCTTTGGTAAGTAGATGGGTATATATGTGGTGAAACTCAATATGCAAAAAGTCCAGAAGGGTCTTGATTGTGTTATCCTATTGCATAGAGCCTCTTTAATTTTTTACAATTTTGGGGAAATTTAAAAAAAAACATTTTTTACAATTACCCAAAATAATGCCAGTGAACAGGCGATATGGTGAGAGATATGGTGGTTCTGGATATGAAAACCTCAAAATCAGGATACAGGTCATATCTTACTAACTCCCTAAAAATCTACTGGGCATATGATGAATACTGTCATTATTCCCAATAAGTTTCCCCATTGCTTTCATTCATTTTGCCTGTTTTCAGAAAATTTTAGCAAACCCCCACATTCACAGACTTCTTGACAAGTCTTTCCTTAATTTGTTCAGCTTATGTGCTTGCTGTTTCAGATAGGACATATGTACGACTCACAGAGCAAGAATTCACAGTCCTTCCAGCTGATGTAAGTACTCAAGATTCTAATTACATTTATTTGGGACTTTTTTGTCAATAATTGATGTCAAGTTAAAGGAAGGTGTGCATTTTAGAGTATGGTATGCTGGCGCTCTTTTCAGTATACGATTTCACTCGAAGTAATGATAGACTTCAAACAGGAGTGGATGGTACAAACTTATGATATCTGAATGTCCTGAAAATTATTGTACATGATGCGTAGTATTTTAAGGAACAGTTTACAGCCATAGACTTCAAACAGGAGTGGATGGTACAAACTAATGATATCTGAATGATTGTCCTGAAAATTATTGTACATGATGCATAGTATTTTAAGGAACAGTTTACTCCTCCATAGGAGACATCCATTTGTTTGAGGGATGGTGTCTAATTATCAGCAGTTAGGGAAAACAGCATTTATTTTATAGATTGACCCCCTCATGATTTTACCCCCCACCCCCTCATGGTTTTACCCCCTTCCCTCATTTAACAAAATTAAAATGTTGATAATTGCCTTTAACTTGAATATTTAAACATATCAACACTATCCATTAAAACAAAACAATAATTTACCCCCTCCCTTAAACTTAGTTATTCAACAACTGTTGATAAATGGACACCATCCCTTATCTATCTGACTATTGACTCTGCTTTTTTAGACCACCAGTAATTTCTCATTATTCAATAATTATTTTTTCAGATTTTACTACAGTGCCTAGCAGGTCTCATTCTTACCATATATGGAGTTGTAAATGTAGCGGGATCATTCCGAGACATAAGAGCTGCCGGGGATACAGAAAACAAGTAAGAGACGCATTGCACTATAGTAGTTTTTTGGATCACCCTGTATAAAGTAATCAAACCAGTTTCTACATTGTTTACTCTTGCTGTGGCTCAATGCTTCTATTCAAGCAAGCTACCTGGCTGGATAAACCTCATACTGATTCTATTTTACATTTCTTTTTATCTGAGTAACATTTAAAAAAAAATTTGGTAGTAGTCTTTGTTGAAATAAAGTATGCAACTTGTTTTATATTTACTTTTTATTTAATTTAAACAATATATCAACACAATATTCTACCACTGAACAAAACAATTCAGAATCATAAAAAATATAAAAATCTGTGTTAAATTTCCAGAACTTGGGAGACGTCACAAAATAGGCCATCATTCTATATATTTAACCATAGAGGGCGACACCTGTTTGGTGGGGACTATGATGATAGTGAATGTGACACACAGGATTATATTGAGGATCAATGATAGTACCTTGAAAGAACCACAAACGCTGCATAAGAAGTGAATGGATTTAGATATAAATTGAAAATAATATGGCAACAGAAGAATTAAATTGATGCCAATCTTGATGAAGTGATCCTCAAAATTCATTAGAAATCGACATAATTGTAATAAAACAAGAAACAATTTTAACAGATGTAAAATAATGGAATTACCAAGTGAAAGAAGGACAAATATAACCTCACTTCTAGTGCATGGAATAAGCATCAGTTCTATCCTGGATGAATCTACTGACTCCATATAAATTGCAAAGCTAAGTAACAATGCATGATTTTAGCAGCAGTCTTTTCCTGGATGAATTGGCTGATTGAATATAAGATTAAAAAGCTCAACATTCAGTAAGAAAATGTGGTATGGCCCATACCATATGGGTCTCTATAGTTGTACCATATCCTCGGATACTATTATCCTGAACCAAAATCACGAAAGTTATGATGGTCGGAAAGAAAACAGTGTCTGAATACAAGTCTATGTATATCTTAGGCCAGGAAAAAATATAAACTTAAAAAGACATTCTTTGTTAGCCTCCAGTCACTGCTACTAAACTGTATATATTGAACAAGATTCAGAAGAATGTGACGTGCAATTTTCACTTTTTTATTTGTCTGATAATGTAAATGTACAGAAACCACATGCTACATATGCATGGTTTTTTGGTTAAAATAAATGTTTGTAAAATGAAAAGTTAAATGTTTTGTCAACTGTATCAAATGCTGTGTTCTTGGTTGGTCAGTTTTCACAGAATTGTGATTGAGAAAACTTTCTTGACATTTTGTAAAATTGTCATTAAGACTGACACTCTAAGCTTTTAGGTATTGCCACAGTCATTCAAGTATAGCCACAATGCAAACTGCATTAACTCTTAAACTATGATTTTGAGGAGGATAGGGTATAGCACAAGAATAGGGTGTTGAGCAAGAATAGAGTGTGGCTTGGGGATAGGTTGTGGCTCAAGGAAAGGGTGTAGCGCAATATACTAACCCCTTTTTGATGACTCAAAAATTTAATGAAATCCCAACTGATAACTTCAGCATATATTTAGAATAAGTGAGTAGCTCCCATAATTTGGTATTACTTAGTATCAGGGGATTGCCCTACATACCTTATATGGATCTATCACATGATATTCAAAATGGGGGACAACATTAAGTTGCATTCCTATATGGTCCTATAAGCCTTATATGGATCTATCACATGACATTCAAAATGGCGGACAACAGTAGTTGGATTCCTATTTGGTCCTATAAGCCTTATATGGATCTATCACATGACATTCAAAATGGGGGACAACAGTAAGTTGGATTCCTATTTGGTCATATAAGCCTTATATGGATCTATCACATGACATTCAAAATGGCGGACAACAGTAGTTGGATTCCTATTTGGTCCTATAAGCCTTATATGGATCTATCACATGACATTCAAAATGGGGGACAACAGTAAGTTGGATTCCTATTTGGTCATATAAGCCTTATATGGATCTATCACATGACATTCAAAATGGGGGACAACAGTAAGTTGGATTCCTATTTGGTCTTTTTAAAAGCCTTATATGGATCTATCACAAGGATTCTGCTGGACACAATACCAACACTGAACTTTGGGAGATCCCCCCCCCCCCGACATACATTGGCAAACTGATCTGAAATCCTTATGTCAGACTAACATGTCACAATCTTGTCGGCAACTTGCCACAATCAAATTGGGCAACAGAGTATCGAATTCGAATAACGGCTTCTAATCCTCCTTGGTTCTTTATGGAACAGTATTACATACCTAGCGAAGCATTTGTATGGAAGTCAATGGGAAAGTTAGCAAGCTATATCCACCAATATTGCCCGATTACCCCGATATAGCCCGCTTACCTCGTTTTGATATTAGATTTCTTTAATAACCATGATAATATCATGACGTCACGTCATTGATACAAAGTAACCATGGGAACAAAGGCATGTAATACATCAGTTATGTCACTATGACGTGAAATATGCCTTCGTTCTTGCCCAAATATAGAGCCTCCCAAGGTCGGCCTATATTGGGAGAACTCAGGCATATTTCACGTCATAGTGACATAACCTCTAAAAGTTGTTCAAAATTTTCAAAGTAAGGTTGTTTTTGGCGTCAATATTTCAACTGACATCCATATGTGACATCATGCTGACATCCGAATCAACAATATTACAAAACAGTAGTACAGAATACAGATCACAGAATATAAAATATATTATTAAGTACAGTAATACCTGTATAAGTGGAACACTTTTGGTACTTCTAAACTATTCCATTCATATAGTTTCATCTAACATGAATTCAGTTGGTCTTGGTTCTCTGGAAAGTGTTTGACTAACATAGGTGTTCCACTTCTAGAGGTGTTCCACTTTACAGGTTCCACTGTAGTGTAGTGGCTTCTGTATTTTGTGTATTTGCAGAAATGATACTCATCTCTGAATAATGCATTTAAAAACTAAAATAAAACAAAAACAAAACATACATGTATTATTTATCATTGGTTATTTTATTATATTCAATGTTGAAAACTCGTTGAAAATGAAAACTAAAACATAAAATACAAATTTTACTAAAATTACATTTTGATGAAAAGTACACAAAATCAACATACAATAATGGTCTATAGTTCAGGGTTCATGACTCAGGTTGAAAACATGATTTCTTCAATTAAACATTCAGTGAATTGTCCAATACTTGAGAAAATATGAGCTTGAGATATGCCTTACCTTTAAGGTGGAAGAAAAGCTATTGATATACATGTACCATTTGAAAGATGAGATGGTCAGCTTTATGCACCATTTGAAAGGTGAGATGGTCAGCTTTAAAAACCATTTGAAAGGAGAGATGGCCAGCTGTATACACCATTTGAATGGTGAGATGCTCAGCTTTATATACCATTTGAAAGGTGAGATGGTCAGCTTTATACACCATTTGAAAGGTGAGATGGTCAGCTGTATACACCATTTGAAAGGTGAGATAGTCAGTATTAAACACCATTTGAAAGGTGAGATGGTCAGCTGTATACACCATTTGAAAGGTGAGATAGTCAGCTTTATACACCATTTGAAAGGTGAGATAGTCAGCTTTATCAATTTGAAAGGTGAGATGGTCAGCTTTATACACCATTTGAAAGGTGAGATGGTCAGCTTTATACACCATTTGAAAGGTGAGATGGTCAGCTGTATACACCATTTGAAAGGTGAGATAGTCAGCTTTATACACCATTTGAAAGGTGAGATAGTCAGCTTTATCAATTTGAAAGGTGAGATGGTCAGCTTTATACACCATTTGAAAGGTGAGATGGTCAGCTTTATACACCATTTGAAAGGTGAGAATGTCAGCTGTATACACCATTTGAAAGGTGAGATAGTCAGCTTTATCAATTTGACCACAACATACAATACAGCATTCTTCATTTAACCATTTCATCATCAGGGAGTAAATTAGTAAATGACAGCAACTGGAATCTATTTTTATTGAAGGACATGACCCAACAAAGAGTCAAAAATAATCAATTTTACAGGGTGACCAAAAATGCAACCCTTAATCCCTAAGTCGTAGATGCAATATAAGCATACCTCCCTTTGCTTCAATAAACCCAGGGAAAACCAAAAGGGTTACACCCAAATTGAGAGTAATTCCAAAATTGATTAGTAAGGGAGCATTTCAAAAGATCGATATCGGAAGATTAACTGTACATGTATTTGCACAGTTAGTGAGGGAATGGGGTCATTGGTCTTAAAAGTTAATGTTCCGACCATTCCCGGGAATTTTCTTAGTGCATGCTCTTTTTGTCCAGTGCACTTTTGGTATAAAAAAAAATGTACACAACAAAAGTAAAATTATTCAAAACATGAGCGGCTATTCAATTGTTTTCATTTTCAATAGTGAGACTGATTTCAAAATTGACGATAAACTTGTCCAGTATTAAATCTACTGCTGATACAGAAATACAGATTTGAGTTGTAATAGAAATGACTACATTACATGTTATGTTAGATATACTAGTAATGTGACTTCCGAAACAACACATATCAACATTTCTCAAACACAATATGAAGGAGAGGGAGGGGGTCACAGATTAACAGTGCAAATACAGTTAATAATCCTACATTGAACTTTTGAGATGCTCCCTAATTCACCCTTACTGGCAAGTTGTCAAACACCTTATTAATTGCAAACTAATACTACAAAGTTACTTTAGAACTTTTCATGCTTTTCTCATGATTTTTATGTGACGATTGTGTACTTAAATGAATCTCATGATACAACATCCAAATATAAACATACAAAAATTTAATATTCTACTTATAACCGGATAATTGTGGTGCAACCATTGTACAATTCTAGTACATGTACAGAGATTGTACCATTCTAGGTATTGTACATTTTAGAATACTAGTACAGTTGATGTTTCATTTTAATCAACCAATGTACAATTCTTTGCAACCATTTAACCATTCTAGTGCAATCTCTGTACTAATCTAGTACAACTACTAGTATTGAGCCATTTCTAGTTCAGCCATCCTCCTAGTAAGCAGGTATCAAGAATCCGTACCTCCTTCTTCCCCCTGCTTTAACCAATTTAGAAGCGCCCGATTATACTGAATCAGGTGATCTGATTATGCGCAATTACGTATACATGATTTCTGTCGCAGTGTTGCGACAGCCAATCAGATTGCGAGTTCTTAATCGGGGAAATGCTAACAGTTTATTGCAGGGGGTAAAAAGAAAGAAAATTTTCTGGATTTTGAAGCCCTGTGATCAGAGGATGAGTTCAGCCTCCTTTCTATTCTTGTACAGTCATTTTACCATTTGTAGCTCACATACAGCCCCAGAACCATTCTAGTGCTGTCGATGTACCATTTTAATACAGCTTATGCACCAATCCAGTACAAACAGTGTGCCATACTAGAGCAGTTGAAGTACCATTTCAATACAGAGAATGTACCATTTTAGTACAACCATTGACCATTCTAGTACCATATTAGTACATTCAATATACTATTTTAATACTGAATACAACCAACATGACCAATGTGCCATTCTAGTACAGCCATTGTACCAACGATTTTAGTACAGATGTCGTACCATTTTAATAAAGCCAATGTACCATTCTAGTGCAATCATTATACCATATTAGTACAGATGATGTACCATTTTAATACAGCCAATGTACCATTCTAGTGCAATCATTATACCATATTAGTACAGATGATGTACCATTTTAATACAGCCAATGTACCATTCTAGTGCAATCATTATACCATATTAGTACAGATGATGTACCATTTTAATACAGCCAATGTACCATTCTAGTGCAATCATTATACCATATTAGTACAGATGATGTACCATTTTAATACAGCCAATGTACCATTCTAGTGCAATCATTATACCATATTAGTACAGATGATGTACCATTTTAATACAGCCAATGTACCATTCTAGTGCAATCATTATACCATATTAGTACAGATGATGTACCATTTTAATACAGCCAATGTACCATTCTAGTGCAATCATTATACCATATTAGTACAGATGATGTACCATTTTAATACAGCCAATGTACCATTCTAGTGCAATCATTATACCATATTAGTACAGATGATGTACCATTTTAATACAGCCAATGTACCATTCTAGTGCAATCATTATACCATATTAGTACAGATGATGTACCATTTTAATACAGCCAATGTACCATTCTAGTGCAATCATTATACCATATTAGTACAGATGATGTACCATTTTAAAACAGCCAATGTACCATTCTAGTATAGGCACTATTATTTATACCATTCTAGTACACTGTATCATTCTAGTTCAAACATTGTACCATTCTAGTATAAACATTGTACCATGCAGTCAATTAACCATTTTATTCAACCAATGTACCATTCCAGTACATTCATTTTCTAGTAAAGCAGATGTACCATTTTAATGCAGCTAATGTACCATTCCAGTATATAATTGTTAAGTCACTTAATACTTATTCCATCCAATTTAAAAGTTTGGACGAACAATCCAATTTTCAGGAATTTCGAGTGTCAAGTTCTTTGTTTAAACTTTTCATCCAATTCTCTGTGTATATCAACTCTCTACTTTCTACCAGGAACAAGCCTAATACATGTATGTCCAGCCTGCTGACACACTGCTATCAGAGCTGGGACACTCTGCACTGACACACTGCAGCTAAGACACACTGTATTTTCATTGCAGCCACGGCACTGATTTCTGCCGAAATTATCAAAAGGGTGCAAATAGATTTTCAAGGGGTGCAAATAGATTTTCAATAGGGTGCATTTCATTGCTCCAATGCTGGGAAGATTATGCATTGATATTGAATTCAGTTGCAATAAGGTTGAGTTGTCTTGTCTCATTATTGCATACTGCAGTTATTTGTCTGTCTGTGTGTCTCTCCACCATCTGGTTCCCATAGCAATTTTATGTTGTTACTCGTAGAGACTTCAGTTGAAATGCACTTCACTTGCTTCCTCAAGATTTGTGTGTCTGTATGATGTCTCCTGGTTGCTATAGTGACTGTGACTTCTGACTATGAAGAAATGCATTATGGGAAGCCACTGCTACAAATTCAGCCTTTTCATTTGTTCATAGGTTATAAAAAACTGGAAACTGTTAAGGATTATTTTGCATAATTTAAGTATTTCTTTTTAACATAACAAAATCTTACAAACTCCTCCCAGCTTTTGCTCCACCAAAAAATATGGGATATACTGGCCAGATCGATACATACATTGATACATACGTACATCTGGCAAATATATCCTGGTGTCTTGCGAATACCAAGGGGTGGCAGTTTTTTTCTTTTGAAAAGGTATATCATGCTAATTTTTAAGAAAGCCCATGGAAAACTTTTAAGTATGTTTTGAACCTTAAAATCCCATTGGGGGAAGTTCATAAACAACTTTATACACATAAAATGATAAAATTGACTCTATGATAAAAATACTTTGAAAATGTATCAAATAATTGTTTTGTGTAACGAAAGGATACTATAATATTCCAAGGTCCTAGTCTAACCCAGTTTGGTATAAAACCTTTATATAACGCTGCAACACCTTCTGTCCGCACAGTCTGCAAAAATAATACCATATATGGTAATCACAATGCTATAAATCACCCAGACAACAGTGATTTCAAGCGTCATTCAACACTATTAGTGTGTCAAACAATATCTTAATATGTCATACAATACATACACACTTCAATTTGACATGCATTTGTTGTAGGTATAAGTGTATTTGTTCAAGTGTCATACAATATTTTCATGTGTAAAACAATATTTCCATGTATAATACAATATATGCATATTTTCATGTGTCATACAATAATGCTTCCATGTGATTTACAATATATGCATTCATACAATAATTAGATGGGTCAATTAACGTATTGAGCAAGTATGTATTGCAGGAGAGGCACCCTGAGGTAATGTGTCACAGAATACTTCCCTGTGTTGTACAATATATATTAATAATAAATTATGGACGCTGGTTGACAGACATTATAATAAATATGAACTTATGATATACCAAATTAAAGATAAGTAAATTCCCTATCCACTGGTATATAATATGACATGTTTTCATAAAAAAGATCAATACATGTATTTGTTTTTGAAATACGAGTGTCCCATTTTTTGGACCACCCTGTATATTATACAATACTTAATGCGTCAAACAATATCCATGTATTATACAATATTTGCATGTCATACAATACTTACATGTGTCAAACAATATCCATGTATTATACAATATTTGCATGTCATACAATACTTACATGTGTCATACAATGTAATGAGCTAGTATATATTGCTGGTGAAGCACCCTGAGATGTTGTCTTCATCAAGTTTTGTTGATTCATGAGCCTTGTTTTGACGACGTCTACTGGATTGGAACATATTGCACCTAGTAGACCTGCTATAAAACTGGATCTGGAAGTTGAACGAAAGGAATAATGTAACAAAGCTCCCTATTAAAGCAAGTGGGTGCTGCACCCATTTGAGATTTTAATGCTTGCACCCAACTGAAAATCCATTTGCACCCGCTTGAAATGAGAAAAAAATCATGAAAAATCAGTCTATTTTAACTTTTGGTCTAAATTATGAAAATAAGAGTTATGCCCATCTTGAGGAAAAATCTTGGGGAGTTTTAGTTCTTGCAAATGATTCAAATACTAACAATATGGTACAGGCACTGTTGGTAACACAGAAAAGGTTGCTATAACAATAGTATTTCATTCTTATGTCCCAAGTAAAACAAAAATATATAATCACACGGTACTAACTTCGACCGTTAATTTGAATTTTTGACCTACCGGATGTTTGAAAATCAAGGATTACGAGTCTCGTACTGCACCGTTTTTCTTCAAACTTGTTCCATTCAAAGCATAACAAAAATCCCTTTCTGTTGGTGCATTATTCTCTTAAACAGAGTCCCTACTTCCAGCGGCATTTTGGTCCCCAGCTGTAAGAAGGCCTTCTAACAGCTGGGGACCAAAACGGCGCTAGAACAAGGGACTCTTTACAATAAAGTAATGCACCGACAGAAAGACAATTTTGTTTTGCTTTTAATGGTAACGTTTGAAGAAAAACGGTGCAGTATGAGACTCGCATTCCTTGATTTTCAAGCATCTGGTAGGTCAAAAATTCAAATTAACGGTCGAAGTTAGGACCGCGTGATAATATGTCTTCTATAAAATTATATAAATTAATAAGTGGTAATTTCGCCCAATCGTTTGATTTATGCCTATTGATTAATTTTGCCAGGTTTGAAAATTAAATGTCGGAAATAATATCTTTATAATGCTATCCCATGGGAAGTTTCTTGTCATAAGGAAAATCAAAATTAGGAAAATGATAAAATTTGGCCATTCGGCAAATTAACCACTCTGATTAAATGCCACTTATACAGCAATATATAGGGAAATAATTTATAGTATAATAAATAGTTATTATTTGAAAAACTGACTTACATAAAATGAGTGTACATATTGTCTCCTAGTAAGCCATGGTTTATGATGTGTTTTTTCGTAATATCATAAGCAGGTAACTCAACACCGACAACAATGGCTGCCCTATTTGCTGTGGGTCCCACACCCTAAAATATATCAAACGTTAATTGATTTAGGAAATATATCAAACGTTAATTGATTTAGGAAATATATCAAATGTTAATTGATTTAGGAAATATATCAAATGTTAATTGATTTAGGAAATATATCAAATGTTAATTGATTTAGAAAATATATCAAATGTTAATTGATTTAGGAAATATATCAAATGTTAATTGATTTAGGAAATATATCAAATGTTAATTGATTTAGGAAACATATTAAAAGCTAATTGATTTCTGAAATAGATATGTATTGTGTAAGTATAATAAAACAGATATGGAAATAGAATAATTAATATATTCACTTTTGTTTTACTTGTTAGTTCTTTGTATGTTTATGCAAATAAAATAATGCTAACGAAACAAACAAACAAACAAACAACATTTACAGCACTTTTACGATTCCCAATTGACTTAATGTTAAGTGAACTTCTGTAAGTGGAACACTTTTCAATTGGAAAACTTCACTTTTTAGAGTTACCAAATGTATACGATTTTCTATGTTGTTTTTGTTAAGTTAGTACAAAGTCATCCTCCTATCACAGGGCTTCAAAATCCAGAATATCTTCTTTCTTTTTACCTCCTGCGATAAGCTTTTAGCATTTCCCCGATTTGATTCGCTGTCGTAACATTGCAACAGCAATCATGTATACCTCATTGGCGCACAATTAGATCATATGATTCAGTTTTATCGGGCGCTTCCAAATTGGTTATAGCAGGGGGAAAGAAGGAGGTATGGATTCTGGACACCTGCCTAGGAGGATGGTGCAAAGTGTTTCAAGCAAATGTTAACCACTTACCCTCCATAGGCCTCTTACTCCTTCATTCCTATATATATGTCCAAAGGCTTGGATGAGCCCCATCTTCTTAAAGCTCTCATTTTGAGCTTGGAATCGTACCTGAAGTAGCACATTAAAAATAAATTTTCACAATGAAATTATTGGGTCCTTTAAGGTCATTCTTAAATTTTAATTCTCATAAACGATTCAATTCTCATAAAAAAGAAACTTGAACAAAAATGCAATATTCTATCAAAATCGGCATTGACTGGGAGAAATTCCATTTTTAAACTTATATGCCAGTGGGATGCCAAAAAGTCTACTTGGCAATATTTGGAAAACAGAATTTTGATATATTTTATATATATTTTTTACGAAAAATGGTGGCCATTTTGAATTGAGTGGCCATATTGAAAATTCCCCCTAGAGCAGAAGTCCTCAGCCCATAAGGCATAAGCCTATCAAATCAAATTCGTCAACCTGTATTTGAGTTAGGGCCCATCTCGGTTATAAGGCCTCCATTTTAAATGGATTCGATTGGGAGTCTAGTCTTCCAAAGTATTCATATTGTTTTTCTTACCTTCAAGACATCTGTAGGATTAGCTATACAGCTTGATACTATACCGGCTATTACGCCACACACCATATTTGGTAATAACTTTTCATCTAGAAATAAAAAGTAAAACAATTCACATTATATTTTGAACACCCCTCAAATTCCCACAGAATTGTTTTCTGCAAATAAGAGGATTCTGTGCGGGAAAGGGCCAGTTGTGTATAAATTCTTAAAGATTTCTTGACAAAAATGTTGGAATATTAAAAAATGTATGTTTTGAATATATATTTTGAATATTGAGCTTTAGGATATAATAGTACAATAACGTCATTTCTAAGGGCAATATAGTGAAATATATATATTGCTCATAGAAATGACGTTATTAGTATTATTACCACCGTTAACGACCAGGGCTGAAATAGCAAGAAAATCTTACGCACTGAACGATATCTAATTTCCCGGGGAAAAGTTGCCGGTCCAGAATATATTCTAGACCGGTCCATATGGACCACCACTATGATGTCACACATTTCTCAGGTCGATAATCGATATAGTAAAATGAACGCCTTCTAAACTAGCACTAAAACCCCTAGAACTGGCCCGGCAAGGTGGTAATAATGTCGATTATGCATGAAATTCTGTACAAATTCATCACAATTCAAGTTTCTGCAACTTTGTGAGCTACTATAAGCTAATTCAATCTGCGCTCAGTTGAAATGGCACAATGACAGATGTAATTGTAAAACATTTAAGAAATTGATTCAAAAAGTTTTTATTTTCAAATGTCTAAGAATCATTGTGCTTCTACATTAGGCTAGATAACAGTCTTATGGCATATACTGCATATTATATGGCATTACAAAATAAGTTAACAGCACGATGTTGTTCCTTCATGGTTACCTTTTGGATCTTTGCATATTGCCCTCTTGAGAGTATGATATATTCCTATCTTTATAGTGCCATATGTTGCTTGACGTAACACTGCGGGTTTTAACCTACAAAAACAACATGAATGGGTGTCATACCAAAAAAATACCAAAAGTAACACTGTCTGTTTTTTTGTTTTTTAACATTTACTTCAAGAATAAAACATATATACATTTATACATAGGCCAAATTACATTGTTTACTTTCTATACAGTAACACTGTATAACTGTATAACAAATACAGTAAACTCACCCAGAAATATATAAAGCTTTAAAGTCAGATTAATAATTCGATTGAGTACTTTGAATCTAAAAATTAGCAATCAAAGGACCACATTGCAATAGTATATGCAAAATTAGAAACATTCACATTCTGTTTTGTAGTTTGGCTGTCATATGTGTGGCCTCTTATATTTTGACGCTTCTCTGCCATGCTTTGTTCGAAAAAATAACATGGCTGAAACTCCCTAAATTACAAAAGGCCACAGCTTTGCTGCACATTATACCTAACAATCTGAAATAAACAAAAGTTAGGCCTTATAGATATGTTTTTATTTTTCATATACTTTTGCAACATTGTCATTTGATTGCTTATTTTTTATATTCAAAGTACTAAATAGAATTTTGAATCAGACTTTAACTCCTTCTTTACTACCAATTCTATACATAGCATGGAACATGCCCCGGTATTTCAACTCTCAAATACAGTAAACTCACCCAGAATATAAAGCTTTAACTCCTTCTTCACTCCCAATTCTATAAATAGCATGGAACATGCCCCGGTATTTCAACTCTGTGTGCTTCACATTAAGTTTCTGGCCTTGAATCTGAAGCCGTGTCTTGCTTGTGTCAATCGGGAAAGTCCCTGGAAAATGTAAAGGTGTAAGTGAAACAAAGGTACTATTCTCATATGACCCATTATATGCCCCCTCTGAAAAACTTAAAGTGTACAACTGTAAGATGAAATCTCATTAAGAATGTACATATCAAATGATTTTTTTTATCCCATCGTCGATGGAACCAAACAAAGCCATCTTTTTGGGATATGCGAAGTATTTATTGGTATTTGGAACTACCTATGTCATCCATTTCATGTAAATTATCTTTCCAAGAATATATTAATAATAATTAAAAAATAAATCAAAAGAAGTACTCACCACATTCTGCTATTACAGATGACAGGCCACCATAGACAAATGGTCGCCAATCATTCATTTGTCAATCTGAAAACAAAAAACATTTCTGAATTATAAACTAATGCCTCGTTACATTTGATCTATGGCAACTGTCCGTACGGTGGCTGTAGCTTCCCAAAATTGAGAGAAATATTCAGCGCTGCATAAAATAAAGGGATTAGCAGTATGATATGGATTTTTTAATCAATTTTGTGAAGTTACGCTGCCCTATAGCCGCCATAGACCCATAGAGCAAATGTGACCGAGGCTTAACTTAATGACACGCAGCATGCCAAGTCCTCTCTCATGCATTATGGTAGGAGTGTTTGTTTAGACCAACCAACTTGAACAGAATGACAGGTTTGCCACTATATATTAAACCATACATAAAATTATGTAAATGAAGAAATATTGCAATAAAAAAATTAAACCACCAGAGGTCAGGCAGGTGCAGCGTTGTTTGAAAGAGAGGTTGCACCTGTTAAAATGTAAAACTACTCTACTATTAAGCTTAAAATATACTTTATTATAATCAATACAATAAAAACCTACATGTGCTATATCATTTCATGCTCAGATATATGTTTTAATAACATTTAGGTCACTGAAAATTATTGAACACATCATATTTGCATTTAAAACATACGCTGTAATATCCAAACTTACCTAAATTTTGCCACCTCCTTTTAAAATTTTGCAATTTATTCAATGACTGAGTTTTACCACAGGTATTTCTTATGCTTAGTGAACATACAATTATGAGTTGTCAGATTTTCATTCGAGGTCCTCAATTTGATATGACAATTTGCCAGAAAACAGCATCTAAGGATATTAACAAAATTTGAGTATGTATGCACAAGTAACATAGTGAAAGAGCCAAAAATTATTTAACAACACAGAAAGTAAAAGAAAACATTTCAGTTACACCTGTTTAAAGGAAAACAAACCCCAACTGTCCCGAACCATGATCTAACATGAAAAGAAACAATGCCTAATACCCACCATTCAAGTAGTACCATTATCACAATCCTATACCACAACACCAAGGACATTTCATTCATACTGTTTGGACTTGCTGACCTTGAAATCAAGATGGCTGCCGAAAGGTTAATCTAAGCTTACCATGTCACATGTGTAAAATTTGAAGTAATTCTGTTAAGTGGTTTTCCTGGAATTGGAATGACAAGATTCGATACCTAGTTTTATCTGTTTAGTTATGACTCTTAGATTGTGCTTTGAAATTACACTGAAAAACCAGTTATGTCATCTAAATATTAAAGCATTAATAATCTTGTCAGTTGTATGAAAATGTAAAAATAAAAGATGCCCAAATATTGAAAAGGTGATTCATCAATGAGCCAATCAAATGGGTGAGCCGAGCATCCACTAATTACGTATAGTGTAAATGACATTGCCTAACTGCCTTCTTACATGTGACCAAAGGCAGCAGTGACAATTTGTGAAATGAAGACAGACAGGAAAATATACCAGAAATTCAGTCTAAATACATTTCTGATACAAGAAAGACCTAAAGTTTCCAGTCCCAGGGTTCGAACTTAACTTTCTCGCCTGGTATTGAAAATAGTTACCTGAGATTTTTTCTAGGTAACTAAATAGCAAAGTAAGGTAGTTGTTATTACCGCTTGAAATTGTTATTACCGCGATAAAACAAAATTTTACTTGACACTTTATAAAATAAACAAGTCTATTGATCTGTTGATCTATTATCAATTTTATTCCATGATAACTTTAGAAACTTAAGGTCTTGTTTTAAAAAATAGTACTAAAAACATATATCTATCATGTCTAGCTCAGCTAGGGCCGAGGGCCTGGACAAGGCGTGGTACTCAGATCTTTACAAATAGCCAGTAGTGCGCAAAATTCAGTTTTAATTTTAATAGATCAGATGGGAGAACATTACAGGCTATAAAGCCCCCACCCCTCCTAAACTTGTTGATGATGATGATGATGATTAGTCATGTGATCAGACATGATCAGATCAAACTATAATTGACCAATCATGTGGTATAAACATTCAAATTCAAATTTCCCACCATAAACATCCCTAAGTGAAAGGTCAGGCTGATAAATTTATGCAAATAGCTGTTGTTTTTTCGAGTTTCCCTTCCCAAGATTTTAATTTCTTATTTCAAATCTGCATCAGGAGGAGTGAGTAGCTCCCATAATTCTTTCATATTCTATCGTATTCGGGGATTCCCCATTACATCATCTCTTGCATCATCTCCAATCAAATTGCAGGATTCGATCACGTGAACAATCATGGGCACATGCTCTCTCAGTGCTGCGCATGCGCAGAGTTAAATTTTAAATCGTGAGAATGGCGTTTACATCAGTTCAACATCGTCATTTCAAACCTACGGTAATACTATTGAAGTTACTCGATCCATACTTGTAGAGAATACTCATAAAACTACAGTGAACATTTGGAGATCCATTTCAACGGAAAATTGAGGCCTGTTTATAAAAAAAATTTTCGAACGTGCTAATATGATAGGGCATCTTTGGGAAATCTCCCCCCCTGAATCTGCATGGTAAAATGGGAATTGCAAATTTTATTGAAGGGGGTGAAACCAATTTAGTACTAGAGTAATATTTTTCTCAATAGATGTCTCCCTTTTTCATACAGGAAGTTAGGCTAGCAACTTCAAAACATTTCTTAACAATACGGTGATTTTAACTCAAAATTGCCGGTTTTTAAGACTTTATTTTAGGAAAATAAGAATCTGTATGGTAAGTGAACACTTTATCTTATGTTTTGAGAAGTTGCAGCTTTCAGCTTAAGTGAAAATGGATGAAAAGTGTCAAAGAAAAAAAAATCAAAAATATTTTATCACGGCAATGTCGGCATATTTTCATTTGAGAAGTTGAGTTGACGATCATTTAGAGTTCTTCCCATAAAGCAGGTAACTATTTTCGTTGCTTGGGCATGTTGCTAGGTAACGATTTTGGAAAATTAAGGAACGAATCGTTACTTCCGCAACTATCTTAATTTTAAAATGAACCCCTGCTTTACTGGTCTATGACTGACACATCCTTGCCCGTAGCCAGCCTTCACCAAAGGGAGGTTTTTTCCAGGGGGAGCTTTCTGATAGTTTTGGCTAAAATATCATTTGAAAAGTGCTTGGAATGGTGAAAAACTGCTCCCCCTGGCTATGAGCCTGACACCCTTGCTGATTGGTCAAAATACATCATTTGATTGAGAGTTAACAGAAACAACAACAAAATGGCTGATTCAAAATTTTGTACAACAATTCGATCAGTATAATGTTAATTTCTAGCACATCTTCATTGATAAAAACATCACATCAACTTCTGGTATTCAGAAACTACACTAAAATTTTAAATGTTTGGAACTACTTTGAAAAAATAAGCAATAAGATTTAAATATAAGCAATCAAATGCCTATATTGCAACAGTATATGAAAAATGGAAACATATGTACAATTCCTAACTTTTGTATGCATAATGTGCAGCAAAGCTGTGGCCTTGTGTAATATAGGGAGTTTCAGCCATGTTAATTTTTTCGAAAATAACATGGCAGAGAAGTATCAAAATATAAGGAGCCACAGATATGAGAGCTAAACTGCAATACAAACTAAAATATATGAAAGTTAGGATTTGTATAAATGTTTCTTTTTTTACATATTCTGTTTCAATATGGTCCTTTATTGCTTATTTTTTAGATTCAAAGTAGTTTCAAACATAAAAATTTTACTGTAGATGGTGGAAATTTTGTGACATAGACTAGTGCACAGAACTGGTAAAGTCCATTCATTCAAAATAAGAAATTGGGAGACCATTGTGCAATAATATATGGAAAAGTATATTCATAATGTTTATGAATGACATTTGTATATTTCAGATTTTTTAGTTTTTTGTGCAATAAGCCTGTGCCGTCTTGTAATTTGAAGAATTTCAGCCATGTTAATCTTATTGGAAATAACATGGCAAAGAAACATCCAAATATAAGAGGCCACACACTTTATAAGCCAAACTAGAAGCAATCCAACATATACAAATGTCATTCATGTACATTATGAATATACTTTTCCATGTATTATTGCATAATGGTCTCCCAATTTCTTATTTTTGCCGTTCTACTGACGAAATGAAGCAGTGAAATGGACTTTAGTTATGAATTCAACTATGAACTATGTCATTCCTCCTGCTACTGAATATCGTAAAATTTACTTTATGAATTATTCGTTACAACTTCCTGTTTTCCGAGCAGTCAGGTGCACTGCAGGTGAAAAGTGAAAAAAATTATATCTGACCTACAATAATTTGACCTCGAAATTTACTTCAAATAACAAACGCTGAGTGCATAATTGTGTGCTCCACTTATAACCCATGTGTTATCTTACCTTCTAGATATGATTTGTACTCTTCAAAGACAGATTCATTGACGAATATTAACTAATAGTGGAGATCAGAAAAGTTTAGGTGACCTATTGAATGCTACTGGATTACGCCAAGATGGAATATCTCGAATCACGAAATAGTATACATTGGCTTTCAGATCACCAACCGTGAAGTAGGTACTTTAGGTCCAGGGGCGGATCTGGGAACCAACGGGGGGGGGGAAAGTTCTGGTCTGAGAAAAAGGCTTCCGCGCTTTAGCGGGAAAAAGCTTGGGACCTCAAACCAAAAAGTGGGCCCAAATTATTAATTTTCGAGGACCATTTACTTCAAAATTTGGCCTAAAATTAAAAAATAAGGCCTTAGAAGGCCTATTTATGACCAAAAATGCCCACTTTTTGAGGCTCTAAGGACGTTTGCTCAAAATATTTCCTGTCCAACCCAGGGGGTAGACCCCCCCCCCCCCCCCCATCAAGCTCCGCCAGTGATGTCTGTTTGTCATGGGCTTTCAAGAGACTCACATTTTTTTATTTTATATAGAGTCACTAGTACGGCCTAACCTAGAATATGTTAGTGCAGCATGGGATCCTTACCGCCAGAAGGATATCAACATGCTGGAACCGAGGTACAAAGGAGAGCAGCCAAATGTCACTCTAGGGAACCAGGCTGTGTCACCCAAGCTCTCCAACACCTGCAGTGGGAATCACTACTATCCCGTAGGGATGCTTCTAGACTTTCCCTCTTCTACGAAGGAACCCACATTTTAGCTGCCACCACTAGTCTCCCGGGGACTAGTCTATACCCACATACTTCAGCCCTCAAATAAACACAAACACTAGACAGTTCCATCCATCCAAATTCATCCAACCAGCCAGAACGGATGCATACAAGTTTAGTTACTTTCCAAGGACAATAGTAAAATGGAACACTCTACCTAGTGATATTTTAGACAGTGATAGCCTATCCAGTTTTAAATCTTCTGTCAGCAAGCAGCTTACTGGCAATTAAGCTCAGTTGTATTTTAGCACTGAATAGGTCTATGGTACCCCCCTATCACACCAAACTAGTTCTTACCCGTTCTTGCCAGTCCTACGAAAACGTCGTAAAACGGGCTCAATCTGGCTGTGGTCGGGAAATATGTCTGAAATAATTAGCTTCTTCGTTCTTAAACAGTCTTCAATACGTCCATCTCGTTCGCAGTTCGTTCAGGTCGCACCACGTCGGTGTGCAACGTCGTGAAACGCGTCCCTTAGTCTAGAAGGTCAACATGACCTGATTACAGAACGGTATGGTCGCCATCGAATTTTGAATCGATTCAAAATTCTAAAATCACATTCCCGTCTGAGAACGTTCATAAAGTTCGTAAAAAGACCTTAGAAAGTTGCAGCTACGTTCATTCCGTTCGCACACAGTTTAAAACCAGATTTGAAGAACGCAGTGGCAACTTGTTTGGTGTGATAGCTATTTTTGCTAACTCGTTCATAAGCAGTGTTAGCCTAAATACGTTCTTAATCACTTTAGACCCGTTTGCAAGTAGTTCTACCTCGTTCTCAACACGTTCTCAGACAGTTCAAGTCGTTGTTAAAACGTCCCTAGTAGGATTGAAGTACGACGGTTCCGTTCGTAGTACGTCCAGCTCGTCGTTAGTACGTTGTCACTCGTTCTAATTGTAGAACGTGACGACCACGAGAACATTTTGAGCATTGTCTAAGTTCTAGAGGACCTACCCGTTCGAGTACGTTCGATGAAGTTTGTAAATAGATCCCAAACGGTTCTTAGTAGGTCCAGTCCGTTCGTACACAGTTGAAGCCCGTTTTCAAGAACGTAGTGAGAACTAGTTTGGTGTGATTTCAGTTTACATTTTAAAATGAGTTGTAAACCATAGATCTATTTTTTTAAATGTTAAGTACGTTGTCACTCGTTCTGATTGCAGAACGTGACGATCATCAGAAAATTTTGAGCGGCCGTAGATTTCTACACTTGGCGTTGCCATGATATTTCTGCGCTCTCATACTTTTGCAGTCACATTTCCCACGGCAGCCGCACGGTGGATTTTAAATTTCTGTTGATAAATAATACTTTTTTTCATTTTATTTACATCGGGACAATTTATAAATGTAGTGCTAGGATGTAATATCAAATGAAAAGTGACCGTGAAACATTGACAAATAATGATTCAATCTTGTTGAGCCAGTTGATTTCTACGGGGACCTCAGAAATGAACAAATATTATAACTACGAGTTATAATTTCTACGGCGACCCTGCGGCCTGTAAAAAACTGGATACGCCGTACGGAGGCCGCAAGGCGAGCGTAGTTTCCCTACGCTCGCCGCAGAAATACACTGATTTAATTGATCTGCGGTCGACTTACGGCCGCCGTGCGACAAATGTGACTGGGGTGTTAATTACAACAGTATACGTGTTGCTTTGTATTTACCAAGACGAGGAACCCTTCTAAAGGCAATTAAATCAAGGTTCAAAAACTCCAAAAAGTAGCCCTAACACCATTTCATCATCAGCACGTCATAAACTCGACGATATCATCGGATCTCAACAGATTTTACTCAAGTAATGTTCGGATTCTGAGATCCTTTACTCAAGATATTTTCGGATCTTTTATTTATAATATTACTCATCGATCACATCGAGTCCGAAGTCCGATAACATCGGCTCTTTTAGGACAGCTTTTATGACAGCTTTTGCTGTTCAAAAGTGCTATTTTGACCTCATAATTTGACCCTTAAGTTAATATATTATGCATATGACATACATTTACCGGCCCAAATGTCTTATGTATGGCTCGTTATCAATTAAAGCGAGTACGAATGAGAAAAACAAATCGAAAACCGTCATACGTTTTACTTTTGTGTATCTTCCCTTGATCTGCTCAGTTGCTAATTGAAGAGAACATAACAACTCGTGTTGGTGCAATTATTTTATTTTAATGTAAAATAATAATGATAATAATATCAATAAGCCTTATCTCTTAATTTGTACATAAAAAATATATTTCAACTAAAATTCTGGGCCAATTCCGGCGGTAGGTTGTGTATAGGCGGGTAGACTTTCCCCCGTGATATAGCTTAGATGGTGTTTATTAACACGTATTGAAGATTGGAGAGGATTAATGTGCAGCATGGTATTGCATATGAAATATGAGAGTAGAAAAAGCACAATTTGATAACGAAATCACACAATTTGACCATGGATCACCACATTTAATCATGAGATCATCACTTTTGATCACAGAACCACCACATTTGATCATTGTTTACTTCAATCCTTGCTTATTCACGAGTACCAACACTTTTAAAAATAAATACAAAAATCAATTCTATTAGATTGACATATGGGGCGAATGTCTTTTAAATAATGATACATAGCGCATTAATGGCGAGAACGCAGCCAGTCTATGCCCTATAGCTGCAATTTAACACTTTGATGGTCGTATATAAACTGATGTGGCGACAAAACAATATCCAAGGATCAAATACACCTCCAAAGGTAAAGTAGTCGTGTGTAAAATCTTTTACTTTTTTCGGTTAATCTAATTTTCACATTTCTATAATTGTAAATTTAATACTACAAGGGATTTTATAATTTTTGACGCAAAATAGGATAATGTTTTTTCCTTGGTAATTGGCGCAAATGGCCTTGTTAAAGAAATGATCCGTGGTAATGCTACGCTATGCGTAAACCCAATTTTAACAAAATTAAAGCAAATTTTATCCAAATATTATTGGTCTTGATAAGTTTCAGAAATTTTTTCAGAAAAAGTTATTTTGGGTGTCATCAGTGTTTTGATGTTCAGATATATGAATTTCCTGCCGTTACATATTCAATCCCTGTTTTAAATAATATGCTCTCGTCTATATCAGTAAAAGGTAACGGTCATCACATTCTCTTCCAAATTACTTTGTGGATAATTCGGCTTTGAAATTTCTAGTATTTCAAGCTTATATGACCTAGAAACTTCGGAAGCTATTGACGTGTCGCAAAAAGGTGGCGCATTTGTTTTTTAAGGGTATCGCGTGAATGTAACTTTGATTCCCCGGATTATAAGATACTATTCTAATTAAAGTTATATATCATTTTAAAGCTGTTTCGATAAAGATTTTAGATCAACTACACTCCGTTCACATTTTTTGCGCGTTCGTTTTTAAAAAAGAGTTTTTTACCAAAACATCTGGCAAATATCCCATGTTGACACGTTACATTTTGAATTATTTTTCGTCTTTAAACGCTCATAACTCAAACAATATATGACTATTATACTTATTTTTCGTCTTGATAAAGGTAGATGGAAGTTTTATTTCAAAGGATGAATTTTAGTAAGCGTCCCATATTGTGACGTCATAGAGTCTGAAAAATAGAATCTGTTGACAGCGACCTTTTTTGCTCATTTTTTGGTACCTTCAACTTTTCAGGTGTACATTAAACAAAAAATACGAGATCAATTTTTAATAAATCATACATGATTATTTTGCTCCTAAACTCTAGTTTATTAATAAATAGTTGATTCTGTTCACAAAAGTATGTGTTTTCTGTTGTATGTGGAAAAGTGGAGGACGAAAGGTTTTCAAAATTCATTAAAATAGGGCTAATTTACGCCATTCGCCTATTTTCAAGCACAGCAACACTAGGGTGGTCCAAAATATGGCGAAAAACCAACTTTCTTTCGGATCATCTTCCTCATTTGACTTACTGTTGTCCATGACCTAAAACACCTGCACACCAAATTTTGAGACCCGAATCCCATGGGAAATTTACCCACGCTTCGACTGAAAAATTCGGTTATTTCATGATTTTTTGCTATTTTCGATAAATTGCCATCTCCTTTTTCCTGGTATAAAATGTTTCCATTTTTTCATAATAAACATTTTTGTAGGACTCTTTATTACTTAATAATACTAGGAGCCCAAACACCAAATTTTGAGACCCAAATCCCATGTGAAATTTACCCATGCTTTGACTGAAAAATTGTGATTTTCACAGTTTTGTCCGATTTTCAATAGATTACTGTCTCCATTTTCCTGGTATAATATGTTTCTATTTTTTCTTAATAAATATTTTTGGATGACTCTTTATTACTTCATAATACTAGGAACCCATACACCAAATTTTGAGACCCAAATCCCATGGGAAATTTACCCATGGTTTGACTGAAAAATTGTGATTTTCACATTTTTTCCGATTTTCAATAAATTGCTGTCTTTATTTTCCTGGTACAATATGTTTTTATAATAAACATTTTTGAGGACTCATTATTACTTCATAATACTAAAAACCCATACACCAAATATCCACCAAATTTTGAGACCCAAATCCAATGAGAACGTTACCCATGCTTTGACTGAAAACTGGTGCTTATGATAGCTTATGATGTCTGTTTTAGGGGCATAATATGTTAATAAACATTATGGTAATTCCTTCTTAATCCAAAGAAACACCTAAATACCAAGACTTTAAGTCTTATTGAAAGGCGACAAATTCAGTAGTTTGGGGAAAATTTAGGATCTTTTACTTGTTCAGCAACTCAAATGCCTTGAAGATTTGGTTTGTTGGTTTCAGTAGGGATACATCACAGGACTTTGTTTGGATTTGTGTGAGATGTCATATTCTTTCTCACATCTTTGCAGGGTAAGGTCAAATATCAAATCTGATTTTCTTTGGAGAAATGATTTTTTGATTGATCAATGTATCAATGGCATGGTCTCTGTTGTAACCAGTAAGCCTGTACCAAATCTTCAAGGGATTCGAGCTTCCACTGAGCTTTGTCATTTCTCTGAAAATGTTCATGCCCTGAAAGTACACAATGTAGAAGATAGGAAGAGCAATGAGAAACACTTAAGGTAATTCTGTATGTTCAGAAATTTTAAGTGGAGTCCAATGTTATTTCTGGAACTCATTCCATACTTGGTCAGCTCTTTCAATTTTACACTGAGTTCAAATATGTATTTAGATTATTAGTTGATGGTTAGCAATTTTCTATAATGTACTATGTGCTATGTTTATACACTGTTTGTGCATCTGAATGGAATGAGTTATGTGTTCCTGAAAAAACACGGGGCTCCAATTAGGAAGCCATTAAAACTGAAAATAAGGAATTACCTTAAAGTTCTATATAACCATCTTTCACGATGTAACGTATGTAAGGCCAAACAGGATAATTAAGACAACGTGTAATACAATTTATTACAAATTGCACATCACACAACAATGATATGGTGCTCTAAACGACAAAAATCAAAAGTATATGATCAAAGCAAACGTGAATTTCCCATGGGGTTCAGGTCTAAACATTTGGTACATATTAAATGTATGGGTTCCTAGTATTAAGAACGTATTAATGTCCTCCTAAAATGTTTAAAAACTAAATAAAAGATTAATGTTGATCTATTGAAAATAGGAGAAAATTCGCAGAAAATCACAAATTTTTGGTTGAAGCATGAATTAATTTCTCATGGGGCCAGGGTCTCAAAATTTGGTGCATATTTGGGGTATGGGTTCCTCGTATTATGAAGTAATAAAGAGCTAGTCCTCCCAAAATATTTATTATAAAAAATAGAAACATATAATACCAGGAAAATAGAGATGTATATGAAATAACCCAATTTTTCAGTCGAAGCGTGGGTAAATTTCCCATGGGATTTGGGTCTCAAAATTTGATGTATGGGTTCCTAAGTATTATGAAGTAATACAGAGTCATCCAAAAATATTTATTATGAAAAGACATCTACCATTTTATACCAGGAAAATGGAGATGGCAATTTATCGAAAATAGCAAAAAATCATGAAATAACCGAATTTTTCAGTCGAAGCGTGGGTAAATTTCCCATGGGATTTGGGTCTCAACATTTGGTGTATGGGTTCCTAGTATTATGAAGTAATAAAGAGTCCTACAAAAATGTTTATTATGAAAAAATAGAAACATATTATACCAGGAAAAGGGAGATGACAATTTATCGAAAATAGCAAAAAATCATGAAATAACCGAATTTTCAGTCGAAGCGTGGGTAGATTTCCCATGTGATTTGGGTCTTAAAATTTGGTGTGCAGGTGTTTTAGGTCATGGACAACAGTAAGTGAAATGAGGAAGATGATCTGAAACAAAGTTGGTTTTTCGCCATATTTTGGACCACCCTAAGCAACACGTATATTTATTTCACCTAAAATATCAATTGATTCGTGTTTTATGATGCTCCTAGCCCAGTAACAATATATATATGATATCAGAGTTATTCGTCTAAAATGTTTTGAGATATAGAGGTAAATGTGGAGGACGAAAGGATTTTCATGTGTGTACATTTTTCTCAAGAATGTCACATTCTATCATGTTAAAAGCGAGGATCATCTGAATTACGCCACAAAATGTGTAACAATGCGTGCGCGAGCTTTTTGCGACACGTCATTAAATTGTTCCTACCTACCCGACTAGCTTGAGAGTGAACGAAGAATTCACGTAACCGTGCGGCATTTGAAATATATCGTTGGATCGTGGATTCCCAGAGAGTTGTACAGGAATATTTTTTATCATGTTGATAACTATGTATGTCATACGAGCTTGAAATGGTAGAAATGGCAAATCCGAGTATTACAGCAAATTGGTTTTATTCGATGGAAATATAAAAATATCGTAATCTACATTTTCCGTCATTTCAAAAGAGGATGTAACGGCCGTCCCCTTTTCCTGATGATGACGGGTAATATTGTTTGTATTGGAGATTGAATGTGTAATGCTGAAAAATACAAATATTTGAAAATCAAAAGACCAACAATTTTTAGTTCGAGAAATAGTTCTCCCAAAAATTTCTCCAAAAGTCACTACAAATAATATTTTTAAACTTTGAATGGTACTTTTAGAATTTGGAAGTACATGTACTTATCGCAACATACCATAAAACAAATTTCAAATATATGAGCAAGTGAGCGTAGCGAAAGAGTGAATATATCATATACTCACAGAGTATAAAAACACGATATACAGAATGAACATTATATAAACTCATAATACACTATTGCTCATATATTTGAAATTTGTTTTATGGTATGTTGCGATAAGTACTTCCAAATTCTAAAAGTACCATTCAAAGTTTATAAAATACTTAGATTTGGGCGAAAATGGCCAAATTTCAGTCAAAATCCTCGGGACATAGGGCCTTTGACGTAGATTTAGTCAATGATGCAACTCTTAGTAGAATGTGTGCCATATAGGGAATGAAAGCTGTCAGACGTATAATTTTCTTCAATAAACTCAGAGATAGTCAGGTTAGATTTGTGACGTCACAGTGGCAAAGTCAGAATAGCATATTTAGACGTATTTGAGGTAGGGCAAATTAACCCTTTCTAGCCTGAATGGATAAATTTTTCACATATTCAGCCAGTTCCGACGTTTTTATGCATTTTTGAACTAAAAATGATATTTGCTGCCAAAAAAAGTTGCAGAGACAAAAATCAGTGTGATGTCATAAAACATTAAGGTATGAGGTTCCATATCCATCCACCAAAAGGTATGACCCCTATATAGTCCATTTAAAAACTTGTGGTTTTGTTCTAAATAACGCCATAGTTGGCTTCTCGGGTACCTAGTATGCCACTATTTGGTATCAAAATAAAGAGGAAGAGTTCAACTGTCATTTGAATTACGAAAATAACGATGTAGGTCAAAAATAGTTCAATAGCAGTAAAAGTCTTTCTATATTGATTAGTTCCCAAAATGCACTTCTACAGTGGTATACGCTAGAGTGGTATACGGTGGAGTGTAAACGATGACGATATACCACTCTCCATTATATAGTGTTGTTATAGACACCTGTTATACAACTATAATTGGACTTAGAGTGGTATAATCTGCTTTCTACGTGGTATATAACATCCATACGTATTATTTATTTATTGTATTTGCAGAAAAGTAAGGATGTTGCCCCTTGTTCTTTTGTTCGCCACCGCCCTGGCCAGTGGGCCCCCAGTCGACATTGACGACCCAGGTAGGACATTAAATATTCCAAAGTCAAGGACTCATTTATCTGTAGTGACCAGTCGGAACCAGTTGTTCCCGTTATTACTATTTACCATTGAGCAATGTTCGATGTCCTTAGTAATGGTGTTGTCATGGACACATGTAACCTTATTTTGATATGTATTATCAGACATCACGGCGTTTTTTTTTTCAAATTCCACTCAGGTTATTCGAGATATTACACTGTAAAACCTGTCACATTTGCTCTGGGGCGACCGTACGTCGTTAGACGGAGAAAATCTACCGTCACCTGATATCTCAATATGGCGTGTCCAGTTTTTACAGGCCGTAGAGTTGCCGTCTACATATCGTAGTTACATAAAAGTCGTAAACCCGTAGGGTGCCACGGTGGCCTTACATCGTACATACTGTCGATTTGCGATTTATTTGGATAAGAATCGCCGTATGGACGCCATACGGTGACCTTGCATTATCTTTTAAAATGCCGTACGGCAACCGTAGTTTCTCTGTTTCTACAAAAATAGCCTACGTCATACGGCTTCCGTAGCATTAAGGACAAAAAATAAGCGAACTTTTCGGATTTACAATTTCTCTTCTACTGGCAATGCCATATCCACGGTCACATACTGTAGCAATCAAATATGCTACAATAACCGCAGTGTGTATTTTTACTTTGTATCATTATTTTGCAGGAACTTTGTTGGAAGCCAGCTCAGATTAAATGCGCAAACACCCTATACTCCGAAAGATCGTTCTTCTATGACAACTTTTCACAACGTTTACACGAAGGCTTTTTAAACTATCCGGGATAGTCGTATTACTGATGAAAACATCTATTCTGTAATCTGTTATTCATCTGTTATTCAAATAAGTAGGTCTCGGTAATGCTTTGTTTTAAAAAGTCTAAAATATTTCTTTGAACGTCCCGGAGCTCAGTGGTAAGTCCCCCGGAGCAGATCAACTGCAATTGATAATAAAAACGTTTTGCTGGATATAAATCCTATATAAATACAAGCGACTGTAACGTATTTTGTAAAGTTCAGACGGCTTGATGACAATTAGGCCTTCTTTATTTGAAGCTTAATACCATATGATTTTTCAATGTTTTTTATTATGTAATTTATTTGCTAAGCATATCATGACATTAACATGAAAATGGAGAGCAAGTAAACTGGAACGATAACAATTTGAATTCTATACAATCTCCAAGATGAGTGGAGTAAATCTGAAAAAAACAAAATCGTTTTTTGCAATGATTGCTTTTTCTTTGAAAAAGTGATGGGTAATAAATACTGAACAAATGAAAGAATGAATAAATTTGAACAAATGCTTGTGTTTATAAATGATATACGCTTTTAAATAATTTATTTCACAACGTTTTTAATTATTTAACACAATTATTTTCGGGGACTTCCCAGCCCCAGGGACGTCCCAAGAAATATTTTAAATTTTTATTGAAATAAAACAAAACAGAGATGTACACATTTGAAAGAACATGTGTTTTATCAATATTACGACGATTCCAGATATTTATTCGTCAATGTTGTAAAAATCATACAGAGTATGGGACGTCTGCATTGTTTACAATAACTTTCAATAACTTTGTATTGGACCAGAACTGGCTTAAAAAAAATCCTACAAAGGACTGATTTAGCCATTGCCCAAGATGGGTTATTTTGTCCGAGAAGAATCAGCTTTTAAGTTAATTGTGCGAAATTATTGTTATTTCTAAATGTAAAATCTCATGCTCTGGGGTCTTCCGACAATTAAATCTCATCCCGTGCCTAAGGTTGCCAAACGTTTTGAGGGAAGTGTAACTTCATGATGACATGTTTTTAACAAAATAAGCCTCTCGTGTTCATCATAACAAATATCAATTCATTTACTGCTCATATATGTAGTTTTCAAATAGCACAATAATTTAATGTTTCTGGTTGAGGCATTTTTCCGGAAAATGATATTTTGGAAAATCCTGACCGGGGGTTCGTTCGAACCCACCGAACCCCCGCTGCGTATACGGCTATGCTAGAGCAAATGTGACCGAGGCGTTAGTCTGATCCTAACACGGACACCTCGTGCAACAAATCATCAATTATTAACATACTTGCTTCGTTTCAAAAATATAAAAACAGACCGGATTACGTTATTAGTTTACCTATCCATGAGTAATTGAAGAAAAGTATTGGTAAATGAATATACAATCACAATGGCTGTATTTTAGATTCCTGTTTGGCGACTGGTTATCTACCTGGTATAGACTTTGGAGAGGACTGTTGTTCGTTTGTTGTCTGTGATGACGCACAACTGAACAAGACTGGATACGTAGGTGAGTGATAAGTTGCTTGTTATAGCGAATACAACTGAACAAGACTGGATACGTAGGTGAGTGATAAGTTGCTTGTTATAGCGAATAACTGAAAGACTGGATACGTAGGTGAGTGATACGTTGCTTGTTATAGCGCATAACTGAAAGACTGGATACGTAGGTGAGTGATAAGTTGCTTGTTATGGCGTATAACTGAACAAGACTGGATACGTAGGTGAGTGATAAGTTGCTTGTTATAGCGCATAACTGAAAGACTGGATACGTAGGTGAGTGATAAGTTGCTTGTTATAGCGTATAACTGAACAAGACTGGATACGTAGGTGAGTGATAAGTTGCTTGTTATAGCGAATACAACTGAACAAGACTGGATACGTAGGTGAGTGATAAGTTGCTTGTTATAGCGAATAACTGAAAGACTGGATACGTAGGTGAGTGATACGTTGCTTGTTATAGCGCATAACTGAAAGACTGGATACGTAGGTGAGTGATAAGTTGCTTGTTATAGTGTATAACTGAACAAGACTGGATACGTAGGTGAGTGATAAGTTGCTTGTTATAGCGCATAACTGAAAGACTGGATACGTAGGTGAGTATTTAGCATGTGTTGCTCGAGATAATAACTCACAAGTATCTAGCATTTTTTGCTTAAGAAGACGGGACACATAGTTGAGTACTAGTATTTGTAATTGCTAAGTATGGTAAGATTCATGAATATTTTTTTGATTGTGATAGCGCAAGACTTATCAAGGAAAGAAACGCAGGTTAAGCTAAAAGATGTTTTTATCATTCATTTTCTATTTGCCATGACTTTAAAAACTATTTGAGAGATTTAAAAAAAGATTTTTGAAAGAAAAGTTGTCATCTTTTCAAATCTCAAATATTCAAATATCCCTCCGATTTTCAAAAAAAGATTTAACCATCAAATATTCCACCATACATTTCAAAAAGATTATCTTTTTAACACCAATGCTATGATTGAACAAAGGACACACTATTTCAATAATAAAATGCCATGTCTAATGTGCCACTTCAATATTTTAGCATATTAAAATCAAAAATATTTTGCAACACCAGGTTAAAAGGAAGAATGTATCATGTTTCAAATATTATTGTACCATTGGTTACTAGGAGAACTAACATTTTGAAATGCATCTTTCTCTGAACCATTTTCATGTGTCGATGAATTCCTTTCTCGCCTATTCTTGAACCGATTTTCCTAATTTTCAGCAAAAACACGTGAGGATGAATGCTTTTGGTATAAATTAGTATCGCATATTAAAAGATACGTGTGATCTCTAAAAGTTAGTTTTAAATAAATTCTCGATTTTTCGAACAAAAAGTACTTCAAAAATACTTTTTGAAATTAAAAAAAGTTTTACATATCACACTTTGATAACATTGGGTAAGACTACAGCATAAGCCAACGTGGTTTAAGCTAGCTTTATATAGGGCCTTTAAAATCACAAAACAATAGTCGATTTGGTGAGGTCTGTAAACATTCAGTGCTTGTGATAGCCTGGGATAACTGACAAAATAAGACAACGAATTAACACAGTAAACCCTGTAAAGTGAAACACCTCGGTTAGTGGAACACTTTTCAGAGTCCCAATACCAAATGATTTAATGTTATAATGAAGTAGAACACCTCCCAAGTGGAACACCTTCAGAGATGTTCCACGTAGACAGGTTTTACTTTAATATTGTCATGGTAAATATTTTACAGGCAAGTGTATGGGAGGTACTGTGTGGAACGATGTCCTGGTTGTATGTGATGATGCCAAGCAGGTTCCCGATTGCGACCCACTCAGCTGTGCCGGTAAGTTTCTTTATTTCAAGTCGAGGGTGAACAACCTTACAACATCGTTGAAACACGCAAAAGTGGGACAATATTCATTGTCAAAGATACGATTTTCTATTTGCGTTAGTCATTCAATTCATTCGTGGGTGTTTGCATTGAATACGAGAACGGCTTTTAAAGCATGTCATGGGGCCATCGACACAATTAGTCTAATGCCTCCACAACGTTTTACAGACAAATGTTTTTAGACTATTTATCGTCATTCACTAAACTTTAGACGAGGAGATTCTATCGTGATTGAATTTTAAAATGTTATATAAACTGCTCTGTCACTCTTTCTGTTCTCCTTGTTGGCCATGAAAGTGAAATGAATAACATGTTGATGTTTACAAATAAATGAATTTGCTGAAAATGCACAAAAGAATTAATAAAAAAAATCCTTGTAGTCCCAAAGAGAACCAATGCCGAGTGCGCCGATGCCCAGCCCACTGGTACCACATGTTGTGTTGGACAGAACAGAGAGGATGGTAAGAATGGATACGAGCCAGTCTTCACCGCTGGATCTGGACCTGAATTCTACATCCGTGGATCCGATCGTGAGGAACAGAAGTGTCCATTCGGCCAGGTCTTCGTGCTTGAATCGTGCTGCTGCGAATTCGAATGTGAGTACTTGCCAGAAGCACCATAAGTAACAAGGGCTCTGGCCGTTGGGGGAGTACTGGTTAAAATATTACAAAACATAATAGGGAGTGTGGCGAAGTTAAGTCTCTCTATCGTTTACAAAACTTGAAAACAAATATAGTTTAAAATATTAATTTATTAAAGAAAAGTTAAAGTCCAAAAATTTCATTTCAATCGGCTACTTACAGTTTTTGGTTTGTCCCTAGTTCACGCTACGAGGTTCTGAGGCTTCAATGCCAAAAAGCCTCTTTTATATCTTAATTTTGAGGTGGGCAGAGCCGAAATAAGAGGTCTTATCCAATAAAATATTAGGAAATCCTATTAACTAAAATTGACCTTAAAATAAATGTTTAATTTTATAAAAAGTCAATAATAAATGGTGATGATTTTCTGCCCACAAAGCTTAAATGTTTACTGAGAATTTGAGAATTTGGCAGATTTTGGTGAGAAAGGAATGTCTAGACAAAACCTCTGAGCCTCGTCTCGTGAACTCTGGATGTTTAATCTAATTATCTAATTTAATTCATTATCTAATTTATGTCCGAAACACATATTTATAAGTTAATTTACCCCCTAAAAAATATACAATTATTCGTAAAATGTGATGTAGATAATAAAGGTATAAACATTTGCAAAGCATATACAGCAGTATTGATGTTTTGGTCAGTTTTTACTCCAGGACCTTAAATGTAATCGCTTTTTACTTTGTTTATCAGAAATTTGCAGTCTTCAAGATGATGCCAAAAACTATAGAAACTTATAAACATCTTAACTAAACATTACAAAATTTCACATCAGTTGACTTCATATATCATTGTCTGTCACTCATATCTCAAGAATAACCCTTTCATTTGATTGGCTCTAGAAATATTCCATACCTAAAACTGCTCTAATATGATGATAAAACCTGGAAATCAAGCTGTTGATGTTGTGAAATATCACACTGGGTTCAAAGATCACTAAAACAACTGTTATAATACAAATATAAACTCAAAACAAATATAAAATCAAAACAACGCAATAATTATAAACATGAGTAACAGAAAAAGATCATTATGACATCAACTGATGTGAAGTGAAATAAGGCCATAAGAAGTAGATTCTTTGTTTTGCGTCCTGGCAAAATCCAAATCATGCAAGGGTACAAGGAAAACAAACACAAACTCAAGAAAAAACACAAACTTGTTTGCTGAGAAATGTATACATTTATGGACGTAAAAGGGGATGGCATACCAATTTGCAGTGATTATAACCACATATCTATACATTTTATACAATATATTTAAACATAGCTATTATTCAAGGGTAAAAAAAAAAAAAATACACAATGTATGCCAAACTTATTAATAACACTGTCAATTTTGAAGCACATCAAATTATCCGCCATTTTGTCTATTCTGATTGAACAAGATGTGATGATACTTTCAGACCCTTGTGATTGCTATTTGGATGTGTTTGTTTTTTCTGATTTACTCAAAATCGTGCAAGCAAGGGGACGCAAAACAAAGAATCTACTTCTTATGGCCTAAGTATAGACTGACCAACGAGATCAGCTATGACTTCGTCACAATAGCGCCTCGATTTAGTTAATATATGATTCACCCAAGTACATCGATCGTAATGAAATATTTCAGTCGTCCCAGTCGCTCCATGTGACGATACCTCAAGCTTTTACTTTGCCGACCCCGATGGTGATGGCTGCTGTACCTATGTACAATGCTTTGCCAACAGAACCGGTTATGATACCCTCGAGTGCATGCCACCAAGCGTCTGGAATGACGAAGAAAAGGCCTGTGATATCGTCAACAACGTCATGGACTGTATGAATGTCAACTGTGGACTTGAGATGACCGACCCACCTTGTGATGGTAGTGGACAAGGTTTGAACGTTATTTTCTACTTTGCGATTTTATGAGTTTAAAAGTGTTAAAACGACTCTCGTTCAGCTCGAAGATTCAGCTTCAATAGGTCAAAATTGGTCACGTGATGAAACCCATCGATCATCGACTTTAATGGTCAAAGAGTTCCATGGTCAAATTTCGATTATTTTCATCAAGGTACAAAGGTAAGCCACCATCTTCTTTTGACTGAGCAATTGTAGTGAAAGAAATTGGACGAGTTTTTTATCACAAGGCCTAACAAATGTGTATCCAATGGATAATACGCCATTTATATACGGAGAATTTTCATTTTCAAAAGTCATTTAGTTCACGATTGCACTGAACGAAATATAAATGTTATTCAGGAACTTGTTGCCGTGCCGGGAACTATTACTCGGAGGGTGGAGACAACACTCAATACATCATTACCGATGGTCCAGGTACGAACAAACACATTAAAAACGTGTAACCTAACTTCCCTATTACGTGTAAATTAACTTCCATAATAAGAATGGGGATCAGAGGGCCATTGTTTGACGCTAGGATTTAACCCTTGTTAACTGATATTATAGGAGCCAGTGACAGAGCCGAGTGCTGCCCATTGAATATGGATGGTGAGCAGTTGGTCTTCAACTTTGACGAAGAAGTATGCTGCTGCGAACTTCCATCATTTTAATAGGAGTTAATAAAGGAAACAAACAAATAAAATATTTTTGTCCAGATCAAATCTTTTGTCTTTAAATACGGTACCAGTTTCCATTTGTATTACGTGCGAAATATCTCGCTCACATTTTCCTGAGGTTTATCCAGGTTCTCGGCAATTTCGATATTTTCGATATATTAGATATTTCGAGTATCTATATACAAGCTTTTCGATTGGCGATCCTTTCGATAGTCTCGATAGCATCGACATGTATTTAAAGAAAATTTCGAGTAAAACGATAAGAAATACATTACTACAAAATGCATTTCGACATTTTCGATATTTTCGATACATCACAGAATGCTTGATGGCTTCATAATAGATTTAGAAAACTTTGATATTTTCGAAATTTTCGAGTATAACGATGACAGGTGAGGTTATACAGTGTAGCTGCAGAATGTTTTTCGATTGTATCGATATTTTCGATTCTGAATATACATGAACCTCATGGCTTCAGATTGTTTTCCGAAAACTTCGATATTTTCGAATATTTCGAGTATAAAGATAGGAAGTAATTACAAAATGCAAAGTTAACCCCGAGCCCGCAACCTAACCCTAACTCTTAATTCTAACCCCTAACCATACCTATGAGCCCTTAACCCAAAAGCCCTTAGCCTAAACCCTAATAACTTTAAGCATAACCCTTAACCCTAACTTTAAACCTAAGCCCTAACACTGAACACAAACCTTAATTCTAAATCCTCAGCCTGAAATGTTTATTTTTCGATTAAACAAATTTCATCGAAAATAACGAAAAAATCGAAATTGTCAAGATCCTGGATAAATATGATTTTCCTCGATCAGTCAATATCATTTTTAGCTCGTTTAATATCATATTACACAGGCTAGAATGTTGAAAATCAACCATTGTATAGTACTTTGTTCACCGCCATAGTTGAGCGACCAATACTTCATTGGTATATCCCGTATTTCACGTATTTTACACTCAAAGACAGAGCCAGAAACCCCTCCTTGGAGGCGCCCTTGGTTAACACTGAAAGAGGGGGATTTGATACTTCTTTTTTGGTAAGTAGATGGGTATATATGTGATGAAACTCAATATGCAAAAGAGTCCAGAGGGGTCTTGATTGTGTTATCCTATGGCATAGAGCCTCTTTCATATGTGTTGAACTATTCCGTTCTATTAATGAGTCATACCTTGTCGAATTGTGATACAGTTTAACAACGTCTGTATTCTCGTATAGCTTAGATGGTGTTTAAAACCACAATTGAAGATTGAAGAGGATTAATGTGAAGCATGGTATTGTATATGAAATATGAGAGTAGAAAAAGCATAATTTGATGACGAAATCACACCATTTGACCTCAGATCGACCTCATTTCCTCACCTCCATATGTGATCATTGTTTACTTCAATCCTTGCTTATTCACGAGTACCACGACTTTTATAAATATATGAAAAAATTTAATCTATTAGATTGACATATGGGGCGAATGTCTTTTAAATAATGATACATAGCGCATTAATGGCGATTACGCAGCCAGTCTATGCCCTATAGCTGCAATTTAACACTTTGATGGTCGTATATAAACCGATATGACAAATAACAATTAATAATCAAGGATCAAATACACCTCCAAAGGTAAAGCAATCGTGTGTAAAGTCTTACTTTTTCGGTTAATGTAAATTTGGAGAACCCCCGATCATCATCATTTTCAGGATAACCATTTGACAGGATCACCCATTGGTGGGGACATTTTGTACACATTTGTGTTCTTGTTAACTGATATTATAGGAGCCAGTGACAGAGCCGAGTGCTGCCCATTGAATATGGATGGTGAGCAGTTGGTCTTCAACTTTGACGAAGAAGTATGCTGCTGCGAACTTCCATCATTTTAATAGGAGTTAATAAATGAAACAAACAAATAAAATATTTTTGTCCAGATCAAATCTTAAACACTGTACCAGTTTCCATTCTCATTACGTGTGAAATATCTCGCTCACATTTTTCAGGTTTATCCAGGTTCTTGGCAATTTCGATATTTACGATATTCCATATTTTCGAGTATCTACTTCGACTGGCGATCCGTTCGATAGACTCGATATTATGTAAGTATCGAAATGTATTTGAAGAATATCGATATTTTTGAGTATTTCGAGTATAAAGATAAGAAATACTACAAAATGCATTTCGAAATTTTCGATATTTTCGATTCATTACAGAATGCTGGATGGCTTCAGAATAGATTTAGAAAACTTCGATATTTTCGAAATTTTCTAGTATAACGGTGAAAGGTTATTCGGTGTAGCTGAAGAATCAGAGACATAAAACATATGTCTCTGGCAGAATGTAATAGTGAAACATAATGAATGTTGTCGATTATTTCGATATGAACTTCGTGACTTCAGATTGTAAGTTCGAAAACTTCGATATTTTCGAATATTTCGAGTGTCAAGATAGGAAGTAACTACAAAATGAATTTCGAAGTTTTCGATATTTTTGATTCATTACAGAATGCTTGATGGCTTTAGACTGGATTTCGAAAACTTCGATATTTTCGAAAGGATTGGTATCGGTATGGTGAATCGAATTCTACAATTCAATTTCTTTAGCTAATTATTGAAAACATTCTGTAAAACACGGTCCTTAAAGTAATTTTGTAATTTAATGCGAAAATTATTCATATATATTTTATATAACTGTTTTTGTTAACATTTTCTTTAGTGCAATAGACCAGATGCGAGTAGAAATAATCTTGATTTGCGTCATTAGATATTCAAAATTCAGTCAAAGTGGTGTCATATTTAAATTCTACATGTAAAAGTACATCTCGAAATATGGTTTCGAAAATTGTTTATCAACTTTGAAAATTTAATTTTTTTGAAAATGTGACTTCTCGTTCGGGTTAATTCCCCATAGGCCCCATGTTACAAAATCACAAAAAGTGAAATATCTTTTCTTGTATTTTCTTTTACTGGACATATTTTAATTTGCATAACTATTAGATACACAGGGGTTACTATGAAAATTGAACCACTAAAATATCTAGATGTAATTTAAGTTAAAGGGAACTTTCTCCTATACCCGCCATGCTATCTGACCCGAACGAGCCACCTGGTGGTCAAACTGGTAACTACCTTCTCGCATCTGCTTTATTGTTTTTTAGCTCACACGGTGAGTCTGTCTGTCCGTCCGTGTGTGCGTCCGTCCGTCAACAATAGTGGCACGTTTTAAAACCTCTGTCGATAGGATTCCCGTTTTAAGTTATTTTTGTTCAACAACAATACAGGAAACTCCCCTCTGATTCCTGGTTCAAAAGCTCGCCTATTTTCAAGATGGCCGCCATTTTTGTCTCGTGAAATTCATTTTTGACCCATTTCCTAGCTTTACAAATAATGTCAGGTGTCCTGCATTGTTAAAATCCATGTCGATGTAAAGAGTAGTTATATGAAATAATTTTGTTACAAAAAATCGGCAAAATATTATATATGTTTTTTATTTCAGCCATTTTAGTTAACATTGATTTGTCCAACATGTCACTGTAAAGAGTAGTTGTATGAAATAATTTTGTTACAAAAAATCGGCAAAATATTATATATGTTTTTTATTTCAGCCATTTTAGCTAACATTGATTTGTCCATCTGTCTCGCAAAATCCTCTTTTGGACCATTTGCTTAAAACCTCTGTCGATAGGATTCTAGTTTCAAGTTTATCACCAATACAAAAAACTCCCCTATGACTCCTGGTTCAAAAGCTTGCCTGATTTCAAAGTGATCGCCATTTTTGTCTCGCGAAATTCAGTCAGTCCAAAATAGTGGCAAGTGGCTTAAAATAATTTTGTTACAAAAAATCACCAAAAAATTATATCCGTTTTTTTTTAAATTTGCTGTCACCATGTGAGCCCAGTACCCACGGTACTCATTTTTGTTCCTTTTTACTAATTCTTGAGAATGAAATAAAATATCTTTCCGAGGCTTGTTGGAACAAAATAACATATATAACATCTTCTTAAACATCTCAATATATTACCTATACAAATGATATTTTGGATGATTTCACAAAAAGTATTGAAAAAATAAAACAATCTCCAAAAATAGATAAAAAAATTGGATAATTATTTTATTTCATTAACAAAATACTTTTTTAAAATCAACTAACGTTTACTTTGTACAATTACAATATTGAGAGACCTAAACACGACGTGTTTATGTCATTTTGTTCCAATGAGGCTCGGATAGATGTTTCATTTTATTCCGAACATATGATACCATGAACAAAAGAAGTGCCTGTGTGTAAAAACAATATCGAGAAAAGTATATACATTTATTTCAAAGTTGTTATTGTTACCATTCAAAGATGAGCATTAAATTGACGATGTGTAAAATTTTCAGAATTCTTTGATGACTGGTTCACCATATCCATGGGCGGATCTGTGAACCAACAAGGGGGGAGGCAAATATCAGGTCAGAGAAAAAACTTTGGGCCCCTAAAACTTGAAATTGAATTTTCTTTATAGTATTAATAATAGAGCTCATTCCAAATTCCTTGTGATTATTATATTGTTAGGTCCTATTGCTATTTATGAAATACTTTCCTTTAGTCCTCGTTTCTTGTCAACTGATGAAACGGCTTACCGCAAGTTGCGCGTCCGTAGGAGGAATCCATATTTTCTTCATTCTTTCACTTCATTATAATAAACAGGAAATATTTGAACCCGAATAAAGATACATCTATCCACGTATCAATATCGAGAGCCAGCTTTCATAATTTGTAGCATCGCCCCCTAGCGACACTTATATTTGAATGTCACTGCTTTCAGTTTCAGAACTCGAGTCATTTTTTTCATCAATTGTTTTTTGCACTTTGGTTGACATTTTCTCATGATCTTTTTTACTTTATTGTCAAATTTTGAGATTTTTTCTGAAATAAAAAAATCATGTTTAACATTTCAAATGAGTGTGTAGGATTTTCGTTTATACGAGTTATACGAGTTGACGAGTTTTACGATTTACTCTTAATTTCTATTAGAATTATTATTTTTCGTAGAATGGCAGGAGTTACACCCTATTTTACATACATACACCCAATTTCATAAATGTGGCAACCAGAATTGTATTTTTGAATATCAATTTTTTTTAGTTTCTCGGTGATACTAGTTAGAATTCATGACAATAAATTCGTTCGCTTAACACGTTGCACGAAAAAGAGTTCCGATTGCCAACCTTTTGAAGGGAGGTTACAATGACAACGGTTGAATATAAAAGTGAAGACTATTACTTTTCGAAGTACTTCCTGTGATTCTATATTTCTGTTCGCCCCTCTCTAAGATTCCAACTCCGCCTCCAATATCGTGTATGCTGCGCTTGGTGAAGTCAGTCATGTGACCTGAATATTTATAAAGCATAATTAAAAAAAATGAAGGGGTGACATCGAAAGATGTCTTAAAAAGCAGTCGAATCCAAATATTGACCTCTGAAGATAAAACAACGACTTAACCAGTGCCATGTAGTGTGCCCTCGGAGTTTGCCCTGATAATCACCATTGCAAGTGTAAAGAATTTGACAAACTGCTGATGTGTAAAAATGTTTGTACTTGAAGGTATCTAAAATTGTTGTCTTCCACTGATGTAAAGGTATTGACCATTTTTTAAGTATGGAGTAACTTATGATATGTTTAAATAGAATTTTTCAGAAATACCGTTTTCGCCAACTCAACAAGTTTTTTGTTGAACTCACCGCCATCTATCGTCCAAGTATATATTTGTGTGGTGCGCATGCGCACGTTGTCGAATATGAGTGCAATCTCTGTTTCGGAGTCTGCTTGATATACCACTGTATCCATTTTCTTCCGTGGGCATGGTCGCTTTACTTTCTTCTTCTTTGGTCTGGAAACGTTAAAAATAGAACTACATGTAAATGGCGTGAATGAATACAATTCATCGGAAATTGCGGTCCATGAATTTATTTCTGTGACGGACAGTGTTTTTCAAATTCATACAGAGAGTGGCCATTTGTAATTAGATACTACTTGGAAATAATCTCTGTTTGAAATAGGCAAATTCTTAAATAAACATTGCTTTTTACTAAACAAGTTTGTTAAAAGATCCAATTATTGACCTGTTATGTGGGACTTTCTTCACGATGTGTGGAGTGAGTGAAGATGGTGTAAGAAATGGCGTCGCTGCATTCTGTGGCGATATTGTATTCACGACATTTGTATCTGAAACGTTTAATAAGAGCGTGTTACTTAATGTTAGAAGGCAAGAGTTGTAAGATTCAGTAACAGTTGATGATCATGGCATATCTCAATATCTGGTAAGTTAAATTGCGGTTTTATAACAATTTTCCAGATGCCGAAAACAAACATCTGACAACCAAATGTAATATGCCGCCTATCACACTAGAAACAAGGCAAAATATCACCACCAGTTTAAGTGAAGTTGTAAGAATTAATTACAGATGCCGAACCCTGAACGTCGACCGCCGAACTCCGTCCACTAAAGTCGGAGACCATAACAATATGTCAATATGTGGTGACAACATGCAAACGGAAGGATATATAGCTTCCTGATTGTGACAATAAAATCATATGTCATTCACTGCAAAATGATGAACATGTCTTTTTCAAAAGTTGAATAGATTTTACTGAAAATTTTAATAGAATTTTTGATTTACGTATACCATTTCAAAGTTACCTTCAAAATCATAATATACTGAAATAGGGTACCGGTAGGTACAATTTAGACAAAAAAACAAGTACGTTCAATTAAGAAAAAACAAGTATGTACAATTTAGAAATTATAAAAAGGTACAATTACATGTAAGTGAAAAACATTTTTACAATAAAACACAATGACTTCAAAGAACTGAAATAGAAGGCGCTTACCATTGGGGCAGGATTTACAGCATTGACCATGTCTGGGTTGTGGATTGCTACAAGGTAGACTTGCTAGAGATGGACACTCAAGTTTTGAGCACGACACTTCCCCATTCTGAAAACACATGCAAAACAATTTAGTTCCAATAATCGGACGATATGTGTTATAGGGGGGGGACTATATCTGACGATGTGTCATAAGGGGCGAGGTATTATAACTCTTAACTACCACATGTCACCGTATGTGCAAAAACTTGCTTTACACAATAATTCACAATGAGTATACAATATTTTGATATACATATAAAATAACTTACCATACATACACAATCAATCACAATGCACATACAATATTTTGATATACATTTAAAATAACTTACCTTACATATACAATCAGGCACCATACAATATATTAATGTACATTTAAAATAACTTACCATACATATACAATCACTAACCATACATATACAATATCTTAATATACATTTAAAATAACTTACCTTACATATACAATCAGGCACCATACAATATATCAATGTACATTTAAAATAACTTACCATACATATACAATCACTAACCATACATATACAATATCTTAATATACATTTTAAATAACTTACCATACATATACAATGCACGCATTTCATCTTTCCAAAAGGACCGACGATGGGGTGCCATACGGTGCCGTTTTTGTACACTACACCACCCGTCTTACAACCTGGAGAAAACAAAGCAAAAGTAACTCTAGAGTAACAATAGGGTCTTTATCCAAAATCTGACATTATTGATGTTGACCCTAGTTAAAACTGCAAATAGAGCCGGTGCGTCACCGTTTAGAGTACGGTTTCACGAAAACTTGACCAACCATGACAACACAAAGATAGAATCAGTTGATATAAAAGAAACAACAATGATTGAATATATTTCTTTGGGCAAGATGATACACTGCGAAGTAGATAAGTTTCACTTCCCAAGCTCAATAGAAACGATTTCGATTTTTTCAATCAGCTTCACATAAAATTGATTTGTTATTTACTTTTTCTCGGCTTTTTCGGTCTTTTGTTTGTCTTTGAGATGACGTAATCAGGGTCAAATAAGTCGCTATCGCCATCTAGCGGTGAGTGAACATCGGTACATATCGGACAGCAGTCCTCAAGGACTTGAATTTGGTTCTTGCAGGATAGATTGGTACAGGTCTTCAGGTGGCATAATACCTCGCCGTCCTATAAAACAAAACAGTTTCGATTTTGATGCCAGGCTAGAGCATTGTTTTTCTAATAAGCAGTTTTCAGTAATGACTTGAACGGTATTCTGAATATGTGAATATCCAACAACTTTGTGTTTTCGATTCAAAAGTGGAGTAATGGTGGGGGGGGGGGGTCAAGTCACTGTTTTTTATTATCTTACATCATTCTCTGGATTCTGGGAGTTGTTTCCTTATTGTCGGTAATACCCACTCCTTTACATTTTCCCTTTTCTATCCTTTTGGTGTTTTGCCTGTTGGCATACATATTGTGAAAAGCCGTTCACCCTAAAGAGTGTTGTTTTTATCACTATTTCGTTATATGTTTATATGATTTTAATAAATAAATAGAAACAAGTATTTGTATGAAGCCACAGTTGCATAACTATTAACTTGGACTTTGTAATGCTGACGCAAAAGATAGAGACAAGACGTAGCCTTGAGAAAGATATAGGGACATTTTTGGTTTATTTTTTTAAAAGGAGACAACTTACGTGAATCAACAAATAGTCAATACGCTGTCCTAAGAGAATATGATCTATTGAATGAAAGAAAAACGACAAAAACATAAATTCGAGGTCTACAGACGCCATAAAGTCGTCTATCAAGAAAAAACATTTCTGAAGCCTGGGTACCGCTATATAAATCATTCAATAGAATTTCTTGTTATTGTCTTGTTTACCAGCACTTATAGTTCAGGGCAGTCATAAAAATATATCAAAATATTTTTACCGAGTGGTTATTATTTGACTCAAAGCCTACTTACTCAAAATCAATATGTTAATTTTTCATAATCTTAGTACCATGCATTGCAGGCCCGTAGCCGAGGGGAGGGGGCTGGGGAGCTGAATGGAACGGAAGCTCTCCGTGGCCAGAACTTATTTCGAAAAAATGCAGTTTTCACCATTTTGAGCACTTTACGCGTGCTTTTTTTAGCCAAAACCATCAAAAAGCTCCCCCTCTAGGTAAAAGCTGACTACGGGCAAGCATTGAATATAACATCATGCTATGATGTATACTTACTGAACAGATACATTGGACGCACTGATCGTCACGTGTCGGTCTAAGTGACGTATTATCTGTGCCGAACGTCTGCCCGTGTGTATACATGTTGCCATAGTAATCGCAGGAGCGCTTGGATTCAAACGTATTCTCAAAGGAGTCTTTATCCTGAGAGGGCGGGGTGTTATCTGGAACAATAGCGTTCACAGTCAAAAAATAAGATGAACTTTCAAAGCCAATTCACGATCCGGGTTTTTAGTTTAATTATATACATTGGAACAGTATTTTGCTCTGAAAACTGGCAATTAATGGCCTGGATCGGGTAAAACAAGATTAATTTATATTTTCTTAGAAATCGCAAAGAGAGATAACATTGTCGTTCTAACATGTCCACAACTTGAAAGAATTAGCTAACATTTATAAAGCACAGAATACATCAGTTCATACAATTCTAATCAATTTTCATTTTTTGATATATTAGGCTAATCAATCAATCTTTATATCAACGGATTTTAGTAAAATCTCTTTATAATCACGGCGTTATCGACCAAGATGATTTTATGATAATTACACCATACCTTGGCAGACAGGGCAGCATTTCCCCGGGACGGTCTGTAAATTATTACAATGCACTTTTTCACACTCTTTGCTGTCGCATTTCACCTTGGCGCCCTCTATACACGTACAGTTAATACACGGCATCAATCCGAATGGCCTCAACTCGGGGTGCCAGACCTCGCCTATCTGCCTCTCTAAACCATCAAATGTACACACAGAACCGTCGGCTAGAAATGAAAATAAAGCTGTTGAACTTCACGTTTTTAGAAGAGAACTTCTACGTGAACGTGTTATGGTCTAATGGTCAAAAATAAGTTATCTCATTGAGCATAAAGGAATAAGGAAGTAACTTGAAATACAAGTTGGAGGGAGACAGAAATCAAATGCATCCTTTTACAAATACAGGCTTAAACACGAGGTTCAATGGGGATTTATGTTTCCAAACTTTCTGAGGGGAGTGTAATATAAAATGAGCGAGGGTACAGAAAAGGGGTCTTATCACAGATTTTTCAATAATTTAATTATTTGTTTATCTTAGAAAGCACAGAGACCTTTCGAATAAGTCATTACTTATGTCTTAAAAAATTTTGCTTGCAGGTATGGGCCAAAAGTACGGATTTGAATTATTTTTCTCTAAATTTTGGGAACATTTTTGATTCTGTAGCAGAATTCTAATTTTTGTGTGATTAGACTGGTTTTCCTATGTCGAGGCTCAAATATCAAATGCAGGTTATAGCAAATACAGACTTTTGGGAGCCATAATGTTCATCATAGCAAAACACGGACGAAAAAATGCAACATTGTAAAAGGCTTTGCATTTATGGCGCCATGCAACGTAACGAAATAAATAACAAAGAAGGAGAGTCTTGCGTACAATCTAAACTAAGCATGCTGCAAAGTCCGAACTCCGACTATTTGGCCAACATAACCACTCTTAATTCGAATAATTCTTCAAATTGTTGATTTTTCACAGATTAATACTGCCTACCTTAGACATAATTGGTATACTTTTTATTATAAGATCGCGATCGGTAAACAGAGACACGACTTACAAATACATAACTGTTAAACACGTCTATTACTTACCTGGCTCCAAAGATGTGGATATAGCCAGGTATGTGACACTTACGACCAGGAGAATGTTTAAGATGACACTTCCTTGCAACTGCAATAACAAAACAAAAAATACAGTAAAACCTGTCTAATCCAAACGCCATCGGGACCGGCTAAAAGTGTTTAGATTAGCGGGTGTTCATATTTCAAGTTTTTTAGGTATATGATTCAAAGGGACCGATAACAAATTGGACCGAGGAAAGTGTTCACATTGATTACAATTTTTTTATACACGGTTTAAAATACTCTATTTTTATTGATAAAAGACTAGTCCATAGTTTTTATGTTTGTACCTTAACTGAAACACTCCATTCTTATTGGACAAAAAGCAGTCTATAGTTTGAACTATTGACTGACCATTGCGTTCAACTAATCTTGACGTCTTAATGATAAATCAGATTGGAAAATGTGATATACATAGTGACAATGAATACTTTAGGGGTTTCGAGTAAATTAGGAATACTTAATATTCTTCAGACGCCTATCCCCGGGGCACAATTTATTCAGCATTAATATATCGACGAATCCCCCCGAGAGCCATTTCATATAAGTATTCGCGATTATGTGATATATATTATATTGAAATACATGTAATTGTTTCCCATTTGCAGTGATTGTGTGGACGAGGTGGTTGGTGAATCTTCACTTATGATTTGTATTCGAGGACATGCAACATTCCATTAAGAATATGTCAAAACTTTAAGCGATGCAAGCCGTGTATAATTTTGAAAACATAAGACCGAGCGTCTGTTTTGAAAATGTTAACAAAACAATAACTAGTAATCAAATAAAAATGTAAAAATATTAATAATGATAAAAATATCTATTTGAGATAATAAGATAGTCATTATTGAAACATGCCACAATTATAATTAGAACATGACACAATTAATATGATACAATTGTGATTAAAATATGACACAATTATGACTGAAATATGACACACTTATATATGATTACTTACCATCGTCCTATCATTCATAGATCTCTGTTAATTGCGAGGTTTCTAATCCAAGTTATGCTTTCTTTCAAAATGTAATATTTACGTTTTGGAATGAACGTATATAGCGACAGTTGTTTCACGTTAGATCCCACTGGCCTGTTTACAACTCTAATATAATTCCTATTCTTTCTCAACTAAATGCACAATTTTGATCATATCAATTAGGCAGGTTTTATTCCGAGACAGAAAATACTGAATTCCTAAATTTTCAAACGGGACTTAAGTCGGTCTAGGTGGCTCTCAGGTGGAGGCAGACGTTGTACTGTTGGGCAAAGTGAGTCGCGGCCCGATGCCATCAGAGACTTGCCCTGCCATGAAACGTTCCAACAAAAGATACCTTCCCGTTTGGGCTTAACGTGACAAACAGAAAAACAAAGGTGAATTCGATGAGTGTAACGAGGGAACGAGCTGCTCTGCGAGAATACGAGGAATTCTGGAGAAATATAGAATAGAGATGAGAAATTCGCGTGACGATGGTATGATTATACGCAGGGGCGATCGGGATGTCGTCTGCCTACTATAGTATAGTGCCGCGGCCTAGTGTCACGAGCGGCTACTGAAGCTTCGGGGGAGCAAATAGCTCCGTGTCTCACGTCTACTGATCGTCTGCCGCGACTTACATTAAGTACTACCACTTATAACACCATATTACCAGCCCGCTACTTATCCATATTGCCAACTGCCCAATCAGATTGAATGATTTAGGTCACGTGACGTGCGCCGTTGACTGGGTATAAGCCTCCTTCGGAGACTGGAGTAGAGTTGGAGTTTTACCTAAAAGTTCATTATCAATAATCAAGTCAAACTTTAGTCGCCGATAAGTACTTACTCAAGCATTTCCGCATTTAATTTCGATTGTTTGTTTTGCATATACTCTAGATTTGCATGAGAGGTTAAGTGGCCCCGTCTCGGCGAGAAATAAAGGTTATATTTCATGTTTTTATAAAAACATAGAAACTATTTCGAAAATAGTAAGTCAACATAATTCTTGTAAATCAGTTTAAATTGTTTTTCAGGCCAAAAATGCTTCAATTATACAACCAATCCGATCTTTAAAATTTTCTGACTTTTCCTGGTACCCGATCGAAGCTTGAAATTCTATGTTGCGGTTTCAAATCGACAACCCTGAAATCAATCATTAGGGGACGTTTCAATATAGTTTGATAACTTTATATCTATCAAAGGGATTGCACCAAAACATTTATCTAAATTACAAATGAATCAATTTATCTCTTCCCTCCCAACGCAAAATTCACTTATGCAAAACTTGCAAAAATAGTATATTATACTAGGTTCTTCAATATGAAATCGAAAACCCAAACATATTTAAAAAGTACCCTTACACCCCCCCCCATCACAAAAACAAACCAAATTTCCCTGGAGACGATTTGTTCATTGACGGTTTAGTACGATCCCTAAATCCTTCAATCTAATTTGCTTGAAAGGAATTGTAAAATAACACACAAGACTCTTATAAATGTGCAAATTCCCACAGACGTAGCCACCAAACTCCAACTTACGGTTTAAAAGTCTGGATTATATATAAATGTAAATAAAAATGTCAAAATTGGCTAACTATTAATTGTGATCCCCATCTGGCCGTCTCAACAAAGGAGGTTAATCAATACCAGCCTACAGTCAAAGGAGGTTAACCAATACCAGCGATAACACTGACAAGCTTCATCCACAGTGGAAATAAATAGACGTGTGCTTATAGACGCCTAGCTGTACATAATAAGGCCTTTACAAATTGTATGCCAGTTTAGCGGAACTATCTTGTCATCTCAATTCACTAGCTCCTCAAAGTCAGGCACTATTTAAAAATTTAGTATTGTTCCTTTATTTTAGAATTTTGAAGTGTGTGAAATTTTGAATAAATAATGGTAGTTTTTTTCCCAAATTAAAAGTTCACATATCTTGCCTTGAGATTAAGTATGTCCTGAATGTTAATACAAATGATTGCTGAAATGTTCCTGTCGACACAGAAATAGTTTATAAAAAACTCAGGCGTTTGGGCGACTAAACTGCATTTTAAAATGCATCTGTTTGGTGCTGAAAGTAAAAATACATTGAAATGAACATGGCGTGTACAAACAAAACGTTATTTTTCGGTCGGTGATTTTCCTCGGTCTTACAAGAACAGTAATTCCAGTTTTATGAAATTGATCGCCGATTTAAAGGAAAATATTTGTCCCGGTTTGTATTGACTTAAATGAGCATAAGTCGACACCGACTGGTGATGCTACAAATCATTATATATTGTTTTATATTATGTACTTTATAAATATGCAATTTAATGTGCTTTATTGTTTCAATTGCCCCAGGGATTTCCCAGTTTATACTATATTACTGGGGGTTTGATTATATGTAGATCCCAGGATGGAGGTGCTTCCCAATGAGTTTAGCAAAAAATGATCAATCCCCTTTATGGAACTTGACAACATGGTCAAATTTAACACATCGCATGTAAAGGTAGGGTGAACAATTTGTAATATCAGTGACACATAATTATTAAATAAACTGATAAAGTATTTTAAACGAACGCTGTATAACTGGCCCGATTGGTGTCGCTGTACATCAATATGCCAGTATCTGTGCATCCGGGCTCGGACAATATATTAACGGGACAATAACATATTCGGATACATAAACTCATCATATCTTTCTGTCTATCAACTAGAAAGCAACTAACACAAAGCCATGATTTCCGGTGATGGGATAATACGAGGGGTGATCAATATGTAATGGACGCTTTTTTACACAGATACTCTTTATGAACCAATCCCTTTGATTTTCCTACCAGTGATGCACACTTATCTATCAATTCTGAAGATTTGAAGACAAAATATATAATACATATAGGTTATTTACTGGGAGGGATTGAATATGGGTTTTATTCCGAGGGACAATATGATATTGACCGAAGGGTAATATGATATTGACCGAGGGAGCGCAGCGACCGAGTGTCAATATCATATTTCCCAAGGTCAATATCATATTTTCCGAGGAATAAAACCCATATTCAATCCCGACCAGAAATAACCTATTTATTCCATTATACATTCCTCCTTAAAATGTTACATTTGGATAATGCTTTTATCAATTAGTCAAGGTTAAAAATAACCGGGAAAACCAAAAATAGGTTAAAACGTTCCAATACGATTTTTGTCCCGGGGACAATACGATTTTTCCATGTAATACGCTCCAATACGATTTTTTTCCCGGGGACAATACGATTTTTTCATGTAATACGATTCAATACGATTTTTATTCCTTCATATTTCCCTGGGAAAACAGTAGTATTATGGAATAAATGTTGATCTATCCTTATTTCTGTGAAGGAGGTACAGGTACCCCGGGACCGATATTTACGTCACATATTCAGTTTTTAGCCAGTTGGGCAAATTTCAGTTACATTTAAACTTTTTTTTTATATGCAACAAGTGTGTGTTGTTTCAAACATTTTGCTGACTGGTTACACGTAAACAGTAAGTGATGTGATGTCAGAGTGTTGTATGGTCGGGGTTTGCAGGTCTATTTGAGGAAGCATTGTGGAAGAAGGGGTTGATGAGAAAAGGAAACACCCCACTCCATATGGACAATTCACCTGCCCACATATCTCAAAATGTTCAGAAAACAATATTCCTGGACCTCAAAATTGAGCCCTTGGCCAATGCACCATATTTTCCAAATGTGCTCACATGTGATTTATTCATTTCCATGCTACTTATTCCTATAGAGAAAGGACGCAGGTTTATTGACATTGATGAAATAAAACCCGTGCAACTGCATCTTGCTCCCATTAGAATGGATTCAGCCTTGTCTCACAATCTTGAGTTAAGAGGATGAGGAATTGTGTACATGAAGGACTTGATGGAACCTATGTAGAGGGCCCTGTAGAATGAATGTGACATGAATACCACATAGTGATGATAAAATATTCAAAATCAACTATGGCATAACAAAATGGGGTAATTCATGACCAAAATGGTTTGTTTTGTTCGGCCTGCATTCAACTGCGTTGCATGTTAAACAAGCTATAATAACCTGAGAATGTTTGACGTAAATGTCGGTCCCGGGGTACCTATACCTCCTTCACGGAAATAAAGATATATCAAAATATATTACATGTTTTGTTTTCAAATCTTCAGAGTTGATAGATAATTGAATGATGTATCACTGGTAAGAAAATCGAAGGTATTGGTCTATAATAAGCATCCGTGTAAAAAAGCGTCCATTACTTATTGATCACCCCTCGTAAGTACATGTACTTGGAATTTTTTGACACTGCCACGAATCTTTGAGACATGAAGGCAGATCTGCAATTTTGAAAAGAAGACCGCTCAATTTTCTAGGCTTTTATATTTTCTAAAGGAAAATTACCACTCAATTATTAATCTGGGTACACCAGCGCTCCTTTTGTTCAAAATTGCAGGATTTAGAACGTGTTTGGAATGAGTAACGTCATCTGAAAAAAACACATGGTCATCAAAATGGTAAAAAGTGCAGTTTGACCTTATGGGACAATAAGTACTTGTACTTGTAATTTTTTCACATCATGCCACGAATCTTGGAGACATTAAGATATTGAGATGCCAGGCATCGGCTAATGGATCCAGAGACTCCCGTCATAAACGTCTTGACGTCGGGTCTCTGATTTTACAGAATGTGTTTAGCTTAAATCGTATCAAATAAAATGTCTTGTATGATAATGTGGTTTTCATTTTAACCATGGCCACGGAAAAACAAAAGATATGCGAATAAATATAATTAGGTACGTTAATAAGGGTTGAACAAAAATTACAAATGGTGAATTCAAAATCATTCAATCAAGTTATCTGTATTATAAGCTACTTGTGGAACAAATATATCCAAGTATATCCTGATTTTTTAATTATTTTGCAACTTTTGTGAAATAAAACTTTTCCCATGATAATTCAAGTTTAAACATTCACTAATAGATAGATGTCACTACTTACATTGTTTATGAAAAGATTGTGGTTGGGACTGTGGTGGATTATTTGTTTTTTTGTGACTGAAACCTATAACAGGGGTAGATCTGGGAACCAACAATCGGAAGGGGGCAAATTTCAAGTCTGAGAAAAAATTGGGCCCCTAACACCAAAACGTGGGCCCAAATTTTGATATTTTGAGGCCGATTTTCTTCAAAATTTGGCCTGAAATTAAAAAATAAGGCCTTAAAAGTAAAGACCAAAAGGCCCACCTTTTGGGGCTTTAATGCCTCTTTTTGGCCCGAAATTTTATTAGGGCCCATTTTTTTCTGGGCCCACCCGGTAGGATATATAGTATAGTATATAGTATAGTATATAGTATAGTATAGTATAGTATATAGTATAGTATATAGTATAGTATATAGTATAGTATAGAGTATAGTATATAGTATAGTATATAGTATAGTATATAGTATAGTATATAGTATAGTATATAGTATAGTATATAGTATAGTATATAGTATAGTATATAGTATAGTATATAGTATAGTATATAGTATAGTATATAGTATAGTATATAGTATAGTATATAGTATAGTATAGAGTATAGTATAGTATAGTATATAGTATAGTATATAGTATAGTATAGAGTATAGTATAGAGTATAGTATAGAGTATAGTATAGAGTATAGTATAGAGTATAGTATAGAGTATAGTATAGAGTATAGTATAGAGTATAGTATAGAGTATAGTATAGAGTATAGTATAGAGTATAGTATAGAGTATAGTATAGAGTATAGTATAGAGTATAGTATAGAGTATAGTATAGAGTATAGTATAGAGTATAGTATATAGTATAGTATAGAGTATAGTATAGAGTATAGTATATAGTATAGTATATAGTATAGTATATAGTATAGTATATAGTATAGTATATAGTATAGTATAGAGTATAGTATATAGTATAGTATATAGTATAGTATAGAGTATAGTATAGAGTATAGTATAGAGTATAGTATAGAGTATAGTATAGAGTATAGTATAGAGTATAGTATAGAGTATAGTATAGAGTATAGTATAGAGTATAGTATAGAGTATAGTATATAGTATAGTATAGAGTATAGTATAGAGTATAGTATAGAGTATAGTATAGAGTATAGTATAGAGTATAGTATAGAGTATAGTATATAGTATAGTATATAGTATAGTATATAGTATAGTATATAGTATAGTATAGTATAGTATAGAGTATAGTATATAGTATAGTATATAGTATAGTATAGAGTATAGTATAGAGTATAGTATAGAGTATAGTATAGAGTATAGTATAGAGTATAGTATATAGTATAGTATAGAGTATAGTATAGAGTATAGTATAGAGTATAGTATAGAGTATAGTATAGAGTATAGTATAGAGTATAGTATAGAGTATAGTATAGAGTATAGTATAGAGTATAGTATAGTATAGTATATAGTATAGTATATAGTATAGTATATAGTATAGTATATAGTATAGTATATAGTATAGTATATAGTATAGTATATAGTATAGTATATAGTATAGTATATAGTATAGTATATAGTATAGTATATAGTATAGTATATAGTATAGTATATAGTATAGTATATAGTATAGTATATAGTATAGTATATAGTATAGTATATAGTATAGTATATAGTATAGTATATAGTATAGTATATAGTATAGTATATAGTATAGTATATAGTATAGTGTATAGTATATAATATAGTATATAGTATATAGTATATAGTATATAGTATATAGTATAGTATAGTATAGCACTTCAAATCATTCAATAACGTTTTTATGGTGTTATCTTGGGCCAATACATTTTACTAAGGCGATAATTTCGGAATATATTTCGGAAATATTTTGTATTTTCTGTATTGCTACTGAGATTGTCCCTTCCGTACCAATATTTTCTGTATTGCTGCGGAGATGATCAATGGGGACAATCCCCGGGGACAATCTCAGTATTGGTACAGCACAAGAACTGACCAATCAGAGGGCTTCATTATACAGAATATACGATAATACAATGTACCGTGTACCTTCAGCAACCATTGTTTGGACTCAATGGTTTAGCATTAATCTTGGTAGAGTCATCACGATCGATGAAAACATCGCAAGTCTTTTGATATTTGCAAGTATTAAGAGTTCACCGTTAAGCATTATGAGGGGTGCATTGTATGAAGGTAAGCTTAATTTGGTATAGGTCGATTAATAGGGCTTTGCTTTTACCTTTTACTTACGATTTAAAGATCATGCCTTCGATATGTACTAGTTTCGATATGTAGTTTTCTTAAACGAGGTAGAGGGGTTAGAGAGGGTAAAATGCTAGAGTGATTGTTCTTTTAATTTATTTTCTGAAAAATGATGAGTCATTGGAGACTAGTTGCAGACAAGAAAATAGAAATGTCCAAATTCCTTGGGATGGACGTCCACATTTCAAATATCGAAGAATGAGCCTTATATAAAGTCAGAACTTTTGGACGCATTCAAATAGAGATATAGCATGGAATGCATATGACATTACAGCAAAAAAATCTAAAATTGTGTCAATGTGGTTTCGTCTTTTTCAACATGTGTTCTGTTAATAATTAAAGTGTAGAACAATGTAGAACCTCTGGGCTGTATCCCTGAATCGCAATTGAACACATGGAAAATAGTCAAAGGGTAGTTACGTGACAGAATCACACGAACGTCTATTCGTCGTCAAATGATGGATCTTCAAATCCCCATTTGTGTGATCTCAATAAACTGAATACGACTTATATAAAACCGATTTTAGTGAATGAATTATTGTGAAAATAAATTTTAATCCGCCTATTCAGATTTAAGGTTGCTAAAGGCACGCTAAATAGACTAGAATCGGGGGTTGAAAATATAATGACATCTTATATTTTGACGAGCAGGCAAGTCATGTTAGCTAATTGACAGGAAAGTGGTTCCTTAAATGATACTGAGATTTAACGAGACGAAATTGGTGTCAAAATGTGTTTTTGGGTAAAAATGTGTTTTTCGCAGAGAAAAATTGAAATAAAATAATATTTTTAGAAATTTTATTTTAGTAAACACTGTCTGGTTGACTTTGGAAAAGTGAAAATAAACCAGTTTTGATCGATTTTGGTGATTTTGGGGAGGTATTAGAGATTTCCCTTGTGGTTGTCAAATAGTGAAATGAATGTAGACTAGAATCAGTGCATTTAAAATATAATGACCTCTTTTGACAAGCAGGAAAGTCATGTTAATAAAGGTAAATAGTTTCTTAATTGATACTGAGATTTAACAAGAAGAAATATGTGTAAAAATATGGTAAAAATGTGTTTTTTGCAGAAATAAAATCGGTCGATTTGAAGCAAGTTGAAAAAAGACCTTTTTGGCCTTGAAAAGGTCATTGAAGTTCTGAAAACATGGAGATGATTTTGAAAAATTGAAGTCAATCTTAACAGTATTTGTTATTTATTGGCAGTTCCAAGGATTTGTTACAGACGCCGATCGCCAACCACCAACAGCCAACCACCAAACGCCAACCGGCGTCAAAAAGAACGGAGACCATAACGAAAAAATAAACTTGTCAATTTGAAGCAAGTTGAAAAAACCTTTTGGACCCTGAAAGGGTCTTTGAAGGTCAAACCTTAAATAGAAAGTCAGATTTGAACTTCTGAAAACATGTAGATGATTTTGAAAAAAATGATGTCCACCCTATGCAGACAGAGCCTGTGGGAAATATTGGGTGCGGAGCAAATGAGCGGAGGGTGCGGAGCTAACGGTCATTTTTGAATTTAAAATTGGGATATTTCTGAAACTAAGCCGTTTTGGGACTTCAAATATACCAAGATATGTGTATTTGAGACCAAATATCAATAAAATTGTGAAAATAGTAGTGCAATTCATTTTATAGCGACGCAGTATGCCTTAAACATTTCCCAGACCTATATATTTTGAGACTATCCTTTTAATACTGCGTCCCCAGCATTCATAAAAAATGGTGTTCAAGATACACTACCCATGCAAATTATTTTTGCATCTTGGAAGCCAGGCAGTATCTGTGTGATTTTATAAAAATTCGGAAATGTTCTTCAGATATGAGCCCCTCTAAATATTGGGTGCGGAGCTACGTTTATGGAGCTGCTCCGCACCCAATATTTAGAGGGGGCTCATATCTGAAAAAAATTTCCGAATTTTTATAAAATCACACAGATACTGCCTGGCTTCCAAGATGCAAAAATAATTTGTATAGATAGTGCACCTTGAACACCATTTTTTATGAATGCTGGGGACTCAGTATTAAAAGGATAATTTCAAAATATATAGGTCTGGGAAAGGTTTAAGGCACACTGCGTCGCTATAGAATGAATTGCGCTACTATTTTCACAATTGTATTGATATTTGGTGTCAAATACACATATCTTGGTATATTTGAAGTCCCAAAACGGCTTAGTTTCAGAAATATCCCAAATTTAAATTCAAAAATAACCGTTAGCTCCGCACCCTCCGCTCATTTGCTCCGCACCCAATATTTCCCACAGGCTCTGTCTGCATAGGGTGATGTCGGTCTAATCAGTATTTGGTAAGTTATTGGAAGTTGTAAGAATTTGTTACAGACGCCGATCGCCAACCGCAAACCACCAACCGCCGTCAAAAAACAATAAAAAGATAATATATGAAATCAAACTATACTATTCAACATATATCAAAAGTGTCATACAGTTTTAGATTGATTCTGTTATTTTGCATTCAAGTAAAGTTTAATTGTTTTTTCATAACTCTCATTTTAAATATTTAATGTGTCAATAAACATTAATAAACCTGGTGGATACGTAAATCAAAAATAAATGAATCACTTCAAGTTGCCCATTTAATCTTATGACATGTGGAATGTAACCATTTGATTCATTCTGTAATTTTGCAGTATTCAGTTTCGGTATTTAAGAAAACGTAAGAAAATGAATATGATGTTGGATTATTTTTACTTTATGGAATGTAAAATTAACAATCAACAAATGTAATCTAAAGTTAACCGAAACCATAATACATTCATAACATATAACTTCTACAGCAGTTACGGTCACTGGTTTCCTTACCTATTTGTACTGAACCCACTAATTGTAAGAATTATGTGATCTATGGAGTGACAATGATCCACCCATAGCAGTGGGAGGTCGGGCCTGTTATGGTATTGTAACGACCCTTGGGCACGTCCGTCGGGGAGCTGTAGTGTACCGAGCCAGATACTAGACTCGAAAGAGAGTGTGCTAAATTCAACCTTCCGCTCTCGAGTCAGACGCTCTACCCCTGAGCCATTACAGCCACTACAGCTGAGACTGTAGTAGCGACTTGCTATCGAAGGTCATTACACCATCACACTCTGATGGTTTTACTTCATCCTCTAGACTGAGTTCAATAAAGTCAACCAAACCAAGACGTACAATTATCATAACGCTAGATTGGCTGGCAGAGTGCCAACCTGGCACAATGACATGTTGACCACAACTATTTAGTATGTGGTGATGAACGCTGATTGTATTGTTTGAACTAGTTAAGGATTGAAGATAATATTTTAATTAATTGTCTAATTAGTGCATTTTGACACCTGGTTCACCATGTTAAATCTCACAAATCTTTTGTTACATATAATGGAGTATTAAAATATAAGTACTTTCACGTTCTAAAGGCTTTTATCATCATATGATTCTAGTCTAAAATATTATGTCCACATTATGGATTTCACCTCGATTTCATAAACATTTTCTTGTTGAGAATGTAAGCAGGTTTGGTAAAAGTTGTCATGTTCATGGCAAAAAGGTGTAGAGTATAGGCACCTATACCATTTTAATCTATGTTAGAATGACTTCAAATGCTGGTGGTTGAGGGTCCCACAGGGGTGATGGACCAGAGATATGCGTTGCTATAGCAACCTAATCAATGATCGCTACACAATTTCGGTCTTTTAACAATGAACAGAATAAAATTTCCGGTCATACTAATTAAATTCATACAAACCAATACTATTTATGCCTCACACTACAAGGAAATTTATAGCCACATGTTTGTGAAAATTTGTAGTTCATGGGAAATGTTATTTTTTAAAATGTTATGTTTCAATTGTTTATCATATTTACCATGATTTACCATATTTGAATAAACATAACATTATTGTAATAATATAATGATATTGCGTCTTGATTAGTAAAATCTTGTGCTGAATTTAACATCACCAATGACTACACACTACTTACTACTAGGTGATAGTCAAAATGACACAAAACCCAATACCATCCCTGCAAAGAAAGATCGCAAGATGTAAATTGTAAGTAGCTTATTAGAGAATTTGCCAAAATGCATATCTAATCTAAAGATGGTTCAAACATATAATTTATTCCTGCTGCTAGGTAGTTGCTAGGAAAAATGACATGACATGTAATAAATACAGCAACTTTTCAGCAAAGAAAACCATCTGATGTCAGTTGTAGGTAACTTACATGAGACAATCTTGCCCAAAAATGCTCATCATATTATAGATATGGTGGTTTTGAAGCTCTTATGTCCTAATTACTAGTATTCCCATTGCTATATACATGTAGGTAGTTGCTATGCAAAAATAATGTGTTCTGCAAACATTGTTGTCTGTTTTTAATAAATTATTGAAGAGGAAAGTTGCCAAAATTGCACATCTGATTAGAGGGTATATTGTTGCTCTAACTAGTTACGCCTAGGGCTTAAAAATATACATTACTTGTTCGAAAGGAACGACAATGTTTATTTAGTACTACAAACATACCATATCACCAATATCTAATCCGAATCCTAAAGAAAATATAATATAACTTGTGCCCCTTCCATTTTTTAACTATAAAACTCCATTTATTTCACCTTTTATTGACGTTACCATGGCAACAACGTAACAGTGATTGGTTAATTTTAATGACATAAGGGTTGGGTCATAAGCTCTCAATCCTGTAGGAATGGCATCTATCTGTGTGTGTTTATTGAACAAATTACTTAACATTCAGGCTTGACCGGTATTTGCTTTACTTGGTTGCTATAACAACCAATAGCTCTGCCCCATTACCCCTACCAGACCCTCAACCGCTACAAGTTACAGTCTTTGAGTATACCAACAATGTGTCATAGGTGGCTAGACTCTACAGTCAAACGCCGTGATTGGCAAATTTATGAAGCCTTTGCCAAGACCTGCTTACAGTCTAGTTACTTCAATCTAGGACTATCGCCATAGCTGCAATCGATCTCAGAATAAACGTAAACACATCTTTTTATTTTGCTTCAGTCATGTCAGCCTTCAAAGTCGCTTTAGACCTCAATGCATTCAAAAATACCCATATTTCCATCGCCATTTTTACACTCTATTTAGCCTATTCCTGTTTTAGTCACTACTAATGAGTAATTTGAATTTTGTTTCAGAGATCGCCATGTCTCCAGTTAGTATCTTGTTGTGTATGAGCTTTTTTGGATGTACTTTCGGTCTCTCTATTGAAGAAGCTGCACTGTTTCAGAACGATGGTACAGTCGGGCAATATCACGGACTCTCAGGATTCGTCAATATCACTGACAACGGGGACACTTGGACACTAATCAGTAATGGCGTACCTGATCATGATACAGGTGACTTCCCGATTGCCGGTTCAAACCCTAATGAGATATCCACTCAGACCCATGAATATGAAATTCCTAAAAATCCAAATATTGCTTCTGAGGCCACATGTCTGTCTAGGGGCGTGATAGGAATTGCAAAAAATGGTGTCGCAATTTTCAACCCATTTACGATACAAGGATGTAATGCGGTTGAGGGAAGTGGCGCGGAGGAATTCGATGAATGTAATGCCCACCCCGCTCCAAATGGTGCGTACCATTACCACATGGTTCCGAACTGTATAGTAGACGGCACGAACGATCAGTTTATCGGTGTTGCCCTTGACGGATTTCCCATCTATGGACCACTGAACTCAGCCGGTCAAAACATAACATCTGCCGATTTGGACGAATGCCACGGAGAAACTGTGAACGGAGCCTATCGCTACAGAGTGACCCACGATTATCCATACTATCTCGGTTGTTACAAGGGTGGGTATGTTTCCAGTATGGGTGGCCCTGCAATGATGCGCAAGAAGCGCCAGACCCCTCCACCAACGTGCTCATTTGCAAACCAAGCCACATTGGAGACTAGCCCGTGTTATACTTCGGACGGAAACAAGGCACCTTTCATTTTCCAAACTGGACTCATCGCTACAGGTTTCCTCATTAGCTTTTTCAATATCCATTAATGATTTTTTCTGAGAGATAATGAACTTAGCAAAATATTATTTATATCGAGTCGGCATAAAAATGGGCCGTACTTTGATGCTTCATTGCATTATGTGTACGGGTTAGTGTATATGCACTCATGCTTTTAAAATTCCACTGAAGAATGTCAACATGACTGATTCATGCAGGCAGATTTGAGAAGTATAGAGATTCCCCTCAGACAATAGACATTTCTAATGAACCCTGGTTGCCACTGCACCCTTTGGTAGATCAAGGTAGCTACGATACATGGGCTAGGTTGTTGATGTCAAAGGTTGTACCTTTTCAAAATGAGCAATGAGTTGATTCTCTTTTGATAAGACAGATTGCAACATATGACATCATCAATCTGGATAATCTGTCACCGCTTCTTTGATTTACCAAACGTTGGCATGATCTATTGAAAAGGTCTTTTGAAACCTTGATTGACAGAGGAATGACATACTTTTACATGATTGTATAGGACTAAAATGCACCCCATGTTTACAAGGAATTAGTTCAAGAACGAATTGTAGTCTGTATTGTATGATTGTATGTATACAATTGCAATCTGTCTGTATTGATAAACAACTGATAAACATTTCATATAGATTTTTAGTCATTTATTTGTATGTTCATTTCAATACATAATCTAAATAAACAGTTCATCAACATCAACACAAAATGTGCGTATATGTCAAAATCCCTGAATTATCACATAAAGATGTCACTGGTGGTGAGGTCACGTGATTACTGATCCAGTCCAGTGATCCATACAGCCTTCTCGTTGACCTTGGGCCAATAGACACACTCTCCGGCAAGAGTGTAGACCTTACCAGCCTCGTCAGTGACCACCCATGGGTGTTGAGTGTTAGTGTTCATTCTAATGCTGTTGCCTAAAAGTGGACGAAAATAGCTCACGTGATGTGGTTTGGCCAATCAGAAATTTGGACACATGAGAAATATGTTGAATACTGTCATTCTTATCCCGTTGCCTAAATTTGACGAAAATAGGTCACGTGATGTGGTTTTGAGCAATCAGAATGTGTAATTAAAGATTCAATATAGCAATTTGGTTCAAAAAATCATGGCTTCTCATTATACAATGCTTACCAGAGGCGAGTTTCCAGTTGCCTTGCATGTTTCCTTGGTAATCCACCCAGTGAAGGACGACGGTCATCTTGGAGAGGTTTCTGAAAGTGAGGGTGACGGCTTGTCCACTGCCAGATTTGATACCAGTTGGCTTCTTACAAGGAGTGGCTGTAAATGTTGAGTTTTTTTCAGTATAGTTTAAGAAATTCAAGATACAATATGAGCAACTCAGAGAGTTTATAACATAAATCTCTCTACTCCTCAAAGCTACCTGGAAACCCATGATCTCAATACTGAAAAGATAATCATGTACAATTTCTAACCCCAAGATCTCAGTATGATATTCCTAATAGGCCTACTCATTTAAACATGAGATTTACAAAAGAATTCGTTGACTTAGTGGCACGAGTTTCGGATCTGAAACTTTTACAGATCCAAAGCCATCTTTTAGAAATCAAAGCGCACTTACAGGAAATTCCGATCTCCTTCTCGATATGGTCGACAACAACACCAGCGCCATCTTTAATTGTGTCAATGGCGCCACCAGCAGCGGGCTTCATCTTCTCCAAAGTCTCGTCTGCAACATAAATACCCGGATGTTGATCCATCATATATATACAATGAATTTACCTAGGAGGAGTTTCAAATTAGCAGGTACATTTGGAAACTGCAGTATATGAATAATATGTTACTGTATAGTACCAATACACGGATAGATAAACCATGACATCTCATTTCTTGAGTTTCAGGTGAAACAGAAAGATGCTATGAGTATCAGAATGGAATAACCTTGTTTAAACAAAACTTACTGAGGATATCAGTTGAGGCTTCAATGAGGGCATCAAGTCCGTTCTTGGCGTGTCCGAGGAGTTCCTTGCCATGATCACCGAGTTGCTGTAGAATACGAAGATAGATATTAACGTGACCTGATAAACTGGGTTTTGATTTTGCAGTATCTTGATATATTATTGTTACTGACGATTATCGACTATAGACCACGGGCTATAGACGAAAAGCTTGGGAGGTGGATATTTTCCTTAGCTTGATATGACGGTCAACTTTGGGGAGGATGTATTCCTTCTTAACTCAATGTGTGTACATGTATTTCTTACATTGCTGTTATCATGTGACCCACAAGTTTGGGGAGGACGTATTCCTCCTTACCTTGATGTTATCCTCAAGTTTGGCGAGTGAGTATATGTATTCCTTACCTTGATGTTACCTGGAAGGATGTACAGGTGTATTCCTTACCTTGATATGACCGTCAAGTTTGGGGAGGATCTTGTCAACATGTGGCTTAGCTTTGTCCCACAGATCACCAGCTCCCTTTGAGACGTCATTAACGATTCCGTTGACTCCCTACAGAATATACACAACTTAACTAGCCTACAATATACCATGGGCTTTCATCTAGTTGAAAGCCCATGAATATACGGAATATGTTTCATACAGGATATGATTCCTTAAAACAATAGTAGTATACATCAAATATATTTATCTCAATGGTACATACCATGATTACAAGTAGTTTTCTTTTTGGGCTTCTTAATCAAAATATAAAGAAACCTATTAGCTATTGAAAGACGAAATTTTTAATATAAAGCTCCAAGATGGCCGCTTCCAAAGCTGTTTTAACGGTGTCCATCTGTGAAAAGAATATTCAAACTTTAAAATGTTGCGCTAATTAGTAGATGTATTATGTAAATTTTTAAATAAAATCATCTTACGGAGACGATTTTGTCAATATGTGGCTTGAAAGCATCACCGAGAACTTGTCCAAGGGCCTTGACGGCATCAATGATTCTCTTGTTAACCTGTCGGTCTTCGGGGACAGAGAACTCACTGAAGATATCACGGGTGTGGCGGGCATGGAACTCTGCGTATTAGGAAAAATAGTAAATACATTGTCACAATCATGAAATACATTGTCGTGATATTGTCATAGTGACAACCTTGTCTCAATTTTTAAATGCATTTTCACAATCATATAATACATTGTTGTGATATTGTCATGGTGACAACCTTGTCTCAATTTTTAAATGCATTTTCACAATCATAAAATACATTGCCGTGATATTGTCATGGCGACAACCGTGTCTCAATTTGTAAATGTATTTTCACAATCATAAAATACAATCTCCAAACCACAACGTTGTCAATTAAAACCTATTTATACTTGGAATTAAAAAATTAGAAATACCTAATAAGGTCAGACATTTATGACTTTGGTTAAATTTTATGTAATGTCGTTGGGTTTTACCAAACATTTCGAAGGAAGTGTATGTTACAACCGGCTTTCAATTGATCAAATATTGATTACATTTTTGTCAATCTGGCAAAATAATCGAAGTACTACCTACCAGCGACCTCTTCGAGTTTCTTTTGTGTCTCCTCAGTGCTTTTGGTGACGAAGTCAAGTCCGTAAACCTCAGAGAGAATCTACGAATGAAAATAGGCTATAAGTTAAATAAAATTTAAGATTGGAAATATCCAATTCTTAAGAATTGAAAAAGAAGACGTCAAATTTTGTCCGATTATCATTTAATAAAATCAGAACTGTTTGACATACCGTAAAATTATTTTTACAAAGTTGTGTCCAACTCGTCTCTAGTCTCATAAAACACTGGTACTCACCTGGTTATTGAGACTTTACGTCCAAGGACTCCAATAATAGAGAGAGAATTTGCTGAAGAGAGGAATTCTCACTCGATTATTGGAACTGATGGATATAATTGCTCGCCTCTGCCTAGATTTTCAGTAACTGGATGTTACTATTAGCATACTGGTAAAATATTTGGATACAAATTAAATCAACCTACTTCTTAATGAAAACTATGAAAATGAAAATTGCCTACAAGTTCATCCATTTTGTTATAAAGACGTATAACCAGGTTGGGGCCAGTGATAAAAGATACAAAAAGGGAGTAAGGTTAATCTTACTACAGACATTAATCATAAATACCTCCTGTACGATTTCCATTGAAGCATCAGTGACCTCCTTGGCGATCTGGATCTTGGTTGAGAGGATCTCTCTGAAGATCTCAGTCACCTCATTAACGAACTGTTGGTTCTCGCTCTTCTGTTCCTCGACATCTCGTTTGCCGATGACGACATCGACGAGACCTAAATGAATAGAAATATCGGTGTAATCTATTTTATAAGATAACGATATCCAGATGTGCAAATGGGTCCAAACCTGAAAAATAATGTCCATCTATTGTTCGACGCATTTCGCTTTCTGTCCACGGGGTTGAGAAGAAGAAGATCTTGGACACTCTGCGATATCGGGTTATAAACGAAAACCTTTTAATTTTACACATTGCTTAGAGATAAAATTTAGCTAAATACAGTCGCAAAAAATCAAAAGCCTAACCCCTTGAATAGGAAAAGTGACTTTCAGTCACCACGAAAGATGGAAGCCCCTTGGCTGTCAGAGATTTGGATTGATAGAGGGAAATTTAGCGAACATAGGAAAGACGACATATTCGCCTTGACAGCCAACCAATATTTTATGATTCCCGTCTTAAACGCATTAAAGTATGCACTTGATATACAGGTAGTTGATCATTGGTGAACTTCAACTTTGTATAAATTTGGTGCTGAAAGAATTCGAAAGGCTTTACCTCCCATAGCTTTGTCCAGGATTGCTTCTCCCTTTTTGCCGAGGTCGTCTAGGAGATCGTTGAGCCATTTGCTGGTGGCATCTGTGGCTTTGCCAATGTTGTCTCCGATTGTGTTAACATCTAAAACAAAACATCAACGTTAAACTCCTTTGCATTAGTCTGGGAATTTTTGGATAGTGTAACTGTGAATAGCCCCCCCCGGTATCTATTTATTTTATTTCAATTACAGTTCAAACTGTCTTATCCGAACCCCTCTGGGACCAGATAAAAGTGTTCGGATTAGTAGGTGTTCACATTTCAAGGTTTTATGAATATTTATGTCAGGTTTGAAAACATATTCTCAATGAGAGGTGTTCGCATTAGAGAGGTGTTCGGATGTACATGTTTCACGTACATAGAAAGATTGGGTCAAAAATGGGCCGGAACACTAACATCAGCTGACTCACATATACTCTTATTTGAAAAACAAATATGATCTCAGTGTTATGAGAAACAGGTAAAATAAGGTTTGTGGATTTATGAATGCATGTTCAATTCACAAATCGAGTCAAATGATGAAGGTTTTTATTATTTTTAGAGACATGGATATTACGATACAACATGCATTCATCTTACTTTTCTCGAGTTGAGCGAGTTTCTCCTCAGTGGTTAGCTCCTTGGTTTCGTCCTGGGCAAGGGCCCCTAGTACGAGCAATGACAGGATCAATAACTTCATAGCTATAAGCAGAGAGGGTATACCCGTAAATAAAAGCTTAGAAACATTTGAATATTAGTATAAGAAATAACTTCAGAAACAATACACTCGTACACATAAGGATACAAAGCCTCGAGAGTACCATGGGCGTAAATGTATTATGAGAATGTTTTGGAAGTGGGTCAATTAAAAATGCTAAAAAATATCCCAATATTTTTTAAAATACACATTCATATATTTACAGAAATAAAGTTTGAAACAAAATTTATCGATGTACCAGTTTGCAGTTTACTCTGAATTATTTTCGATTTGTACATGTACGGCTCAAAAGTGGACATTGAAACTCCAAGTTAAAATATCAAAATGATGAAAACGGGAACCAGCAACCGATCGGATCATACATAGAAACAGGAAAATAATCATTCTTCACAATCAAACCATGACTTAAAGGACATCTCAATTCAATATTTTTCTTCAAGTTTTTTTTATCTAATTTTCATATTATATTTGCTGAAATGATGAACGCGTGCAATTACCTGTGAGTTTGATTGTCCAATGTAGAATTGATGACACGTTTCTCCTTATGTACGTCTAAGCTCCAGATGGTGTTGTTATCTTATCACAGAATTGGATCTTATCGTAAAGATAGACGGAGGATGGAGTATCCCAAGATATGATATAGAAGTTTTGTAATTGTACAACACGAGGCCCAGATACGAATAATTTAAAATGGCACCAGGTATATTTATGTTATTTGACTTCATTTACTCCCTCTAGACACAAACTTGAAAACGTTGAACGAAAGATGCATAACACTGAAATTGGAGCAACTAATACGTTGAGGATCAAGATGTGAAAGATGGGTATTACACCATAACGTGATTCTCATAATTATCACTAGGAACTTCATTCCCGGGTTTAGGGATGCAAGTGAGTGATGGGACCTATCAACATGTTCGACGATGTACATGTACAGTACTTCTCTCGTCTTGATAAGAGTTTCAAGAAAATGGGTTGGCGTCACTCCTCGTGATACAGCCAATCACAATAAACCGTTTCATCTGCTTTCCATTTCATTTTGATAAGGCATGATATTTTGTACAGCGATCTGTATTTCATCTGATCAGTTCTTGTTTCATCTAATGTGGGAGGGGGTATAAAGGGGTCATTTTTATGTAATGCCTACATTGACGAGGCTTAATCGCCCTAGTCACATTTGCTCTACGGCGGCCGTGACTTCACAAAGTCGACATAGAAAATCGACATCGTACTGCTTATCCATTTATTTCATATAATTATTTCTTTTGATTTTGGTAAGCTTAGGCCGTCGTACGGTTGCCGTAGATCAAATGAAACTAAGGCAACATTAGTAAATAACCTTACAGAACAAAACTGTAACAGCTTATCTGCCATCTTTTGTTTTTTATTTACAATTTTATCTACAATTTTTTTACCAGAACCAATTTGTCCTTTTCCACATTTCATATATACAATAAATATCCTGCTTAATAAAGGTATATATATAGAATGCCTATATGATATATTACACCATTTTCAAACAAGTAGTATGATCACCTAAAGTTGCTATGGTGATACAGTTGCTAGGGTGACTCTGTTGTATCTAATTGACATCGACTCTGAGTTGCATGACTGTCAATAGATCTATGTACTATAGTCTGAGGAGCAAAATGCTGGTTGCTATGGCAACAACTAAATGATTTGTGTAGGAATTATAGCAATTAATAAACCGGGGATATTTGTACTGTTGCTATGACAAGAGTTCAATGACTTGTTCAGGAGTTCTAGGCACTATTGTCTTAGGATCTGTGTACTCGTTGCTAGGGTCAACTATTGCATCATACATCTGTTTGTAAGCCTTACATAAGAGCTCTGTGGAGCTCTTTTTCACCATCTCTCTAAAATATAATCACAAAAAAATAAGTAAAATTGTAGATCATCTGCTACCTTTAAAAGCATGTTTTTTTGAAAGCGCATGTAAAAATAGATTTCAATAAATACATATTATTTACATGATACCAATCAATCTGTAAACGAAATGAGTACGCAATTCACAATGACAAAATGTATATATTTCCTAAATGTTCCCTCATTATCCTCTTACAAAAAACATTAAAGCAATAATGAATTACAAAGGTATTATTTAACCCCTTGCTTACTACCCTTTGCATTTGTTCAACTTCGCAACTCAAAAGAGAGCTTCGTCTTCGGTAGTTTATGACTTGACTCTGCGCGCAGGGTACTTGCTTATTCAAGTTAAAGGAAAAATTCTCGTGGTTAAATTACTTCTTATACAGTTCTTTAGTCTGCTCGTCTAATAGTCAATAGAGTAATACACACATTTTAAGACAAACCACTAAGAAGAATGAATATAATATGTTATTACATGTACATGTTATGTGTCTCACCTTAGTTTAGCTGCAGTCAGCAGCGCACATTGAGGCATATCAAGACTGTCAGGGGAGGCAAGGTAACTGTCAAATTTATTCTGAAATGTTCAGTAGTAATCAATGTCATTAAGGCTACAACAGAGCTTGTCTGTTCAGCAAAAATTATAACCATGTAACACTTGTTTTGTGCACATTATCAACCAACTATTATCTGGACACTTCACATTGGTATCAACATATTTCAAGCATAATCCATTTACTTTCTTTAAAATAAAACGAGTTATGATATTACTTTATGATGCCAGAAAGTAACATTTTGCTGAGTGAAGCGCATTTAAAGAATCAAGAATCAAATCGCCATTTATCTGTTAAAAGAGCAATGTGATCAATAAATGTTTTTGACTAATCAGTGAAGATAATATGACAAGATAGAAGTTCATCTTCAAATGATGATAGGGTCTTGATACCATAAAAGCCTATTTCCCCCTTTATGTGTTCGAGAAACATATTTCCACTCACCATGGCTGACTTTACAGTAATAGGATCCATGCCAGGGAGAACAGAGAGTGGCCCCTGTTTAGGCTGGTGCTGCTGTACCAATCCATACATTTGGGCCATATCTATACTGTTGAGAATGTATGAAGCTTGTTCACTGGTCAAGGTGTCTATGTGGGCGTCTATCTAAAATATAAAGAACCAAGTAAGACAGAGACTGGCCCTTGTTTAGACTGGTGCTGCTGTACCAATCCATACATTTGGACCATATCTATACTGTTGAGAATGTAAGAAGCTTGTTCACTGGTCAAGGTGTCTATGTGGGCGTTTATCTAAAATAGTTGAAACCAATTCATAAACTGTAATGCTATGACGTCTCTATTTGAAGTTGTTCACATTTCCATTTTAATTTCCAAGAGAAAAGGTTATCTTCGCGAAAGGAAACAAACTTTTAATTTTGTGAACTGAGATCAATGTAAATATCTCTACGAATTCTCTTCTCTAATTCAACAATCTAGAAGAACATTCATTGTCCTTGAACTGACTGACTGGGAAATAACCAGGACTTTCCTTGATGCCTCTATACCACACTGCCATCTTTAAATGAAGAGAAAATAATTTGTAACAAGTTTGCAATTAGGTCTTCTGTTGCTGAACTTAATAATAACATACATGTAGCGCAATAAACAACCGACAACAAATGTCTTCAAGACATTACATTGGTATTTTTCAATAATAATTTGCTTCTAATGTATGGATGAATGTCACAATTGAGTTTTTTTTATTATAAAAACCTTTAAACAGTACACTGGATGGGACACTGGATTGAATATTATTTGAGGAAATAAATTAAAGAAACTGAAAATGCTTATTACCTGTGCTTGAAGCATCTCTAGTCTTTGGTCGGTGAACTCATACAGGGCTAGTGTGGTTTGCATATTATAGATGGCGTTCACCATGTATGTTGCCATATCAACGGTGTTTAGTTTACTGGCTGAGACGCTACACATTTGAATTAACGGATCAATCAAGCAAGACACTATCTGTGAGGAAAAAAGGAAAATGTATGATAAAGATTGATTTTAAAAGATCTTTTATAGTAAAAACTAAAGTGGAACACCCCTTTAAGTGGAACATTTTTCAAAGTCCTATAACTATTATCTTTGTGTTAAATGATAAGCTGTTTCATTTACACTTTTGAGAAGTAGGGTTTTACACAAGCTCTACTTTTCATAGTAAACAACAATCTTTATATTTGATTTATTATTGCAACTCAACTATCTGACTCTACTTAATACTTTTACATGTAAATTGACTAAAATATATATACTTAAACAGATTTAGTGCAGAACTGGCTTTAGTACAGTCTGACCTGGGAAAGATGCCATATAAACTTGCATGTAGTATTCATCAAAACACGTGGATTGTTGTCTACCAATGTAGTATTCATCAAAACACGTGGATTGTTGTCTACCAATGAACAGTAAGTAAGCTGATTGACTGGGAGTATTTGACCATGATTGAGTATTCATAAAATATTCCTACAACATTCATATTCGATTTTGTTGTACTATATCTGTATCAAATTTCCTGTAAAATGATAAAATCTCTTCTCTTGAGAAGCTTTCGTGCAAAACTTTTTGAACGCCCCTAATACTTTGATGAAAACAGATATATTGTTTATATCTTCTGCACCATCTTAAAAAATGTACAAATCAAACTAAAAATTATCTAAATATCAGAAACATATCCCCAGGAACATACATGGGTAAAATCCTGCTGTCTTGCATCTAAGGTTACAACTGAAGAATCATGGGAAGACAACACCTCTTGTATTAGCTGTAGTGTTTGATGTAAAGAGGCAGTAGGACCTAAGTCAGCAGGTGGGAGTTCTACCTGAAAGACAAACAAGACACACAGAGATAAATATCAAACTCCAAAGAACAAAATGGTCACCATGTAATTGACTCAGAATGTCCAATAAATTAAACTAGTATGTGGAGTCCATGGTACAGTCAGTTTTCCTCTCTGTGGAAGCATGGAAATTCTGTAAATCCATGGTGGAAGGGGATTTTGTGTATGTTCATTTGCATCAGTAATAAGACAGTAACCCTACTATCACACCAAACTAGTTCTCACTACGTTCTCGAAAACGGGCTTAAACTGTGCACGAACGGATTTGCCGTACTAAGAACCCACTAAGAACCGTTTGGGATCTGTTTACAAACTTCATGAAACTACTAGAACGAGGAGGTCCTCCAGCACTTAGAGCATGCTAAAAAAATTTCTGGTGATCGTCAAAACGTTGCCGAATCGGTTTCAAACTGTGTGCGAACTGAATGAACGTAGCTACAACGTTCTACGGTCTGTTTACGAACTTCATGGACTTTCCCGGACGGGGTATGTGATTTAGAATTTTGAATCGATTCAAAATTCGATGGCGACCATACCGTTCTGTAATCAGGTCATGATGACCTTCTAGACTAAGGGACGGTTTATACTACGTTGCACACCGACGTGGTGCGACCTGAACGAACTGCGAATGAGATGGACGTATTGAGGACTGTTTATGAACGAAGTAGCTAATTATTTTAGACATATATCCCGACCGCAGCCAGATTGAGCCCGTTTTACATCATACTGTATGGACAAAAATAATCTACATGGTCAGATCTAGTGAGACTCCGATTCTATGCATCGAGTTACTAGTAACTTACCTTTTCTAGTAGTTTGCCAGCATGGCAGTTGAGACTGTTATAGAACATCTTAGCACTTAAAGTAGACATTTCCTCAAGAGTTGACAGCAGTGAGGCATCTATCTTTGTAACAATTTGTCTGTAATAGAAACCTTTAATAGAAACTGCTGGTAATAGAACCAATTGATACGATTGCAAAATAAACTTTTGACTCAATGTGTCTGCAACGGAAACTTATACAGACACCTAGGATGTATTTTCTCTTCAATAGAAACCTATTATATACAATATGGCTGCAGTAGAAATCTGTTATACAATTTTCTGAAATAGAAACCCTCAATTTGTCTGCATTTAGAAAACTAAAGTACAACTAATAATATAGGTGGCTCTGAGAGGATTTTAAACCAAAGAATTTTCACTTTTATTTGGCTACTTTTTGAAACTGTATTTCATTTACTTTTTATTTCTGAGAAAACATATGTAATTGCTATATCTTTCAAAAGCCCATGGTTATAGTAGTTACAATACAGTTACAGGTGTTTATGGAAACTTTACTTTTGTATTTACCATGTGGCATTTGAATTTGTAAAATAAGAGAGAATGACCAATTACACATATTTCGATGCATAGTTAGTGTAAAAAGATGGAAAAGACACATAAAAATAACAATTACGGAGAAATTTAATAGTAAAACCCCCACATACTATAGCCATACTTACCCAATAGTATAATGATAGAACTTGAGTAAATTGGTAAGTTTGTACAGTACAACAGCCGCTGGTTCTGCCAGAAGCACCTGTTCTACACGGACCTAGAAACATGGATAGACTTTGAGTTAAGTCGAATATATTCTTTTTAGTTCCCAACTGAGTGAAAATGAATTGTTGCTGATTTCTTATGTGGTATTGTTTTCAGATTAAAAATTCACACAACACAATATTTTTCCTCAAACATTAGTTTTCACTTATTAATCAGGCTGTACAATTAATTACAGTAATGAATGGTAATGCGGCATTCTGATTGGTCAAAATCGAGTAATGCATGCCTACCTTGAATGGTCTACACACCCCCTCTGTTATATGGTTTAGTACATCTTGGATCTGTTCTTCCATAGCTACAAAAAGACAGCAATATTATCAGATGTCATATCTAATAATTAACATGAGTGACATTTGGACTTTCTAAATTGGCATTTCAAACAATTGGCATATTTAAATATTTTCATGTTGAACAAATGGCATCTTAAAGAATTGGCATTAAAGAATTAGCAGATTCAATCAACAGAATTAAAATGATTTGATTTAAAAGAAATTCACAATTGATAAATATCTTTTGCAGGTTTTTCAATTTACCCAAATCAGATGATTTTAATTCAAAGAGACAAAAATGAAACATATTACTGAATATATTGTTCAAATCCCAGGACAATATTTGATGGCTATGATGATCCCAGAATGAAACCATTTTGTGACAGATGTTAAAACGTACCATAGAATAACCATAACCATTAACCATAATAAAGGTTATAGACCATAGAAAGTATAAAGACTGTTATACCCAAAGTGGATTATACGCATTTAATGTACACGTTCGCAGTGTATTAAAACAAACAAGACATTAGCATATATACAAGGGTTGTTCAAAAAGTGTGTATGCAATTGGACAAATTGTTATTCTAATCAAGCACTTGTAAGCTGTAAGCGTATGCATGATTTTACATACGTATTGGACTGCATAAAGAATCTATAAACAAACAACCCCCACATATAAACAATCAAAATGATCACCAAACAAAATCTCCAACAAACAATCAAATGGAAATTTCTGCATATTTCCGTAAAGTCCGTAAAAATCATGTGATACTTCACCATGTTCCCTCTGCAATTTTGTTTTATTCATCGCTCTTCCACATACAGTAGATTTAATACTAATTTGACATGGAACATCAGTACCTCCCCCTCTTTAATTAAGCAGATTGACGTCCAGGTTTTGTACAAAATGTTTCACAATTACAATCAATGTTTCTTAGCTTTTTACAAACATTACAAGGCATTAACATGACAAAATGTCACCACCTAGTTGCTATAATCTGAAATCTCTAGTCAGATTTGAGACTCTGAGAACTTGTAAATTATTTTGAAAAAAATGGTCAATTTGAAGCAAGTACCTTTTTGACCTTTTTTCGACCTCGAAAAGGTCATTGAAGGTCAAATCTCAAGTCTACAGTCTACAATCTATAATTTTTTTAAAATTGGTCAATTTGAAGCAAGTTGAACTTATGAGAATGTGTAGATGATTTAGAAAAAATTGAAGTCAGTCTAAACAACAGGATTTGTGGATTTATTGGAAGTTGCAAGAATTTGTTATAGATGCCTTCCACAACCTGCCAACCACCGACCGCTACCCGCTGTCACAAAAAAACGAAGACCATAACAATATGTCATGTCATCACTTTTTGGTGGTGACATAAAAAAGTATAACATACAACCTTTAATGGAGGAAGTCAGTATATCAATGTTAACCCAAACATGATTAATATTATGTCAGAGTCAGACAACTCTTAGATCTCCCCAAAAATATAAAAGAAAATTTGTTAAGTTTTTCACATTCCAAGTGATTTCATTTTGTAATTAGATTACTGCTAACAAAGCTAATATTAACTAGACCCCTTCCCCAAAACTTTATTAATAACATTTGTGGATATTCATAAATATACTAACAATGTCCCTAAACAGTAAATAAATGCTGATAAAGTCCTGATAAGATACAGTTACATGAATTGTACTGGACATTTTTTCCTTTCATTACCTCTATGGGTATCCACTCAAAATAAACAAATATTTATATGTAAATAATACAATTACATTGGTGGCAAAAGTGTTAATAGAGATTTGACTATTGATTATAAAGGTAGGAACTTTTGTGCTTTGATTTAACCATTTTTATATTATAATGGAATAGTGCAGATGTAAACAAGACATATTAATCAAAATCTAATCTAATACTAATACTCCAATACTCACGTAGTAATGTTGATCGTTTGAGTAGGGTTTGTAGGTGTTCCTTTTCTGAAGCGGAGGCCTGATGTAACCAAGCTAGCATGTCTCCCATATAGCGCAAAGGATCATGGGAGTGGAGCTCTATTGGTCTGGGAGTTCCTCCAGGGCCTATAACACAAGTTACACAATGCAATAATGCTAGGAATATATTAAGAGGAGGGAAAACCCCATGATTCAATTGATGACATACGATTTCCTCCTTTGTGCACCTCCTTTCCCGGAAGTACGTACGTATATTTATACTTCCCTCCATCAAAGTTTTCAAATTGACCTAGTTTTAAACCAATCAACGATCGACTTGCTAAACCTATCAGCGACGATGTCATCTCAATACTGATTTACATTATAAGTGTATGTCATCTTTGAACCCTGGGGTTTTTCCCCCTCATGAATATATTCAAATTTTTTGTTTCCATAATTTCAAATATCATTGGTTTTTATAATATAATTGTTGTCTGAGCAGAGTTTTTTCTTTACTTTGATACATCACATCTATGTAACTCAAATAAGAAATAAAAATAGAATGCTCATCAAAATGCTCATTAAAAATGCTATAATATTACCTCCACGAGTCAGTGCATCTATGAAACCCCTAACTACAGCGGTTCTCCTGGCAGTACCAAACTCATCCAATGTGTACCTGAATGCAAATCAAATACATGTATGGTCAAATCTGTACTGTGGAACATCTCTGTATTACTAAATGGAACTCCTCCATAAGTGGAACATTATTCAAAGATCTTTGACGCCTTGCCTTAATGTAAAATGAACCTCTACAAGTGGAACACTATTTAGAGGTTCCAGAAGTGTTCAGCTTTTTTAAACAGGTTTTACTGTACTGGATTGTAGTATATCGATGGAATGGTTAACTTCTTTTAAATGTTCCACTTATAGAGGTGTTCAACTTATACAGGTGTTCAACTTATCTTAAAGAGGTGTTCAACTTATAGAGGTGTTTCACTTTAAGGGATGATCCACTGTACAGGTTTTACTGGATATTAATCAGAATCAATTAAAAACTATTGATAGTGCAAGCAAACATGTTAAAAGGAAATTGTGTAAGTGTAAACCTTATTGGACAGAGCAATTAACTCTACTATGGAATGATATAAATGATTGCAGTTTAATTGAAAAACTGAACACGAGAAATGACTAAATAAACTAAACTAAACATAAAATATCAATTCAGCTGTGAGAAGTGGTTCAAATTATGTAAATACCTAAAGAGTACGGGTCTATCTTGAAGTGCCTGCATTGCTTGAGTGAGTTGTGATGTGATATCTGGAGAATCTCCACTGAGAGCTCTGCATTCATCTAAAATAACACCAACAACTTAAAAAATCAAGAAATATGCTATATAAAGATATATAAATATTGTAGCAATCATTTAGGGGTATTTTCCAAAAAACACATATACTTTACAGATCGGAGTAAACTTGTCTGATGTTCATCAATCTCCTATCAGCATTTCCCAGATTCAAGTTTTCTCAATTTACAGAAATATAGTTTTGTTTTTATCAATTTATACACAACTTTTTGTTTACATTCACATTTTCTCAAATATGACAAACGCATTCCATTAATTTAACATATGAACAATCCTTACTCTGAGTCCACCTGTACAGGCGCTCATAGGCAGATTCTTGGTGAAGTGCCATGGTCTCCATGATCTCTAACCTGTCGAATATATAGAACTTTATTTCAAATTCGAACATGACTGTATTCACGCCTTCCATAAACTGTAAACAAAGTCAACATTCCAACAGGGGTATATTCGCGAACAATGCCAATGGTGATATGTGTGATGTCATAACGGCGGACCGTAGTAATGGCGAACCATAATGAATATTCAAAACATTTCGTAATATAATATAATCGTAATATAGACCTCAGTTAGGGCTAGGCACACATACATTACAAACTTTCAGATTAGAGAGATGCTCAGATGTACCGGTTTTACTGTGTATTTATATTTTAATCATATCATAAAAAGAAAATTCTTAAAGGCACTATTTACTAAAAAACTAGGCCTTAATTTAATTTTGTGCATATTAATTACCCTGCAGTCTGCTGATTAGTCCTTAGTAAGACCTTACAGTCATTGTGGATCTGCTTCACTCTATCAAGGGAAGTGAAGAAATTCTGGAAATACATTAATTCATTTTTCAAATCATTTTTCATTTGCTTTATACCTTTTGTCATATAGTTTTCAGAAATAAAAGGAAATTTCAACTTTTTGACAACATAGGGAAAAATATGAAATTGAAGGACTGAATTCTGCTTTTAGTTGACACTAGGGAATTTTCCCCATGGAGAAATTACAATACCTGATGTAAAGATCCATCCCTAGTGCCTCTTAGAACCTTCACTTCTTCAGGTTTCAGCTGGAACTTTGCCAAGAAGGCATCTGCGACCTCTGACCTCATCTGCAGACGGCCACTGGAACACAGTCCAAAATTAAGAAAATACTATAAAAACACATTCCATAATTAATTATCTTTGAAACTAATTGTAATTTTATGTCCAACATACACAGTTTAAAGGAATGTAACCCTTTCTTAACAAATTGTCACAAATCTGACAACTTTAGACATGTCTGCATTGTATAACTTTAATAGCTTCCATATATTCATTCAGCTATCTCAAGTGTATTAATTTTTCAGATAAATGTTTTAGGGCTGTAAAGGTATGTCTTTTTGAGAAGATAGCTTCCAACATTTCATACTCTTTAATATTTGCCGAAACTGGAATAATACACATCAGTCTCATACATCAGAGATTAAACATTTTAGTTACATGGACCAAACTGGAATTAGAGGGTCGCCTAACATTGCCAAACATAACAAAGTTTTCTCACCTCTCAGCCTGAAGCTTTGTTGTCTGGTTGATGAGATCATGTGTCTGTTCTTTGGCTGTCTGTAACATAATAATGTAATATTGAGATCTAATGATGTTACAAACTAAATCATACAAAAATGTACTTTTGTTAAGTCTACCAATGAAAAGTTCTAAAAAGGGTTTGCAAAAAACAATTTTTATAATTGATTTCTTTTGACATTTTACTCCCATGAAACAAAATATGTGGATATTTTATTTCGTACGTTTTTGTAGTAATTATCTGTTGTTTATATACTTTGAATCTGCTTGTCATGTCCCTTTAGCAATAATGATTTAATATTATTAAAACAATGTAAATGAGACACCTCCCAAAGTGGAACACTATTTAATGGCCCCAAGTGTGTTCCATTTAAGTATACAGAGTTTATGTACCTTTAGTCTGGTTGTCATGTCGCTGCAGCAATCATTCATGGCCTTGACATCTCCATAGACACTGTCCAGCTTCTGTAACATTGAACAAGACACAAAGTGATAAATATTGCATCCTGGAAATGTTGTTGAGTTGAAATCTGAAGTATGCAAAGCCCCAACACTAGCAATTCCAAACCCAAAGCTTCCATACGAGCTACATACAGACACTAGTTCGAGTGGTCTTGGTGCTCCTTTATACCAAAAGCAAGATGATGTTTTGAAACCTGTAGCATTCGCTAGTCGTAGCCTGTCCAAATCTGAGAAAAACTATCCAGTGCACAAACTCGAAATTTTGGCCTTGAAGTGGTCAGTCAATGATAAGTTTCATGACTATCTATATGGTGCCGAGTTTACAGTGAAAACTGACAACAATTCCCTGACATATGTTCTCACATCAGCTAAGTTAGATGCCACTGGACATCAATGGCTCTCAGAATTGTCCTTGTACAACTTTACACTAAAATATACAAGTGGTAAGTCAAATGTAGATGCAGACACCTTGTCATGAATGCATGAAAGAAATGAAACCGTTAAACAGTTTGTTGAGCGGTGTGATCCTTCTGTCATCATCAATGCTGTTTTGGAAGGGGACGGGTTCCCACCATGTCACAATTCTGTTGAGGTTGAGGAATACCTAGATTTTCTTGAAAGTTTACCTTCAATGGGTAAAGATGTATCTCATACCCAGGATTTAGACAGTGATATTGGTAGGGTTAAATACATCATAAAAAATGATGTGAGTCTAAATGCTTTCCAAAGGAAAGCAGAACGTCCAAATGTCATAGCAAGGTTAAGACACAGGGGAAGTCTGATCGTTCAATCAGGTATTCTGTACAAGGTTTCTAAACTTGGTGGTAAAACATACAAAAGGATAGTTCTTCCCCAGGTTCTCCACAATGTTGTATTGAAATCCGTCCATGATGAGATGGGCCATTTTGGTATAGAACGCACATTAGATCTTGTTCAGAAAAGAATGTACTGGCCTCGAATGATAAATGATGTCACAGATTATGTCAAACTATGTAAGAACTGCATTTTGCGTAAAACAAAGATTCCCAACGCAGTTCCAATGGAGCATCTTTCGTCTAACTGTCCAATGGATTTAGTCTGCATTGATTTTTTGACAGTTGACCCTGATGACTTAAATAAAACAAACATTTTGGTGATAACCAATCATTTTACAAGGTTTTCAAAAGCAATTGTCACTAAAACACAAACCGCAAAGACTGTTCCTGATATCCTTTTTAGAGATTTTTTCTTGAATTTTGGTTTGCCCCGTCGTCTCCATTCTGATCGTGGTGCCAATTTTACTGGTAAAATAATCAAAGAATTGTGTAGATTGACAGGTGTCAAAAAGACTTTCACAACCCCGATCCACAAGGGAATGGGCAAACGGAATGTTTTAACTGCACATTGTTGAATATGATCGGTACTTTGGATGATGTCAAGAAATCCAGGTAGTCCCAACATGTAAAGATTCTATGTCATGCAAATAACTGCTCAAAGAATGACTCAACTGGGTTTACTCCATTTGAACTCATGTTTGGTCGTCGACCTATCTTACCTATTGACATTCTTCTAGAAATAAATTCCAGTGAACATTTGGAGTCAATGCACAAATATGTGTCCAATCTAAAATCTGACCTAAAAACTGCATATGATGTAGTGAATGGAAATGTCAGTAAAAGAAACAAACTCAATAAGGATAGGTATGATAAGAAAGTAAAACAGTTACCACTAGAGCTAAATGATAGCGTCCTTGTCCAAAATGTTGGCTTAAGAGGGAAAAGACAAGAACACAAATGTGTACAAAATGTCCCCACCAAGTGGTGATCCCGTGAAATGGTTATCCTGAAAATGAGTAGACAAGACTTTACCAACACAATTTGAGGACGGAAAATCCAAAGTGGCCACCTTAAAATTTACCCAGAATGCTAAAAATTTAGTCAGTTCTAGATTTTCATACTAAGAACCACCCCTGAAAATTTGAAATTGATCCGTCACACAGTTAACCAGAAAACATGTAAACAAGACTTTACAGACAAGATTTCAGGATGGAAAATCCAAAATGGCTGCCTTGACATTTACCCAGAATGTCAAAAAACTAATCTGTTTGTAGATTTTCATACTAAGAATCATCCCTGAAAATATGAAATTGATCTACCAAACGGTTCACCTGAAAACGGGTAGACAAGACTTTACAGACAAGATTTTAGGACAGAAAATCCAAAATGGCTGCCTTAACATTTACGCAGAATGCAAAAAAAGTAATCAGATGTAGATTTTCATACAAAAAAATCATCCCTGAAAATTTGAAATTGATCTATCAAACTGTTCTCCTAAAAACGCGTAGACAAGACTTTACAGGCAAGATTTTAAGACGGAAAATCCAAAATGGCTGCCTTGACATTTACCCAGAATGCAAAAAAACTAATCAGTTCTAGATTTTCATACTAAGAATCATTCCTGAAAATTTGAAATTGATCTACGAAACGGTTCACCTGAAAACGAGTAGACAAGACTTTACAGACAAGATTTTAGGACGGAAAATCCAAAATGGCTGCCTTGACATTTACCCAGAATGCCAAAAAACTAATGAGATCTAGATTTTTATACTAAGAATCATCCCTGAAAATTTGAAATTGATCCACCAAACGGTTCACCTGAAAACGCGCAGACAAGACTTCACAGACAAGATTTTAGGACCGAAAAATCCAAAATGGCCGACAATAAAAAAGTCCTTATGAGTTTTTGCTGATTTCTTTTTACAAAATTATCACATATAACTACTGTTAACAATAAAGTAGGCTTTTACAGCAAAGTACATCTGAAATTATTTATAAAGCTACTAAATAGTTAAAGTATGAAAACTCAAAAACACCATTCAATATGATACAAAGTATTATCGCGCGCTAACTTTTCTTAAGACATTCAAAATGGCTGACATGACTGAGCTAGCAGGTCCAAAACCTAATAAGATCTAGAATGAAGTGAGCTGAACAAGATGTTAAAGTTTTAAAAGCAACTGTGAAGCAGTTTTTCTTAAAGTTTGCAGACAAGGATTTTAGCATTTGACTTCAAAATGGCCGACAGGAAGTAGGTATCGAGTTAATTTTTTTCATCCACATCTGTATGCACTCATAAGTTATCCCTGAAAATTTGAAGGTGATATCTGTAGCGGTTTTGGAGAAAACTGCCGGACGTACGGACAGACGGACAGACAGACGGACAGACGGACAGACAGACGGACGGACGCGCCTAGGCCGACAATATGGCCCCACACTATGTGGTGGGGACATAAAAAGTTGCAAACAATTGGTCTCCTGACATTTACGTGGTCATCAAACTGTTGGGTAATTCAGTCTTGATCGTCAAACGGCAAAATGGTAAAGGTGAACCAAGAACACTACACAGAAATATGTTGTTACCATGTGGTTTTTTACCGATTGAGAAAAATGTACAGGAGTGCTACAAACCTGGGAAAATTCCAAAAGTGTAAGAGAATTAACTACACAACACTCTTCCGACATTTCTTGATCTTTATCAAGGAAATCTTCTTGGTTTTCCAGTTCAGATTCAGATGTATGTTTGACCAATATAAGGGAACAAGTTCCAGAATCATCAGAATCATCATCTGAGACATCTTCTCCTATCCACCCAAGACGTTCTCACAGAGTGAGAAGACAACCCGAGAGATTCGGATATGAGTGATGTTCAGTATGTTAATGACCCCCAGTATAGGAAAGTAGGATATACTCAACTGTATATCGTTTATATATTGTATATAATTTTTTATGTTTTTATGACCTGATTCAGCAATCAGTAATATGATCCACTGCCATGTAAACATATCTTAAGAGACATGAAATGTAATGATATCATGAAGAATTATAAATCTTCGTGAACGTCTTATATGAAACTATATCAGTCATAAATTCTGACCAAAATGAATTATCAGAATTTATCCTATAAACACTTGTCAAAATGTTTTTCTTTGATGAGGATATACTTTTATTTATCTACCGGTGAATATAAAAATTCACTTGGATATACTAATAAGGAAAATTCCAACTCATTATTTCATGAGGGTGAATAATTATGGATAAGCTACAAGATAAATCTTGATGTTACCAAGAGTTCACAAAGTGCTTTAACACATCAAACTGCATGATGATGAGCCATACATTTATATTACTTGTAAATGATGAAAATATTATCATCATATACATGTTTAATTTTAAACAGTTTAGTAACTGTATCCTCTATAAATAACATATATATATATTAAAACATTTTTCTGCAAAGAGTAAATTGCAGGTGCAAATTTTATTTTTACCAGGGGAAGTATGTAACCCATGTTTTAATAACATCACCCTTTAATGGTTTAAAAACATTAGCCTTTAAATGCTTTGGAAACAAGCCAGTCAATTTTATTGTATAGTTCAATAGCCAAGTGAATTCAAGGCAATCAAGCCAATTATCTTTTCTTTGCCTTAGCTGTACATGTTTGGCATGACTCTGGATAAGGCTGGCAATGTTGTAACTTCTTAGGCTACAATTTTGTACATTTCAGATTTGGTTTTGCTGATTTTATACACAGGTACAATTTTATAATTTATTACACATCTCCAAATTGTTTTACATATTCCTATTGGCTTTACATGGGTGACAATGACATCATGGTATACACTTTCAATTCTGACATCATTATGACATGACATATGGCTGCCGACACACTTTTTCAAATTTTTTTTCAATGTATTTATATCTCCATTAATCACTCCATTTAACCTGCTTAAAAATAATCTAAAAAGTATAGTGTACAGAGTGACCCTATAAATTGGAACACTTACCTCTTTGACTCCCTGGAATACTTGCACAAACTCTTCATTGATAGCAAGGGTGCGACGTTCTATGTCCCCCCTCAGGTTGCGTCTACTGCGGAGATTATTTTCTTTGAAGAAAGAAGACAGTGCTTTGAGGGCTTCAATATTGTCCTGAAAAACACAGAATGCATATAGGTTATTTCCTGAGAAGGAGAGAATATGATTTTTATTCTCCTTAAACTTTAAAGAACAATAAGCGAGTCTAAAGGGCTTTAATGTCCTAAAAATATAATCTCATACAGATTAGTTCCTGAGAAGGAGAGGATATGATTTTTATTCTTCTTTAACTTTAAAGAACAATAAGTGAGTCTAAAGGGCTTTAATGTCCTAAAAATATAATCTCATACAGATTAGTTCCTGAGAAGGAGAGGATATGATTTTTACTCTCCTTAAACTTTAAATAAAGAACAATAAGAGAGTCTAAAGGGCTTTAATGTCCTCAAAATATAATCTCAAAGGATGCTGAGAGAAACTTGAGACCTCAAGTATTATTGGTTATTACCTGAGAGGGATTAGATATTATTTTTATTCTTATATGTCTAAATTCCTTAAATAATGACAGAAGGTCTTGGGGCTTCAATGTTTAAACATACTGCATAGATATACAGTAAAACCTGTGTACAGTGAACACCTATGGAGCCACAAAAAAGTGTTCACTGTAGGTTATTTCTTGAGAGAGTCTGAATATGGTTTTTATTCTGAGAGTTACTACTCATTTGGGCGAACTGCCAAATTGTTAAAGTCTGCAAAATTAAGTAGCCAAATTGACCAGTTATTTCAGTACCACATAGATTAGTACCATTAGTACATTGTAATATTGTAAATCTGCCAAATTATGTAGCCGCCAAACGTTCAAAACAGCAAGTCAGCCAAAATAAGTAGTGCCAAAATTAGTAGAAGTACAGTATGCTGTAAAGATGTAGCATTGACCTGGTAGTGAGAAAGTAGAAAATACAAAAATGTTTACTCAAGGTTCTAAAGATGATTTTATTCTTTGCAAAACATCTTCTCGAGCTAACATACTCTGAAATATTAAGTTTCTTTTTATTCATAAATCAAAAGCCATCTTTGAATTTTCACCCCGAATGGTTAAACTTCAAAAAGGATAACATATCCAGGGCCATATCATGCATACAATAAAACCTGCTACTTTATATCAAACTGTGAATGACTGATAGTTAAATTATCTTAGGCGCTTACAAAAAAATGTGTTTTAGGGTACTAGTTTGGGGGTAAGTCCAGTGCCTGCCAAACCCTCCCAGTTTTAAACTTTCAGTTAATTTTCTCCAAGATGTTTCTTATTTTTGATTATCACATTCAAATGTACCCTTAGTTTCAGTAAAAAAAATTGAAAAACTGGCCACCTGTTCTAGTTTGTTAAAATGACCCAATAAATATACAATAAACTTGGCCTTTATGGGATTTCAAAATACCATTACTCATCTGAACTAACATTCATATCAGATGTATAAGTTGTAGTCACGTTTATATATCATAAGTCACATTCTACACTTAAACGTGATGCTCATTTCAACAGTTATTTTATCATAGTGGTGTATCATATTATTCTTAACATATCCAAAGATAGGGATCGTGCCCTGTAAGCAGTTGCTTGCTATCATGACAAATGGGAAAAAATAAAGGCACTTAAAATAACATTAATATGAAAATATAACCCAGTTAACCTACATTTCCATCCTTTTTCAACTAAGCACATATTTCTTTATTGCTATCACAAAATCCTTGAAATGTCCTCTATTAACACAAAGAGTAAATACAGGTAGTTTGAGATTGAATATATCTTGGTAGACTGAATTACTAGGCATTTTAACGAAAACAGTAATTGTAACTTAAATGTATTGTGCCTGCCTCTGCCACTAATGTTAAAAGTGAATGCAATAAATACATTTTTAAATAAAAAATAAATACTGTATATACATTTAAAGCACATCCGTTGAGATCTGGTGTATATCTTCATATGACTGTATTCATCACTTTGGTACACACTGGCGGATTCAGGGAGGGGGCCCAAAAATTTGTAGGGCCTCAAAATGGGCCATTATGGACATAACTTGGCCTTTAAGGACCTTTTAAGGCCAAATTATCAAAAAATGAACCTTAAATGTTCAAAATTTGGGCAGAATTTTCAGTTTTAGGGGCCTACCGGTAATTTTTTTCCCTGACTTCAAAGTCCAAGTTTCCAAAGCATTCCACTTGTACAAGTTTTAATGTTTTTGGTTATCGAATGTTCTGTGCTACACCAAGAGATATGAATACAGGACCAGGATGATCTAGTCTATCACAACAATTGTTGACAAACTGTGAATTATCAAACAAACCTGGCAAATGTGACTGTCTTATCTTTATCTGACTTTCACTTTAACCCTTCTGTCATAAACAATGATAAGACAGGTCCAATGTCATCATTATTTCAGTCTTTGAGATATTGTAGAAACTAATTGATAATTAACAGATAAACTTGGTATATACCTCTAATACGTCATCTTCATTTTTATCACTTTAGCTATAGTTTCTTTCTCACATTTTCATCAAGCAGTCAAATATATGTTAAAAATATGCAAAATTCTATATGCTCAGATGAATGTTTAGGGTGGGCATAATACTATAAGTTATTGAATGATTTGAAGTGCAATACAGGATATATTCTGCTCGAGAAATTACGTATTGGAACGAGACGTAGTCGAGTGCCAATACAGAATATCGAGACAGAATATATCCTGTATTGAACTTCAAATCATTCAATAACGTTTTTATCGTGTGATCCTCTGTATTGCTACTGAGATTGTCCTCTCCGTACCAATATTTTCTGTATTGCGACGGAGTTGATCAACGGGGACAATCTCAGTAGCAATACAGATTGGTACAGCACAAGAACTGACCAATCAGAAGGCTTCATTTTACAGATCATACGATAATATAAGTTATTGAATAATTTGAAGTGCAATACAGGATATATTCTGCTCGAGAAATGCCGTATTGGAACAAGACGAAGTCGAGTGCCAATACAGAATATCGACGCAGAATATATCCTGTATTACACTTCAAATCATTCTATAACGTTTTTATCATGTGCTCCTCTGTATTGATACTGAGAATGTCCCCTCCATACCAATATTTTCTGTATTGCGACGGAGATGATCAATGAAGACAATCTCAGTAGCAATACAGATTGCTGATACAGCACATAATCTGACCAATCAGAGGGCTTCATTTTATAGATCATTCAATAAAAATAATACTAGTAGCTTTTATTAAATTGGAGAATATGGGTTTATCTGCACTTAACTTCTGGGGATTAAAGGAAGGGTTTAAGGAGATTAAAGAAGGGGTTGTATCAAAATTTGTTTCACATTTCGATATTTTGGAATGTTCCCTATAACTTGCGTCTCTTTTCTTAATTTGGCAACAGGTTAAACAAGGCACATGATGTGAATGAGATCACACCATCAAAAAACCTTTAAAATGGTCGCCAGAAAAAAGATGGCTGCCCAAAAGAAGGTCAGGTATCCTGATCCTTGATATCCTCTATCATGTGTGCAAATTGTTTTAACATCAAATTACAAAAATTAACCTCTAACTTTTTGTCAAGTTAAACAGGCCAGTATAGAAATAAAGTGCAAATATGGGGTTTGTCCTATTTTGGGTGTGAAAGGAGTTATTGAAAATTAAGAGATCTTGAATCGAAAAAATGGGAACATCTTCTTTTTCCAAATCATTTCAAAATACAGGGTGTTCAAAAAAAAACGCAACCCAAAGAAATTGCTATATCTTGAAAAATACTGGTTCAATTATGTTCATATTTTCAGGAAATAAAGAAGAGATTGTGTGTGTATAGCTCCTGCCAATGGTTAGTTGTAAAACATGATGCCTTGGACACCTGCTCAAAAAACAGTTGTACTAGCAAAATGCGAAAAACGCAGTCAAGGGTGACTGCAACCGCAAAAAAATTAAATAACTTCCTAACCATAGTGTTTTGGCTCTTCAAATTTGGCACAAACCATCTTCATTCACTGTTTGATAAATCTGTAGAGTGAAATCAAAATCACTTCAGGGACTTCACTGTCATGGTTGAAATGCTTTGAAATCGCAGTCAAACGCCCTGGTTCAGGGAGACTTAAGAAGGCATTTTGACCATGACTATAAAGTCCCTGGAGTGATTTTGATGAAACTTCACAAATCAACCACACATTGAATAAGGATAATTTGTGCCAAATCTGAAGTGCCAAAACACCATGGTTAGAAAGTCATTTGGTTTTATTGCTGTGGCAGTCACCTCTGACTGCGTTTTCATATTTTGCTAGTACAACTGTCAGTTGAGCAGGTGTCCAAGGCATCATGTTTTACAACTTCCTGACAACAGGAGCTATACATACACAGTCTCTTCTTTCTTTTCCTGAAAAATAAACATAATTGAATTAGTATTTTCCAAGATATAGTTATTTTCCATTCACGTTTTTCGTATTTTGCTAGTACAACTGTCTTTTGAGCAAGTGTCCAAGACATCATGTTTTACAACTAACTAACAACAGGGGCTATACATACACAGTCTCTTCTTTCTTTCCTGAAAATATGAACATAATTGGATTAGTATTTTCCAAAATATCGCGATTTCTTTGGGTAGCGTTTTTTTTTAACACCCTGTACATGTAACTGTAAAAACTAAAACAATCATGATGAAATGAAGTCAAAACTGTACAACCCTTTAGAAAATATGCATAGAAAGTTCTGAGCAATTTATTGTAAACTTATGAAAATATATTTATTGTCAACTCTTTTCTTCCAACAAATAATAAACACTCCAATAAAAACAAATAGTCTTGCTTCAAGGCCCTGGATCCTCCCCCTTATCTACAGTACTTTAACAACATGTTATGAAGTACACAACGGGTGGGGGGTGTTCAGGATCTTGAAGCAAGATTAAAACAATTTTTATTTTAATTCCTGCCAAGTTGCTTTCAAGCACACATCATTTTCTGTTGAAAACAATTCCTATGTTTTGAATAACTGAATTAGGCCATAAGAAGTAGATTCTTTGTTTTGCATCCCCTTGCTTGCACGATTTTGAGTAAATCAGAAAAAAAAACACATTCAAATAGCAATCACAAGGGTCTGAAAGTACCATCACATTTCAATCAATCAGAATCAAAACGAAATGGCGGATAATTTGATGTGCGTCAAAATTGACAGTGTTATTGATACTTTGGCATGCATTATGTATTTTCTTATTTTTTACCCTTGAATAATAGCTATGTTTAAATATATTGTATATCTAAATGTACAAATATTTGTTTGTAATCACTGCAACTTGATGTCATCCCTTTTTATGCCCATAAAATATCCATTTCTGAGCAAACAAGTTTGTGTTTCTTCTTGAGTTGGTGTTTGTTTTCCTTGTACTGCATGATATGGATTTTGCCAGGACGCAAAACAAAGAATCTACTTCTTATGGCCTTACTTATGATATTGGCAATGTAAGCTATAAGTACATATGTTGCACAACAGGTGCCTTAAATCATGACCACCATACCTGGGTTCTTATCTATACAGGTTAAGGGGTTGAGTCTAAAATGTTATGTGAAAAATCTAAATTCACTTCATAATACACATCTCCCCTTTACCTACAGACCTAAATATAAAATTTGATATGTCTTTCAGCTGAATTTTCAAAACTATTCTGAAGAAATCATAATAAAGCCCCCCCCCCTCTTTCTTAAAAAAATTACTTTTTTTCTAAAACTGTTGACACTTTCCTTGTCTCGATGTATATTATCTACTTTGTATGAAGCGATAATAATGCTTTTATTTGGATTAAACTCTTGACCCGAACAGGATTTTAACAAAATTTAAATTGTAAGTATCATTTGAATTTTTTATATACTGTTGCATTATATGGAATACTAGCATAAGTTATGTATTTTGAAACTTATCTGTCAAAGTCTGTCATTTTGTCAACATTGTTAATTTGCTTATAGTGTTTCTTTTCACTATTACAACAGAGTTCCAGCAAATACTAGAGATGAGATGAGCAATCTTTTAAAATACTGTCAAAATTTTACAATATTTTTCTCAGTTCCTATATAAATCATTTGAAAACATCAATAAATAATGTTTCAAGATTGAAAGCCTCTTTTTCAAATTCCAAAAGTTTAGGACATTTTGATTTAGTATCTAATTCAATAACTTCCATATTTAATTGAATGTCTCCATTTGTCAGGTAATAAAATTACATTGACATACTTTTTGAATTGACATAATATTTGGAGTATTTTAACTATGAAAATTACTGGACTTTACCAAATACAATTGTTATATTTGACACTGCAAGATCCATATGTACAGAACATGTTTCAAAATATAAAATCAATGAAAATATTTCAATCATTAAAGGAATTACAAAGATTTTAACTTAAGAGATTTAACTTAAAGTGTCTTATAGTTCTGGAATACTGAGATATTTCTAAGTTTGCTTGGTCTTTCTAGCTAGTAATCATGACAACCAATGAGAGACTCCCTGAGGTTGGGCAAGAGGAATTGTACAATTTACTAAAAACAACTAAAATACAATTGTTTGATGTCCGAACACCTGAAGAAATAACTGAACAGGGCAAGATTGCAGAGGCTGTTACTCTGCCATGTAGGTGCACCTAAGTTAGTAAATTACAGTGATTTTTTTGTTACTCTGCCATGTAAGTGCACCCGAGTTGTAAATATGTAACCAGAGATTTCTCTGTTACTGTGCCAAGGTGCACCCTGAGTTGGTAAATAACAAGTGATCTCCCAAACATTAAAGGAAGTGAGTGCTGCACCCACTTGAGATTTTAATAATAGGCTAGCACCCACCTGAGATTCCATTTGTACTCACTTGAAAGAGAAAAATCATGAAAATAGGCCTATTTTGGCTAAATTTGGTCTAAGTTAAGAAATTAAGATTTTTGCACTCACTCAAGTAAAAATCCTGACAAGCAAACTCATAACTGCATTAAGGTTACACTTATGTGCAGGTGTTCCAATTGCCAGTTTTGCCATGTATCATTACAGTGTTTCAATTGCCAGTTTTGCCATGTATTATTACAGTTTAATTGCTAGTTTTGCCCTTTGTATTATTACAGTGTTCCAATTGCCAGTTTTGCCATGTATTATTACAGTGTTACAAGTGAAAGGAGCATTTGAGGGAACGGAGGAAAAGTTCAAAGAGACATATGGCGTAGACCGGCCTAATCCCGAAGATAAAAACTTCATTTTCACATGCAGGAGCGGAAGGAGAAGCTTCTATGCTATGGCAGTTGTACATGAGCTAGGGTGGAAATGGTGAGAAAACCAGTGACTTCCAAACATTAATTAATTTAATTCAAATAAAAATAGGCTTGCATCCACCAGAAAATCTATTTGCACCTGTTTGAAAAAGAGAAAAATCGTGAAAAATGACCAATTTTGGTCTGAATTGTGAAAATGAAAATTTTGCACCCACTTGAGAAAAAATCCTGTGGAGAACACTGAAAACATTCTTGAACATATTTTAAGTAATCTAAACCGCATTGAATTTAGAAGGGTGTGCAGCAACTACTTATATTTTGTCAATTTGAAACATAGGATCAAAATTCTACGCTAAGGGCTGATGTGACAGTCACTCCATCTTGGACAGAATTGGAACCCACAATCTCCAGATTATAGATCTTGAGTGGTCTACCTTTTGAAACCATATTCACACACACTTGAAGATTAGAAAAATTATGAAAAAGTGGCATATTTTGACAATCAGAATTTTGCACCAACTTGGCAAAGTTTTTTTGCTCTAAATAAAAATAGCAACATGACATGCATGTAGCAAAATAACATTTAAGGATTGAGAATTTTATATTGTAAACTTGGTATTTTAAACTTGACATTTTAAACGTCTTGGTATTATAAAATTGACATTCTGACTTAGACCTTAATGCTACCATCAAGTTAAGGTAGCACTGCATGATGAGAACTTATTTTTAATCACAAATATTTCATGTATATCTAAAAATTGAGGATATTTATACAACATGGTAGAATTCATAGCTCAAGATCAAAACAAAATATTTTGATTAAATGTTGAAATGACATTTCACTAGATTCTTGTTTCAACTTTTTGTAAATGTGTGGAACTACCTTAACATGTTGTAATTGGAGTAAATCATTTTCAGGGCAAAGAACCATGAGGGAGGGTGGCTAGTGTGGCCTTACAAGGAAGAGACATCACAGAAAATGTGAAATGCTACCACAAACATTCAATAACTGTTGGAGCCCAAGAATAAGCCAAGAACTTTGTTCACTCGAGAGAGGTGTTTACTAAGACAAGTTTTACTGCATTCAGTTATTTGTGCATATACTATAAAGTTGTGTTCCTTGATGTCGGAATCAGTGTCATTTTGACTATATGATAAAGTTTAATCCTGGATAACTAAACATGTGTAACCTCCCCCCCACGACATTGACAACCACTTAGCTGAGAAGATACAAAGTGGGGAAGCTGAAAGACTTTATTAACAAACATTTGTAAAAAAGTATAAAAATAGAAATATACAATAAATAAAATATTTTGACCAAGTGTTTCTTTGTGCAAGTAAACAATCTAGGATTTTCAATGTTACTTTTGATTTTAGTTGGATCTACATGTACATATTAACTCTTTGGGTAATTATGGATTTAAGCTCAGGAATAAATAAGTTGTTAATGATCAAAATAGCCAAAGTTTTGCGGTTAGAGGATGTTTTTTAGTTGTTATCACTAAGACAGGGTTTACAAACATAGTACAGCTCTTGTAAGAAGAGTTGGTTGAGACACAGGAATTCGTCTTGAAGGAAAAAGAAGTCAATAGAGCAAGCCTTGACTCAATAAGCATATAAAAGTAAAAAGGAAATCATCCTCGTGAAGTTACCACATTTTGATCAAGGCCAAAATATGCAGGGAAATGTAAAAAATATTCATACTGCAGCACCTCATTGGATAAGCTATAAGCATATAAATGCAATAAGATGAAGAAAATTGTGTTCAGACGCCTTAATAGTGATATTTTGTAAAAAAAATGTGAAACTAACAAGTTTTTTCGAAAAACATAATCGACCCGTGTTTTGATAATTTTCTACTGATTACATTTTCCTTTTCTGACGTTATTTTGTCAGTTGTGACATACCCGATTTTCCAGATCATTCACTTATATTGACAACTTCCTGAAATATCAATCTCAACAAAACCATCATAACAACACAAATATTCAAATATTTCGCCATTGTAGTGACTCAGATGTATACTCCCATACGTGGAAGTGCGGACAAATATTAGCCTCTGCTCGTACCACGTGATTGGGAAATCAAGAGAAAGTGATTGGTTGCACTGCACGTATTAATCGATAACCCCAAGTGCAGTGAACTAATATCAACAAAACTTTGACTCAAATTTCTTTTCGCGAGATTTCATCATGAATTTTGATTTGGAAACCTAAAAATTTGGAAACCTAAATATTTCATAATAATATCTTAAAATAAAATTGAATTCATCGACGTTGAAAGGGGGACTACATTCAACAATTTTTGATTATTCATTCTGCTTGCCGCAGTGTTTATGTACCAAGACACTCCCATGCCTTACAACAATTTTCATTCAGTGCAGTCGTGCCCATTTCCAACATGTCAGGGGCTGGATATTGAATTTTTTTTAGAAAATTTCATTTCTAAGTATATTACTAAACGCAACACAGATGGTGACACATATTGAACCATAACAGCACAGGATATTATAAAGCAACTATCGATCAACAAGTTTTATAAAAAAAGGTTTACATCATAAAACGTCAAGATAACAAAAAAATTTCGTGAAGCAATATTACGTTTTTTTTAAGAATTTTTCGGAAAAATATCCTTCTAAAACTCTTGACTTGTATGGCTTGTAAGAGTCTGATCGCATCAACATGTATATTTTTGTAGCTTTACCAATTATCTATCAAATGATGTACTTCAATGTTGTTTTGAGTTACTTCCTGCGAAAGCTATTTGGATTTTGATGTAATAGTTTTCCCATGGCGCACTTGGACAGCTGAATAATTTAGTGACCTTTAAAACATGAATAAAGATTTCCGCGGCTTACTTTTGGTCTCTAACTGTGTCAAAATCTAACATGGCACTCGAAGTGAGTAGATTTTGAGATGACTAGGAATTTTTTATTTGATTTTTCAGTTGGTGCATATTACAGGTTAGCCCCCCCCCCCCCCTTTCCCTGTGGGTTGAGAAATTGATATGCAGTTTGTATTGATTTATAACCCAGGCCTACCGAGCTGACAGAAGTCTTTGAGCCACCTGTGTTCAGTAAACCCAGACTATGATTGCGAGGGCGGTCCTGCTGAACTACAAACCACCATGCATGGTTTGGAAATAGAGATCGTATACTCATTCATTTATGGTCCATGAAACTAACTCAGAACGTACAAAATTCAGTCACATTTTCCAATGTCAAATTAATTTAGATCTATCTCATATACGAGAGATATCCAAGGATAGGAAACACGTATTCACATAACATACCTTATCATTGTCAAGTCGGGTCTCAAGAATCTTGTTCAGTTTCCTAGATAGCGGGTTATTTGGCTGCGAACTTGAGATTGATGATGTGTCGACTTCCTTGTCCGCCATCTTTGATTAACAATAACTATGAAAACGTGACTTCCCGAGATGTGGCGATCTTTGTTATAACAAGAATGTAAGAACCAATATATATATAAATAATGATGTGTCATAGTGCAAGGATACACTCAGGAAAATCTAAAGATTTACGTACCTCGAACTGTACGTCAAATTAATAGACGCCGAACGTGACTTCAAACGTGACTAGAATCTAGGTCAAGGTCATTTAAATTTGGGTGGAAGAAAATTTAAAAACAATTATTTTCATAAGTCGTGTCAAGATGAGTGGAAGAGGTTTGACTTGTATAACAAGAAGCCAAAGAATTCTTCAGTGTGTAAGGCACTCCTATAGACCTCAAGTAAGGACTGTCACATGTTTCAACTTGCAAAATACAGAGGATAAAGGGAAAAGAAAACTTTTCAACAATTTTTCAGAATTCCAAATTCATGACCTCAAGGTTAAAGGTAAGTGTATTAATAATTTACAAACATTTTTGTTGTAGAATGGAAATGAGGCTCTCACACATATATCATGTAATACAGTGGGGGTCATAAAGAATTGCAAAAGCTATGAAAATTACATGCTGTTGCACATGTAATAAATTCTTACCTCAGTGTATTCAGTGCTCTATTTTCTCCGTCTTAGTAAGTCCAAATATAGTGGAATTTGTGTCTCTAATGACAAGAAAGAACTTCAAAAGTTGAAGTGGATATTCCCATTGTAACGGATTTGGGTCTTAGGATGTATAATTTCTCAGTTATCTCTGCATTTACATAAAGGCTGAAGGTCTTCATATAATGGTCAAATTTAATTGTCATTTGTCAACCAATCATGTATCAGTATCTAGTCTTAGCTCTGGGTTTCAAAGAGGCTGGTGGTCTTTAGACAGTAGGCACACTTCCATTGTATCTTTCAACCAATCACTTCAAAGTCTGGTCATGTTCAGTCCACTTGAGTTTTGGTGCAAGCAGTCTTTCACTATGGAATGTTCTCAGTACCAACTGCATTCTAACATTTGCTTCAGTATCTTAACCAATCATTGGTCTATAATTTGTCATGGTCAGTTTTTGGGATGTCCTTTAGTCTTCTAGTACTCAAGTTAACCAATCAGTGGCTTCAGTGTCTTGGTCCCTCTGTACAAGCTGCACTTGGGGTCTCAGGGGTATATAAGTAAATGTTCACCCTCAGGACCTCAGTCTCGCTCCTGGCTCGCTTGGGTAAAGGTCTTCAGCTCTGGTACAGTCTTTGTGGATATTTGGACTAGGAATCAATTAAGGAGTTCAGTTTATCAATTAGTCGGATATATATTTGTCACCATCTTGGATATTTACTTAAGTCGCAGGCATTTGGTTGTTTTGGGGTGAGTTATCAATGCATTATTTACAGGTACTTTGAACACATGATTTGTTTGACATTATTGTGTGAGATAATTGCAAGCTATCAGTCCAGGTATTGTACTTAGATTTAATTAGTATTGAGGTTACAGGAGTACTTGTATGCATTTCTTATTGTTATGTAACATGTTCATGTACCTTATGACTTATAATTAAACAATGTAGTAACGTTGATTATTGTTGACCTCAAACCTAAATGTTTTGTTTGACACTTATTATTAAATCAACCCCCACGAAACTGCACAAGCCCCAACACAACACCTCGGGTCGTTACACCATGTTATGCTGACTCTTCAAATATTGAGGTGGTTTTGTCGCCCGATTGCGCCGGAAACGGAGGATTGGCTCCCAGAATGCAACATGACACGTGCCAGCTTTCAAAAGGCTGTTCCGCCATTTTGAAACCTGTCATGAGTAAATACGGTTAACTGATGTTGCATTCTGGGAGTCAACCGTCCTTGGATAACAAACATGGCGATTCATGAAAACATTCATTCGATTTGGTAGGGATTTATCCATTATTTGCAGGTATGAAGCTTTGGATTCATTTATTGTGCTACTTTAATGAACGGGAATTATTTTTCTACCGCTTGGGAGAGTTTGAGACACGAAACTTGGAAATTAGCTCATTGTGACAACTTGTGAACGTTGAGTTTTATTTTTGTCCCCCACTGTACATTTGTATCGCTGAAATAAGCAGTCAATGCAATGGACCGAAAATACAATGTAGGGCTATATTAGCTTAGAGACCATTTTTGAGTTTAGGATGGCTTGATGTTGAGATCTTTTGCAAAAAATAGGTGTTTTTCACTTATTCCGTGCCAGGACTATAGTCCTGAGAATGTCTCAATCTTTTGACGGTACGATTACAACATGGGAGAATTTTGGGATTTAAAAGGGAATTCCCCGTTTGACTGGTCTCGGAAGTACCAATAGATGGAAGAATTTGATGGTTGAAATAAGTTAGATATTACACTCGTGCAAATATTGTGTTCAAAAGCAAAAATTTCTTTGTTCTGCCGATAAACCCAGATTATTGTGGATTCAACTACATTGTACATTAAAAGAATGCTAAAATACCAAGGATTCTATTGAAGTCCTCGTAGGTATCTTAAGTGTAAGAGGTGTAGAAAATTCTCCCATGTTGTAATCGTAAAGGCAAAAGATTGAGACGTTTTCAAAACTATAATCCTGGCAGATTATAATTTTTAACCTCTTGAATACAACCCTCTAAAATGAGCTTGAAACCAGAGGGACATTTACATCTAAATGCTTTAAGAACAAGCTAGATAGATTATGGAGTGACCACCCATCCAAGTACAACTATAGAGCCCTGGAGTAGACACAAGTCAATTCATTTGGGTTAATGCTAAACAAATAGATTCAATTTTTATCCTAAGGACGGCCACAGGTCAAGATAACCTAGGCAGTGATAACTATAACTATACATAATATTTGATGTTTGATTTCATTTAAAACATAATTTGTTGTGATTGGATAGATATTCTCAAAGTTAGACTTTCAATGTTTTCAAATTCTTGAAATTCTTCAAATAAGATTTGCACTTGTAAAACTTCAATGGCATTCTAGTGCATACATTGTAAATTCCGACAACAAAACATTGAAAGTTTTAGAATTTTAAATTCAATGCAAGCATATGCAATATGTATGCTTATTTAAGGTGTTTTCATTTTAGCATCACTATTCCATAGCAGTTCAACTCATTACCAATCAACGACTGAAGATGTGTCTTATGAAGAATTGAAAGAGAAGCTGAAGTCTGGGGACATTCAGTTGATTGATGTGAGACAACCGGAAGAACTTATAGAGGTTGGAAAAATAGATGGCGCCATAAATATACCATGTAAGTCCATACAAGCATTCGAGTCTTGGAAATTTGAAACTTTTTGATTTGAGCTATTTGATCGTTATATCATGAAATACAGTTAATATAATTAGCAAATAAATTTCACATTGACCCACACACTGGGGATCAAGTGGAAATGAAGGCTTACATGTATGTCTTCGCCAGTAAAAATTCATTTTCTTCATTTTTTCACCTTTATTGATATCTGGCCCAACTATGCAAGGAGGATAATGGCTCTCTGCTATTTTCCATATCATTATCATGTCCTTAAGATTCCAAAGCGATTCTGCTTCCAAGTCCCATGTTGTGGTAAAACGTGATTGGCATGTATCATTTAAGAAACACACAATAGATGGCATCAGTTTATAGATAATCAACAAATGGCTAAGATTTATGTTGAAAAATCTCATTTGTTTCCAGTTTCTCATGAGAAGTAAATCATGAGAAGACTTATTTGGAGTAGATAACCTTTGGGTAAAAATTGGGTCAGCAACAGCATTATGGTAAACAAAGCTAATTGGCTCATTGCATGTTGCTTCATTGTCACAATGCTGATTGGCACATTATTGCTTCATTATCACAGAGTCTGATGATTAATTCAATTGTCAAATATATGTAAGACTGAATAAAGATGGCGGGTGCAATCAATCTGTTTTACATATTCTCAAAAAGAGAGAATACACTGCTGCCATCTTTAAATCAGCCTAAACGTATTTTATTTGTGTTCTGGAAATAATGTACAAGTCAAAAAGGTATAAGGGCCGTAGCCAGGATTTGCCAAGGGGGGTTCACTTTTTGAAAATTTCCAGGGGGGTTCACTTTTGACAATTTTGATCCAAAAATGGCCAAAATCACTTAAACCGGCTCAGAATGATGAAAAACTGCATGATTTTGAAAGAATTTTTGGCCAGGGGGGATTCGCTCGAACCTGTCGAACCCCCCCCCCTGGCTACGGGCCTGTATAACTCTTTACATGGTATGAAAATACATTATTTTGTACAGTGCCAAGGAAATAAAAGCGAGAAGAGCAATGAATGTGTCTTTAAAACTCCACAACAAAATTTTACAAAAACTCCAGTGGACACTTCACAATTTCAACATTACAGGTAATTAGTTTTCATGAGGAGGGGTACGGGGTCAAGGTAAAAACTAAATTTGTTTAGTTTCCTATCAGACATTGATATTTTGAAGCCGTGCTTTAAGCCACTGACCACCATCAGAGGAAGGAAAACCTCAGAGCTCAGAGATGACCTCATAATACCCATCTTTCATTTGTCTGAATTTACACCGTATAGCTTCCGAATACCATACCTTGATATGATCATTGTTCAACATAATCCTTTACTTTCTTTATCTTGATCTTGAAATATCAATCTTTAATATTGGTAAACACTCAAGAAATTAACATATTAATCAGACATTTTTTCAAAATTTTGAATCCATCATTTTGTTTTCGTCAGCCATGTCATTTGACCAATCAGCGACTGTATAAATTTCTATTGAAAATATGATCATCTCTGAACCCTGGGATATTACCCCTCTTGAACACCATTATTCTACTCCATTGTTATTCAGAAATTCTCTCTCCTTGCAGTGCTCAATGTGAAGGCAGCATTAGAAGCTCCCCCATCAGAGTTTAAAGATGCATTTGGAGTAGATAAACCACATCCCAATGATGACAATATTGTCTTCCAATGTAAGAGTGGTAGGCGCAGTTTCTTTGCCATGAGTGTCGCTCATGAACTAGGATTCAAGAAGTAAGTATGGGAGTAAATTGATAAATAATGAAGTTATTTGATTTTAGTGAGTTAGATAGATGGCGATGTTATTGTGGGATTGTGGGATAGCGCAAGTTTGCAAAAAAATTTTGAGTAAGTATTAGAGTAAAATGTAAAATCACTCTGCCGGAATTCTGGCAAGTTAGGTTGTATTTTGGAATGCAACTAACTGCTAGCGGGTACTTGATTAACCTACTATTTTATGGCAGACACTAATCATATTTAAATGAGTTGCCCATACAATAGTAGGTTAATCCTGTAGCCGACAGCCGAAAGTTGCATTCACGAATACAAGGTTGGGGCTCACAATTTTGAACACCTTAGAAACATGATTTTTTATGTCACCACCAGAAATATTGGCATATTGTTGTAGTCTCCAACTTTTCTGTGGATGGTGTTTGGTGGTCAGTGTTTGGTGTTTTAATTTGTGGTTGGTGTCCGGCATTTGGCATCTGTAACAAATGGCAAGTGGTGACATTTTGCATGTTAATGCCTTGATAGATTTGTCAGTATTGATCACTATAATATTATCAGATGGCTAATGTCTCAGCATACCTTTTGAAATAATTTTCAAATAAATAAAACTTTAACCTCATATTTCCAGGGCTAGGAACTATATAGGAGGATATGACGAATGGACGGAGAGGGAGTCATAGAAATCTGCCACATATCAGCAACATCCAGCAATACATTTTCACGGAACATGTGCAGTATAAATAGGACTTGAATGTTGCTTCAGAAGCCTATGGCAGTCTGTCCCAACCAGAACATATAAAATCAGATGCTGAAATCTATCTATACAGCATTATTCAACTATATAGCAACTCCCTTATCGAAACCAACTTTATAATGATGCTGCTGACGTGGTGCAACTTATAGAACACCTGAAGATCATTGAACGTTTTCAGAACTCAAGAATTCCCTAATAAATTGTAGTAACCATGGAAATAACGGTATACTGATGTTATATACTATTTTATCCCACCCTAAAATTGGATCTCATGTAAACCATAACATACTCATGTGTGTCGACCAAGTGATCGTAAACCCTATCTAACATGTCTAACGTTATAAGCTGAATATGTAATGTCAATTTGATCTGTGTTAGCATACATTGAGCAAAGCATTTGCATTGGCTGCTTATATATATATATTTTATTGCCATGTTATTGACATATTCCATCATAGACCTGACATATTAGTCATTGTCATTACAAAATAAATATATTGCACTATATATAAATATATTGTACTTCTAAGTCTAGGCTATCATAATATTTACAATTTATACAAAAACTTGTTATTTATTTATATCGATTGATTGAATGTTCAACATACACATACTTAAAATAGTCATGAGTGAAGGCTAAGACCCCTAAATGATAGTTAGAATGATTTGCATAGTCAAACTTAAATGCACTGAATGACCTCAGTTTTAATCCCAATGACCTAATTTTGTTTTGGGTATGTTCGTCTCAGATAAAAGTAACTATTTCCATGTTACTTTCCATGATTATTCATTGATTGAACGGTCAACATACTTAAAATAGTCATGAATGAATACTAAGGTACTCCTAAAATGATATTTAGAATGATTTGCATAGTCAAACGTAAATGCACTGAATGACCTCAGTTTTAATCCCAATGACCTAATTTTGTTTTGGATATGTTCATAATTGAATTTAAAGTAATTATTTCCATGTTATTTCCAATGAAACCTTCGGGGGCATCTTTAGGTATATGGGGTAACGGATCCTTTTCAAAGTTGATAAACAATTTTCGAAACCATATTGCTAGAGGTACTTTACATGTAGATTTCAAATATGACATCACTTTGGCTGAATTTTGAATATTTTATTAACGTGAATCAAGATTATTTTACTCGCATCTAGTCTATTAAGATATATCAAAAATATGCGAGGAAACAGATTGTGAATATCATGAATCATATTATGAATGCTGGTATATTTAATAATATGAAACTAGATTTGCTGGGATTCTTTTTGCTTCATTTTGTCATCTCTTTCAATTTTGATGAGACAAATGTTTAAGAACAATGCACAAAAACATAAAATTGCTTGTAAAACAAATGTCCACTTTGAGCAATATTCACCATAGCACTCATTTGATCCTGGTGGGCTGTTGAGTTGATACCTAAACCCAAACAACTGTTGAAAGCCAAACAGTCCAATGCTTTGTGCCAGGAAATAGGCTGCATAATTCTGTGCAAAATATTTTACACCAAATAATTCAATAGCGACGCATTGTACTTGTATAAAAAGTGCCCCATATGAAAGACTTATCAAAATTGTACTGCTAAATAAGCCAAGGAAATCCTGACTGGAGAAAATTAAAACAATCAGACCCATGCACATTAACAGTACACATGGGAGTGGGTATACTGATTTAGGAATATTATCCAATTTTAGGAGTATATAATGAGTCGTAAATGTGATAACAATTCTTGCTAATGTACAAAATATTGGAAGGCAGATTGTAAAAACTGCGATGTCATATTCCCGATGGACAGATTTCAAAATTATGGTGATATTGTTAATAAACGTAAGGCCAGTCCCACCTATGATAATAATTATCAGAAAGAGGTAATAAAATTGCAATGTTTGTATCATTTGCCATATATTCAGATCAGGTGGACCAGCAGTGTTGTCTTTGCAATTAGCATTTGACATCAATTCTGTTTTTTCATTGAAGTGCTTGCTATTCATGTATTCATCAGCTTTTCCCACATCTCTTTCTTCTTCTAAAGTTTTGAACAGCTCATTTAAAGGAATATTCCTTGCCAAACCATCTCTCTCTTGATATGGTAGCTATAATCATATATATATATATATAGTTTCCATATTTAGCAAAACATTGGGAAATGTTTTAATATGGTCAATATTGATCATTTAAAAATCTAGTGCTTATTTCCAGTGAGCTGCCATCTTTTAAGATTACTTGCAGAAAGTGATGTCATCAACTCTCAACTTCTATAACCTTGCCCATAACAGTACAGGAAAGAAGCACAAAATCACTTCTAGACAAGTGATCATTACTTTCTGAGCAAAAATATTTTCAGGGCTTGTCAACTTAGAATAAAAGAAGAGATTTTCAGAAGGATTAAATAAGATACAAAGTTGAAAAAGAATATTTAGCTGGTTTTGTAATACTTAATAACTCCTCACCTAATGCTATATGCAAAGTTGAGAGTCGATGACATCACTTCCTGTGTGAATTTTTAAAAGATGGCAGCTTACTGGAATTGAGCATCACATTTCTAAGTGATCAAATTTGACCATATCAAAACATTTTTGCGTGTTTTGCTAAACATGGCAAGCATATATATGGTTATAGCTACCATATGAGGAGAGAGATGGTTTGGCAAGGAATATTCCTTTAATTCAGTTTCATCTGTTTGAAATGTTTCATTCATTGGAATTTCCTTCAGCAGCACAATGGCTAACAAATTAATGATCACAGACAGCACTGCTAGGAATAGCATAAAATCTCCATATTTTTGATTCTCTGCATCATTTATGTGACCTTGGACGAAAAAGCCTTGATAGATGGCGCTAAATATTGTTGGGGCAATTCCAAATACGCAACCAAGAACCACTTGAACACTAACTCTATGTTTCCCTTCAAAGTTTTTAGTGTTTAAACCTACACTTGTTATAAACAGAAATGATGTTCCAAATGATGCTGCAAAATAAATGACATTTTGCAGCCAAGCCTTGGCAGCAAAAAATCTGTTAAACATTGTACTCATCCATAATAATGTAAATCCAACTCCAGTGAGAATAAGGCTGACTATACATGGAGGTCTTGGTCCAAATCTATCATACATAAGTCCCGCTGGAAGCATTAAGTACTGGCCTAAGTCTCCACTTGACACTATAGTCTCAACTTCTGTCTGTGTATAGTTGAACGTCTTTTTCAAGGCAATTACATATGTGTTAAAACTGTATACTACTCCTCCCATAAACGAGCCAAGTACTCCTACCATAAGTGAAATATATTTTTGCATGTTCGCGTTTTGTATTTTAAACCATTTTGTAATACTGTAGTTCTATTGTTTCTTTGTTTTATTTGTTGTCTTTAAGATTGTATTTCTGTTCTTCAAACTTTTAACATTCATTAACTATTCGTGTTTTGATAACTATTGTCTACCCCGACATTTTACTTTAGCTTTTCACTCATTATACTAAGCAATCTGAGGTTGGTACATCCTTGGTCCAAGGGTATTTCAAGTATGAATGGAATAAAGTCCATTGAATCTAGGACTGGGTTGGCAGGTTATCAGCTTATTTAATAAAATCATCTAGTGTTAGGCCCTTGGTATATTTCCAACTCACAGTTAACTTTATTATTCTTATCCATAATTGTTATGAAGTTGTACATGATTTTTGTCTTGTGTATGAACGAACTAACCCTCGCTTTCTGTCGCATGAATAGGCCTGGGTTTCTGGAAAATTGTGTGTTTAGATTTTTTGCAATTTTGAAATTAAATATTGAATATTCTACTTGTTTTATTTTTATTTTTTATTTATTTATCAATTATCATCATAACAATGTAGTTACATTTACAAAATTATCTTCAATCGCCAAATACGTGCATGGCATTATAGAAGACATTGATGCGCTTTTGAATATAATATAAGGAGCAATGTTAACAGTAGTTTTAAGGTTTAGGAGGTGGGGGGGGGGGGGGTGCTTGGCGGTTTATAGAGATAAAGATGTTACAGGAGGGAAAATCATGTATTAGCTTTTATAAAGGAAGCTAGCCTGGTCATTATTTTCGAATTTAGTTCAATAGAGATTTCTGTTGAGCCATATTTCAGAACTTCAAGATATTTATACTGGGAGATTTGCCTGTCAAAAACTTCAGGGATCAGGTTTTTCAGGTATTGATTAAATTCATCCCTAGCATTGTGTCAAAAGAGCACAATGGAAAAAGAAGTGTTTAACTGTTTGTGGATGTCCACAGGTACAATTTGGGTTGTCAATATTGCTGAACTTCTGAGCATATTATAGTTGGGCCTTAGAAAGAAGTCAGCCCTGAATTTATTTACTATAATCTCATGTCTCCTTGTGAGGTTCAGTTTGCTGATTGTAATGACATTTATTGGATTTTTGAAAAGTAGTTTTTGATGTTTCTTGAAATTCTGAATAGTAGCTTTACTCTTTAATGTATTTGGCAAGGCTAACCAGTTGGAGATTCCAGAGGGTACCGCTGAATTTCTGTACCGTTCGGAACATCTTGGTATAATGAACTCATCAGTGTTACGCAGGTTTCGTGTTTCTGGTTTTTGAACCTATCATATATGTCATCCAGAGGGTAAGGACCATGTACTATTTTGTACATAAAATTATTTAGAGAACATCTTCCTTCTCGTGTCAAAGGATGGCCATTGGACATGTTGGAGTAGCGTTAGTACATTATCTGAGCTGCTCCCGTGAATACAACCCGAGCAGTAGATAGCGGCTTTATAATAGGGAGGTTAAGATTAGCGTAAAAATGTACGTATACCTATCCCTATCCGTATGTTTGTAAGGGAGGTCAGTTGCAAACATACGGATAGGGATAGGTATACGTACAATTTTACGCTAATCTTAACCTCTCTAATATAATCTATCGAGCCTTTGAAGTAGATATTTGGAAGAACTATTGTAAATGATGGTACCATAATCGAAATGAGGCAATATGAAGGACTTGAAGATTGTCTCCAGATGACTAGATCCTATCATGTTTTTGAGTTTTTTAAATGGATTCAACATTTTTGTAACTTTATCATAGATGTTACTTATATGGTGTTTGTGTGTTAAGCAGGGGTCAAAGGTTAAACCGATGTGTTTGTGGGAAACAGCTCTTACTATTTCCATACTATTAAGATTAGATGGACTGATATCATTAATTTAATATGTGTTCTAATGGTTTATGGAATATCAGCTCATGGCTTTTCTCTGGTTTAAACTGTAAAATGTAAATATTCTACTTAT